GTGACCAACCGAAGGTGCACATTTTCAGCTGACCTCTTTGGCAAGTAAACACAATCATTTTGTTTGTTTACAAACTGCTGGACAACAAATGTTTTCTCATCGGAGAAAACCACCAAATTCGGTAGTTCACCACTTTCGGCCAAGCAAAGCAACATTTTAGCTCTTTTGAGTCTATTTTCTTTCTGTTGCGGTGTAAGTTCTTGCACTTTTTTGGAATTTCAATGGCTTTACCCAGAGCCCAATTTTTCAATATTTGCCAAATGAAATATTGCGATATATTCAGCTCACGAGCCATTTTTCGGCCACTGCGACGCGGGTTTCGTTCAAGTCGCTTCTTTACTTTTCGAACTGCTGCATTTCTGCTAATTTTGCTGTTTTCTTCCCTCCACTTCCTTGACGTCGGACTACGCTACCAGTATCACGCTTACGAGCGATGGTACGAGACACAAAAGACTTATTCACATTTAAATGCTGGAGTGCTCTAACGATAGCCACTTGTGGTTTTCCAGCCAAATATAAAGAAATCACACTATCCCGCTTGAATTTCATCACGTGTAACTTTTTTTCTGGAAAATTCTCACCAAAATGCTTTTGAACGCTTGTAAACAATATAATGAGCTGTCGCTGAAATAATTTTAACAGCTGTCAGACGAGTGGCTTAGAAATGACAGCAGTCTGAAGTTGGTTGCAATTGTTTCATCTCACCCAGTTTTTTCACCTCCCGATATTCGGTATTTTGATGATTTTAGAGACATTATTCACCGAAGTTGTTTCAAATTTCGTATTGGACGTTCCCAATCGGTACTACAGCCTGTGGCAGAAAATTATCTATGCAGGTCCAGGTCTTCGTAAAGCCCTGGTATAACGATACCTCCCCATATTCTGTATTTTGATGATTTTAGCTACATTATTTACCGAATTTTTTCCCATGTTTCGTATTTGAGTATTGTAATTGCCTGTGAAAAAAGTTGCCTATGCAGGTCCACGTCTCCGTATAGACCTCAATATAATGGCTATATTCGGTATTTTTAAGATTTAAAGAGAACATTTAAGGGATTTTATTTTTTTAATTTTGAAAATTTCCAAATGCGTTGCAAATGATAGAGGCTATTCAAAGTTCGGCCCGACTGAACTTATTGCTTTTTTACTTGTTCTCCCTCTCTGTATACCTTAAAGTGACCAATACTCATTAATGATGCATAAAAGTCATTTCTTATAAATTCATATCTCATTTGACAATCTCCGCTGCGGAGTTAGTGCAACATTAGAATACAGTTCTTAGTCGCAACTTATCCTCTTCACTTTAACGGAAAACTAAAAAAATGAATAAATTCCGGAATCGAGAATATTTAAAACTATTAAAATTCTATCAATGGATTTTTTGTATATTTGGTTCAAATTTACCACCGATTCTATATCGGCAAGATTTTCAAGGATTTCAAAGGCAGCTATTTATGGCATTCTATGGCTTCTATGCCATACTGCTTTTCGCCGTTGCAATATTTGCAAATTGCCTACATAACACCTTGGCTCATACATTTACCATGATGAACCGACTGGATTGTATTACGGAATTACTTAGTTATGGCCATAACACGGGCCTAATCTTTGCCTATGGAACAATGGAAGCTTCAATGTTTTGGCAACGAAATCGTCTCAGGGAAATTTTAAGGGACATTCAAGAAATGGAAAACGAGTTAATGTCAATGAATGAAGTCGCAAAAACGCGCGTTTATCTTAAATGGAAGTTATTTCGAATATCGGGAATTTGGTTAATTTTTGTCTCGGGAAATTTCCTCTATTTAACCTATTTCTTGACCGGTGGCAGTCTTATGCCTTTAAGTTTTAAAATTATAATATCTCTCTTCGTTGTGGCCATTCAATTGAAATTTGTAGAATACGGAGTTTATGTGCAAATTATTAATGACATAATGGAGCATCTTTACAACTCCTTGGAAGGAATCAAATGTAATGTGGAAGATTTTCCCCGACCTGTACATGGAGATTTGCCACATCTAGTGAGCCATCAGTTATTAAGAAATCAACAGTTATTGCGTCAATTATGGCTCTTGGTGCATAAAATCAATCGTTACTTCGCCTTGCCACTTGGCTTGATGTTCTATCAAAATGGTGTGGCAATATTGTTCACTGTGAACTGGTCTTATGTTCGGAGTTTATTTGAGAGTGATGACACCAATCAAATTTGTAAGTTTGAAAGGTGGAAATACATAAAGCGCATATTTGGCTGGCTTCTTTGTAGGTGAACAAAGGAGTTTTAGGTTGACTTAGATCGATTTTGACCCTAGGCTCCTTTCTTCAATTCCGAAGAAGCCAGCCAGATAATCCCTTTATGTACTCCCAGCTTAAAGGTGAAATAACATAATACCCTTTTTTTACTAATATTTTTTCAAATATAAATATTTTTATATGTTTTTTTATACGACGTCATTCGGAGGCTATCATAATTCGCGTTTTTCAGCAATTTTTACAAATTTAAATAATTTTTAATTTAACATTTTCACAACCAAAGTTGGTTTGACAATTCATTGTCCCAGCAGCTGTGTCGACGCGTCTACCTCTTTCTTCTACCAATGGATGATCACTTTTAACGCCGTCAATTACGTAATCGGCTGGCTTCTTCGTAAAGGAAAAAAGGAGTTTTAGGTTGACTTAGTTCGATTTTGGCCCTAAGCTCCTTTGTTCTTTTCCGAAAAAGTCAGCCAATGACTTAAGTCAGTCAAAAAAGCGTTTTATGTATTCTCACCCCAAGTCGTTGTGTTTACATAGATGGAAGGTCAATGCAGCAATTGCCAAATGATGAAAAATAGCTGATGAATTCTTTTATTTATAAAATATACCAAATTTTTCACAAAACTAAAGTGAGGTACACACTGCTAAACTAGTGTGCAAATCAACAACAGCAAACTGTCAAACCAATTTTGGAATTGAAATTTTTAATGAAAAACTATTGAATTTTGTAAAAATTGTTCTCAAATGCATATCATAAACACCTTCGATTGGGTCGTATAGGAAAACATATACAAAATTGACTTATTTTATATACCTCCACCATGATTGCATGTATCCTTCTACCATAATATTAGCCGAATATAAAACGACAAGAGACGGTTTTATCATCACCGCAAATTTAGTTTTATATATTTTCACTTAATAAAGGAACAACTCTTTAGATTAAATTATATTTTTCCCATTAAAATAGGGCTCGCTGTGATCGGAAAAGTACGTATATACTTTACTGATGTATTGGAACTTCTATGTTCTGTGTTTGACATTACATATACAGGGTGAGATAAAAGAACTCCAAAAAAGTCAAACGCCATAAGTTGTAATTTCTTTATTTTTAATTTTATTGAATGAAAGCAAAAGATGTCGGAAATAGCGTCAAATTTTAGAATAAGTTTAGATTTCTTCGAATTGGTCACCTTTGGCACGAATTATGGCCTTCAGACGGCCAATGAAACCGTCACACGCTGTCCCAATGTTGCTCTGCCGTATTTTGACCCATTCCCAGTGAAGCGCTTGCTTAAGGTGATCGACACTTTGGTATTTTTTAGTGCCAACCTTGCTTTCCAAAATACTCCAGACACAATAGTCCAACGGATTGGTATCCGGAGATTTTGGTGGCCATTGTGCGCTGGAAATGAAGCGAGGAAGCTCATTTTGTAACCGTTCTTGGGCTGGCGCGTGCTGAGTGCGATGGTGCTGAGCCTTGTTAGAATGTCCAATGTCCAAGGTCCAAAATGCTTGCATGCCTAAGGCTTTAAAACACCCTCCAGAATATTTTCGCGATAATATTCGGCATTTATTCTGATGCCACAGTCGATTAATACGAGCGAAGAGCGACCATCGGCTGTTATGGCGGCCCACACCATCACCATGGCCGGCGTTTGAGTTCGGGTGGCCATTTACATTTGCACATTTTCAGCTGACCTTTGTTTACAAACTGCTGGACAACGAATGTTTTCTCATCGGAGAAACCAAAATTCGGCAATTCATCACCACTGTCGATCAAGCGAAGCAACTCTTTAGCCCTTTTGAGTCTATTTTTTTTTCTGTTGCGGTGTAAGTTCTTGCACTTTTTGGAATTTCAATGATTTTACCCCAAGCTCATTTTTCAATATTTTCCGAATGGAATATTTGCGATATGTTCAGCTCACGAGCTATTTTTCGGCCACTGCTACGCGGGTTTCGATGAAGTCGCTTCTTTACTTTTCGAATCATTTCTGCTGATGTTGCTGTTTTCTTCCGTCCACTTCCTTGACGTCGGGCTACGGGTAACGAGCGATGTTACGAGACACAAAAGATTTTTTCACATTTAAATGCTGGAGTGCTCTTACGATAGCCACTTGTGGTTTGGTTTTCAAGCAAAATATAAAGAAATCACACTATCACGCTTGAATTCCATCACGAATAACTTTTTTCCTGCGAAATTCTCTCCAAAATGTTTTTGTGCGCTTGTAAACAATATAATGAGCTGTCATTGGAATAATTTTAACAGCTGTCGAAAGAGTGGCTTAGAAATGACAGCAGTCTGAAGTTGGTTGCAGTTTTTTTATCTCACCCTATCTATATGTAAAAAGTATTTCGTCTGATAGAGTCTTAAGTTGTCTTTAATACATGGTAGAATTAAGAAGGTAACCCTGTGCGATCATATTTTAACATTTTTTTTAAATTATAACAATATCTTAAGGTGAGAATATATAAAACACTTTTTTTGGCTGGCTTAAGTCATCGGTTGGCTTTTTTCAGGAATTAAAAAGTAGCCTAGGACCAAAATCGAATCCTCTACGAAGAAGCCAGCTGATGACTTAAGCCAGCCAAATAAGCGCTTTATGTGTTCCCTCCTTATAAACTATATTTTCCCGGTTCTTGAGAAGTTAATTTATATTCTGATTGTGTCATGACCTGTCACATTCATCGCAAATCTATCATTATGTTGACAGAGTTGTATCGACCTTCCATATTATGATTTGTTATTATAAATTTGAAACATGCATAAACACTTTTTACATTTTTCACAGTTCGCTTTGTCTACATTGTCATGTTACTTATGAATTTATTTCACATTTGTTATTTCACCGAAAAATGTATGGACAAGGTATGTATCAGCTGATTTTTTATCTTTTAATTATTAAAGATTTTAATTAATTTCTATCTTGCAGTACAACCATATGTCAACTTTATTATATAATTTCAAATTAAAATTTCACGATGTTGAGGTTATGTTTCGGCTGAGGGAGTATTCGCTACAATTGATGCATCAGAAACTGAAATTTAGTTGCAGTGATTTTTTGGATATCGATTTGAAGACTTTGGGCAAGGTAAGTATCATGGCAAAACAATAGAGGTAGACTCATTTGCTAAATCCTATGTAGTGACATTTGACAAGATAAATTACATAAATTCCTACTTTGAAATGACTTTAACTTCTTAATTTTACCATGGAATACATAAAACGATTGTTTGGCTAAGTCATCGCCTGGTTTCTTTGGAAATAAACAAAAGAGCGTAGGGCTAAAATCGAACTAAGTCAACCTAAAACTCCTTTTTTCAAAGACATAGAAGTGTAAAAATGGGACAAAACACAATCAAAATATGGCAACCCTGTGAAAATACATCTGTTGTTGTGATATCACCTATATTAACTGATTTGAATCGCTAAGGCAATATGCATATTTTTGGAAAAGTGTATCGAATAGAATTTTGAAACCATATTTTTGGATTGTTCACCTTTTATTTTTTATTATTTATACAGAAGCGGATGACAGCTTCTGTAATTGTTGTCTTTATATTAACATACCTCTGTCATAAGTTATTACTTTATTTATTGTAGACACAAATCATTTGCTCAAAGTGCATTTTGTCCAGTCTTTACCATTTTAGGTCTTTGCTTTGTTCCTCTACAAAGAAGCCAACCGTTGACTTAAGCCAGTCAAAAAAAAAACCATTTTCTGTATTCTCACCTTTATTCTATCCATTATCAAAACCTTATTTTCCTGTTCTTTCAGATGATTTTGGCAGTGACATCTTTTATGATTATATTGATACAATTCAAAATGACAAACGGTACAGCCGGTGCCATAATTGCGACCCGAAAAATATTTGGAATCAGTAAATTGAAGCTATGATTGGCACAAAGCAAATTGTACGATATGACTTAATAGAAATAATAAATATTTTTATAATAATTCGTGTGTATGTCAAAATTATAATTTTACACGTGACTCATAATTCTTGCTATCACACACTTGCATATGTTATTTTAGTTCCTTTGGTTACATTGTGATTATATTGTATTTTCTAGAAGATTGTAATACTTTATGCATGACTTTTTACCGCAAATTTACAGCCTGTTCCACGATATCGAAAGAAAATTTGTGCGGACGAAAGCTAGTCACTCATTTTCGTATCAGAATGCGTTCCACTAACATTCGTTCGTTGTTTCGCAAAACCTTACGTGACTCAGGGTAGAAATATATAAAGCAGATATTTGGCTGGCTTAAGTCATCGGCTGGCTTCTTCGTAGGAGTTTTAGGTTGACTTAGTTCGATTTTGGCCCTAGGCTCCTTTGTTCATTTCCGAAAAAGCCTGACGATGACTTAAGCCAGACAGATAAGCGCTTTATGTATTTCCACCTTCAGTGTTGCTAAATATACCTTCCAAAAAATTAACAAAAAAAAGCCCAAAATGACAGATTTAAACGCGAAAAAGCTCTAAAAAATACAACCATACGTAAGCTGGCTCTGCTGAACTGACAGTTCAGTTGTAAACAAACAAGCAAAATAACATTCAGAGTTTCCCAGACATTGTGTTCAATTTATTTGTGCTTAAAAAAATAAAAATATGAATATTTTTGATGCCCTATATTTTATGGATGATGTGGAGGAGCCTGCTGCTTCCAAATATTGGCACTCCTCTGCCGAACTCAGTATTCTACTCCATATAATCAACTAGTGCCCGCAGCTGTTTAGTAGATGATTTTTCGTGCTGGAATTGAAGAAATAATTTATTTTATTTATTTTATTTGTTATTGACATATTATAATTGTATTTATTATCTTTACTCACCTTTTCGTTTCCATTTTCAATTATGGCAAAATATTTATGTTGAAACAATTCTCCTGAATTAGAATCAGACGACACACAAGAGACTGATTTTGACCATGGCAGAAGAATACAGGAAGATGCATCAGCGCTTGGGAACATTGATATGTCAAAATACGTATTTAAATGTTCTTTAAAATTTAAGTAGATTTTTATATGTTTTCTTATACGACGACATTCGGAGGTAATTATAATTCGCGTTTTCCACAATTTTTACAAATTTAAATAATTTCTCATTCAACATTTTCAATTCCAAAATTGCTTTGACAGCTCATTGTCCCAGCAGCTGTGTCGATGCGACTACCTATATTTTTCTACCATGTCACTATGTATACGCCACGACGCATGATAGAAGAATATAGGTAGATGCATCAACGCCTGAGAACATTGATATGTCAAAATTTTTAAAATGTTTTATGAAAAATAAGTGGGTTTTTATTTTTTTATACGACGCAAATCAGAGGTTGTTATAATATGATTTTTCAGGAATTTTTACAAATTTTAATAATTTTTCATTCAACATTTTCAATTTCAAAATCGGTTTGACAGTTCATTGTCCCAGCAGCTGTGTCTATGCGACTATCTGCATTCTTCTACCATGCCACGACGTCAATAAACATTTCGTCTAAAAAAGTCTTTAGCAATTTAAACGCTGTGGAAACATGTAAACATTGCAATTATCATTTGAGATCCACCCGTGTAAACGTACTTTTAGTCACCCACAGAATATGTGAGCGTATGACTGTTGTCACTATGTATACGCCACGATGTCAATATTAATTAAATCTAATTTGTCACAAGTTTTATCACCTTCAAATATCTTAACCAGACTTTAACAAATACTGCACCACATTTCAATGGATCCTTAGAACAATGTGGAGTATGGAAAATCATACGCGGAACTCTACAACGAAATATATAAATTTAATAAAATTATATCAGTGGATATTTGTTATATTTGGGATTAATTTGCCGCCCAATATGTACTATGGCAATTTGAGTTTAATCAAAAGGAAATTATTTCACCTAATCTATGCCATTTATTGCGGAATTCTCTTTGGCTTGGCTTTATTTACTGTACATACTCATAATTGCATTGTCGAGGGGGCAGTAGAACGTCATAAATTGGATAATATTACTGAAATCATAAGCTATCTGCATCATGGTTCGATTGTGCTCTTGATGACCTGCATTGAAATAAAAACTTTATTTGGAAATCGACAACTTGGGGAAATTTTTAAGTTGCTGCAGGAATTGGAAAATGAAATTTGCTCCAGAACTTTGAAAACACGCAACTCTTTGTCTCTGAAATGGAAACTCTTGTGGAATTCTGGAATGTGGACATTTTTTCTGATTTCCTCCATTACATATCTGAGTTATGAGACAATAGCTAGTGATATGCCAACTTTGGGAAAGATTTTCAATTCATTTTTTCTCACCGCCTTACAAGTGAAATCGGTTGAATATATGTTATATCTACAAATTATTTATGATATAATCCATGAAATTCATGAATCTTTGGAAAATCTACAATCACAAATGGCGCTGGTAAATAGATATATGGCCCATGATTTGGAACTATGTGGCATTATTGTTCAAAATTTAATAAAATCCCAACAAAACTTGAATAAACTTTGGTTTTTGGTGGAAAAAGTCGATGGTTATTTTGCTGCTACCATATTTCTGCTATTCATACACAATGGCCTATGTATTGTCTACACGGTAAACTGGGCCTATTTGCGTGTAATTTATGAACCCAAGTATACAACTCAAGCATGTAAGCCTACAGAGGTGGCATCATGGTAGAAGAATACAGGCAGACGCATCGACACAGGTGATGGGACAATGAACTGTCAAACCAATTTTGGAATTGAACATTTTTGAATTAAAACTATTCAAATTTGTAAAAATTGTTGAAAAATGCATATTATAGCAACCTCCGACTGGCATGGTATAAGAAAAAAATAAAAATCTACAAATATTTGAAAAAAAAAAAAAAAACATATAAAAAATTTTGACATATTAATGTTCCCAAGCGTTGATGCATCTACCTTTATTCGTCTATCTTGAGAGGTGACAATATTCATTGCAATTTTAAATCTGAAAACCTTCATCTCATTGCAGTTCGTTATTCATACATACTTATATTGCTTCTGAATATATTCTTGATGTGTTATTTTGCTGAAAAATGTATCGGAAGGGTAAATAGAAAATCATATACTAAAAACCACTTGGTAATAATAATATTATTCTCTTCTATAAATTTCAGTATCGTTCCATTGCCGATTTGCTAAATAATTTTAAATTAACGCTACATCAGCCTAAACAACTCAGAATCCGCGTAAGAGAATTTTCTTTACAATTACTACATCAAAATTTGAAATTCACGTGCAATAGTTTTTTGGATATTGATTTTAAAAACTTTGGAAAGGTAAAGCATGTCAAATGTTAAGGTGGGAATACATAAAGCGCTTATCTGTGTAGCTTAAGTCATCGACTGGTTTCTTCGAAAATAAACAAAAAAGCCTAGGGCCAAAATCGAACTAAGTCAACCTAAAACTCCTTTGTTCATCTACGAAAAAGCCAGCCGGTGACTTATGCCAGCCAGAAAATCTCTTTATGTACTTTCACCCTTAAGTGTCGAGTAAAAGCGAGAGTACATAAACAGCTTGAAGTCTTCGCATGGCATATTTTGTGAAATGTCCATGGTAGAAGAATATAGGTAGACGCGTCGACACAGCTGATTGGACAATGAAATGTCAAACCAATTTTGGAATTGAAAATGTTGAATGAAAAACTATTTAAATTTGTAAAAATTGTTGAAAAACGCGAATTATAATAGCCTCCGAATGACGTAATATAAGAAAGTATATAAAAATCTACTTATATTTGAAAAAACATTTAAATTTTTTTGACATATCAATGCTCCCAAGCGTTGATGCATCTACCTGTATTCTTCTGCCATGGACATGTCATAAAGGGATGACAGAGTCGCACTCAAATCCTGCCGTCGTTGTTCCCTATAATTTGATCATGGTAGAGGAACACAGGAGGTAGTCGCATCGACACAGCTGCTGGGACAATGAACTGTCAAACCACATTTGGAATTGAAAATGTTGAAAGAAAAATTATTTATATTTGTAAAAATTGTTGAAAAAAGCGTATTATAATAACCTCCGAATGGCGTCGTATAAGAAAAAACATAAAAATCTACTTATATTTGAAAAGACATTTAAAACTTTTTGACATATCAATGTTCACAAGCATTGATGCCTCTACCTGTATTCTTCTACCATAGAAAATTTAAGGTGTAAGTACATAAGAAGCTTGACTAGGCATATTTTGTGACATTTCATAAAGGGATTACTGAGCCGCATTAAAATCTTGCAGTCATTTTCTATTATAATTTGACATTTATATGCCTAGCCATGACTTCAAGCTTTTATGTACTCGCACCTTTATTGAAATTTGTAAAAATTTTAGAGAGATACCAGAGAAGCACACAAATCCTGCCACCGTTGTTCCCTATAATTTTACCATGGTAGAAGAACACAGGTAGTCACATCGACACAGTTGCTGGGACAACAAACTATCAAACTAATTGTGAAATTGAAAAATTTTAATAAAAACTATTGAAATTTGTAAAAATTGTCGAAAAGCACATATCATAACAACCCCCTATTGGTGTCATATACAAAAATTTATCTAAATCTACTTATTTTTGAAAAAATATTTTAAAAATTTTGACATATCAATTTTACCAAGCATTGATGCATCTACCTTAATTCTTCTACCATGAATTTGACATTAAAATACCTAGCCATGATGTCAAGCTGCTTATGTACCCTCACCCCTTAAACATTCTTTGGTAATGGATGTGCTTCTTTATTATTTTCCAGATGGTTCTCATTGTATTCGCTTTTATTGTTATTTTAATACAATTCAAAATGGAAGATGTCAGTTTGGGTGCTCTATATGCTACACAAAAATTATTTGGAAAGTGGAACTGATTTCGAGTTTAAATAGCTGGCATAAAGAATATCTGAAGGAACGAAGACGTTAAAGCTGGGCATTTTGAAAGTTGGATGATGTCAATGAAATCTTATGAAAAAGTTGTATATCATATGTAAACATGAGATTACCTTGTATAAGTTTACATTTAGACTATGGCCCGTTCTTATATAATTCCTTTAAGATGCAAGCACATAAAAAGATTGAAGTCATGGCTTGGCATATTAATGTCAAATTATAATGGAATACAACGGCAGGATTTTAGTGCGGCTCTGTAATCCCTTTATGAAATGTCACAAAATATGCCTAGCCATGACTTTAAGCTTCTTATGTACTTAGACCTTTAAAGTTTCACTTTTGTTATCCTCTAAGGAAAAGTAAAGTAAAGAGATATGGCAAGCTTTTTTTTAAAAGTAACTGCTATTCACTGCATTTTTTTCACAAAGGCATCTTCATTTTAGTTTAAAAATAATAAACAAAATGCGAATTTGTAATTAATTTCATGAAATAAATCTATAATTCAGTTCTTCAATATAAAATAGACGATTAAGGTTATCCGTTTTTTATGTAAATACAATTTGCTGTTATTACCATATTATCAATATAAAATATGGCAACATAAATTCAGTAAAATTTACGTTAAAAGATAAAGGGAAGATATTCATATGCAAGTGTGTGATAGCAAAAATTATGAGTCATATGTCATCGGCTGGGTTCTTCGAAGCGGAAATTGGTGTTTTAGTTTGAATTAGTTCGATTTTGGACCTTCCCTCCTATGTTCTTTTTCGAAAAAGCCAGCCGATGACTTTAGCCTTTCAAAAAAGCGTGTTATGTATTCTCACCTTTAAAAATACCGAATTTAGCCGTTATATTAGGGTGTCTATACGACGAAGTGGACCTGTATAGGAAACTTTTGTCATAACGCATTACAATACTCAAATACGAAACTTGAATAAAAAAATTCAGTGAATAATTGTGGTGACTTAAGTGAGATCCGTAACCACTTGTCATTGTTACACTCCATGTAATTGTATTGTGATACTTTCTGCTCGTGACGATGTGGCAACATATGGCACTTGTCACTACAGCATCTTTGTTTTGTATTCGTTCGTACATTTCAATCAAAGCAACCGGTCACCATTTTTCAATTCGATCCTTTTTGCATTATCGTAGATTAAGTTATTTATAATAAAGTATCATTATCATTATAACGTAAAGATCGTGCATTATTTATTCATCAGTCTCAACAAGACACAACAGTTTGGCGACGAGCGTAAAAAGTGGAATATTATTTTGGAAAACTAATATTCTGCATATTTTTTTTCGATTAAAGCAAGTGCAAGCTTTTAACAACAACACAAATATAACAAAATGGATGCATCTCAATTTGCCGCGTTTATGGATATGCAAAAGGCGTTGTTTAGCCATATATCGAAGATGACTGTGGGTGCTCCTACTTCAAGTGCAGCGCAAGGCAGCAGCAACACCAGCATCAACACGACATTGGTACCAAACTTCGATCATTTTGATCCGGCAAAGGAAATGTATACCAATTATATAGAGAGGTTTAACAACTACATTGCAATGAAGGGCGTCAGTGCTAATAAGGAGTACTGTACAAAGTTGCTTCTTAACTCTATCGGTGCGAAGTACTTTAACATGGTGACGGCGTTGGCAGCGCCCAGAGCAGCGGCAGATCTGCAATACGATGAATTGCTAACCATTTTGCAAAATCATTTAGCACCGAAAAAGAATGTGTTGGTGGCACAACACAAATTTTTATCAAAATATCAGATGCAAGGGCAATCAGTGGCAGATTTTGTGGCTGCACTCCGTACTGATATTAATTCGTGCGAATTTGTTTCACCGTGCAAATGTGGAGCGTCCATAGCCGATGTGTTTTTGAGGGCACAATTTATTCGAGGCCTTTGTGACAATACTGTACGCGAACAACTTCTTCAATCCAGTACGGCGAAAATTGATGAAATTGTTGGGAAGGCATTGGCTCTAGAGGCTGCGAAGATGGACGCCAGAGAATTGTCCCAAGCAACGGCAAATTCTTCAAATTCGACGGATATAAATAAAATTTTTAATAAAAGCCCATCGAAAAATTTCAAATCTCGTCAGGGGCAACAGAAGCGTAAAGTCAATTACGAGCAATTAGGTATTGCCGGTCTATGTTTACGCTGCGGCAAAAACAATCATTTTGCGAAGGAGTGTCGCTCTAACAAAAATCTTAAATGTAACTTGTGTGCCAAGCAAGGGCATGTAGCAAAAGTCTGCATTGCTTCACTTTTGGCGGATGGTCCTAATGCCGGACGACGGGGTAAACCCAGTACGAGGGAGGCGTCCACGAATCAAGTACGTGATGATTCGTACGGTATTTATAAAATCGTGGATGTGTACCGTAACGATTACGCAAATGCCAATGCTGAGCGTTACTATGCGAATATCTTCATAGAAGGTAGAGTGGTATCTTTTGAAGTAGATTCTGGCTCTGGATACTCATTTTTGCCTAGGAGTGAATTTGGGAAATTAAAATTGTCTAACCAATTAACCGCCACAAACATCGTTTTCCGATCATACACCCAAGATAAATTCGTACCAGATGGGAAAGTCCGAGTAAATATAAAATACAAAAACGTTTCATTCATCGATGATCTCTACGTTGTCCCAGACGGGTGTTCGGCGTTAATTGGTCGTACATGGATACGTCGTCTAGGAATTAATCTAAACGAGCTAGACGAACATAAGTCGAACAACATGGTTACCAATTCTATCGGTGAGTCGAGCGACATTCAAGAATACATTTCCGAATTTTCAGCTGTATTTCAACAAAAGATTGGCTGCATCCCTAGCCATAAAGTTTCACTTCAATTGCGTGAAGATGCCACACCAACCTATACAAAAGAGCGTCAAATTCCATACGCCTTAACCGAGCGTGTTAACAAGGAGCTGGAAGAGTTGGAGAAGGCTGGCATAATCACCAAGGTTGCCAATAGTGACTGGGGGTCACCACTGGTGGTCATCCCTAAAGCTGACGGTGGAGTGCGCCTTTGCGTTGACTACAAGGTGGGAGTCAACCAGCGACTTGTGAATGCTCATTACCCCATTCGGAAAATAGATGCAATTTTCAATAGTCTCAGGGACTCTAAACATTTTTGTCGGCTTGATTTATACAAAGCCTATTTACATGTGCAAGTGGACCAAAAGTCAAGCGAAATTCAAACCATTTCGACCCACAAAGGGACTTTTCGAATGAATCGTCTGTCCTTCGGCATTAAAACTGCCCCGGCGGAATTTAATAGGATTATAGATCAAATTTTACGGGAAGTGCCCAAAACAGAATCCTATTTTGACGACATCGTGGTACATGGCGAGACTTTGAGTGAGTGCAAAGCAAACTTAAAATTATGTTTAGCCCAGTTGCAGAAGTACGATCTGCACCTTAATATGGCAAAATGCAAATTTTTTGACAATCAAATGGAGTTTTTGGGTCACGTAATGCGGCACAACAAGGTCCAAAAGTCACCTTCAAAAGTACAAGCCATATTACAAATGCCCCAACCAGAAAGTGTAGAAGATGTTCGCCGTTTTTTGGGTATGGTAACATATTACGCAAGATTCATACCGAATTCGTCTACAATTACCACCCCGTTGCGCAATTTACTGCTCAAAAACGCTATTTTTAAATGGACATCGGAATGCCAAAAGTCTTTCGATGCTTTGAAAAGAGAAATTTCCAGCGATCGCGTATTGATGCCGTATAATCCCGATTTGCCGGTACAGCTTGCGTGCGACGCTAGTCCCACCGGGATAGCTGGTGTTTTGTCGCACATTATTGACGGCCAAGAAAGACCGATAGCGTTTGCCTCAAGGTCTCTTACTCCAGCAGAGCAAAATTATTCGCAATTAGATAGGGAAGCCCTAGCAATTGTGTATGCGGTTCAACATTTTCACGAGTACATATTTGGCCGAATTTTTAAGCTTATAACGGATAATAAGCCGTTATCAAGAATTTTTCACCAAAATTCGAAATTGCCCCTAATGACGTCATCTCGACTTCAACGATACGCCGCTTTCCTCACTGGATATAATTACGAAGTCAGTACGAAAAAGGGCGAGGAAAATGTCAATGCCGATTGTCTCTCCAGGGCCCCAATTAAATCAGGGATTGGCACTACAAATTTAATTGATCAAGAAGTACATTCAATTTGCGGGTCAACAATACATCAAATTACTTCAATAAAATTAAATTTCAAATCACTTCGAGACGCAACAAAGAATGACGCAATGCTTTCCAAAATTTTGTTCGATTTACGTAACTCAAATGTGGTCGATTCGGAGTACACCATCGATGCCGGCATATTGTTCAAAGGGAAAAGGGTCATTGTACCAACTTCACTTCAAGAGGCAGTCTTAGAAGAGTTACACTATACTCATATAGGTATAACCAAGATGAAGCAATTGGCGAGACGTTATGTGTTTTGGTCATCAATTGATAAAGATATTGAACTATTTGTACGTTCCTGTTCTGCGTGTGCCTTGGTAAAGAAAAATCCTCCGAAAGCAGTTCTCCATCCTTGGGAGGAGCCGGATGGAAATTGGCAACGTATTCATATTGATTACGCGGGGCCATATCAGGGATATCAATTTCTTGTTGTCGTCGACGCAAAATCAAAGTGGGCAGAAGTGGGGGTGTGCTCCTCTGCGCCAACATCAACGTCAACAATCGAAATGTTAAACAACATTTTTGCACGCAATGGATACCCTGATGTTCTTGTCTCTGACAATGCAACGATTTTTAAAAGTGAAGAGTTTCAAAATTTCTGCACTAATTCCGGTATCTTCCAGAAATACATTGCACCTGGCCACCCTGCCACAAATGGTCTAGCTGAACGAAATGTTCAAACACTCAAGCAGCGTCTAGCAGCCATGGCAGAGGATCCTTCTCCGATATCTAAAAAAGTAAGAGAAATTTTATTTAAATATCGAGCTACACCTCTTCGAAATGGTAAATCCCCATCAGAAATGTACCTGGGTAGACAAATCCGAATCCGATTGGATGCCTTGAAGCCATCAAAATTAACTCAGTCATCTATGCCACATTGTCCAGTTAGGAAACTGAGTGAGGGAGACCGAGTTCAAGTCCGATAATATACGCCAAACAAACCTGTATGGAAATTCGGAATTATTTCTAAAAAGCTTGGTAACCTTCATTATCTGGTAAAACTCGACAATGGTTATGTCTTCAAGCGCCACATAGACCAACTCCGTTTCACAAATGTAAAACTGCCTTATTCTCCAGATACTGAGCAGACTGAGTCGGTCCCAGATTTTAGTTCAGGGAATGGCGAACAGTCTCATCAGCCTCTAATTATGGCACCCTACATTCCACTGAGTACACATGCTAATGATCCAGAAGTTCCCGGTACTTCCACAACACCAACTGCAGCCGGAACCGAAGCACCAGTTGGAACGCCATCAGCCTCTACCCAAAACGCTGATGCTGAGTCCACACCAAGTCGTCGTACCTCTGCAAGGCAACGGAGACAACCCCAGTATTTAAGCGATTATGTTCGCCATTAGCGTTAATCGTAGTAATCATATATGTCCTTGTTTTAGTGGGGGAGAATTGTGGTGACTTAAGTGAGATCCGTAACCACTTGTCATTGTTACACTCCATGTAATTGTATTGTGATACTTTCTGCTCGTGACGATGTGGCAACATATGGCACTTGTCACTACAGCATCTTTGTTTTGTATTCGTTCGTACATTTCAATCAAAGCAACCGGTCACCATTTTTCAATTCGATCCTTTTTGCATTATCGTAGATTAAGTTATTTATAATAAAGTATCATTATCATTATAACGTAAAGATCGTGCATTATTTATTCATCAGTCTCAACAAGACACAACAATAATGTAGCTAAAATCATCAAAAACCGAATATAGGGAGGTACTGTTATATTGGAGCTATGCGAAGACGTGGACCTGCACAGGCAATTTTTTGTCATAGGCTGTCGAATTCATTACGAACTTCAAATACCAGATTTGAAACAATTCCGGTGAATAATGTCGCTAAAATCATCAAAATACCGAATATCGGGAGGTACCATTATATTCTAAATAAAACGGGCTAAATAAAAACGTGGACCTATACATACAAGTTTTCGTCACACGAACTAGGACCCATTTCGACCTACAAATACCAATTTTTAGACAAATACGTGAAAAAATGTGACAAAAATCATAGAAATACCGAATATCGGAAGGTACCGTTATGTGAGGACAATATATCTAATTTTCATTTCATCCTAGACACAATACAAATTGTTTTGCTAAATTTTGACGCTCTACGTCAAATAATGTGGGGTGTATCGTGATTTCAACACACAGACAGACGGATATCGTATGAATATATATACTTTATGGGGTCTACGACGAATATTTAGGGATGTAACAGACGGAATGACAAAGCTAATTCAAATGACAGAATGACAAAGTTAATATAAGCATAAATCCCATTTGAGAAACCCCGCGTTGTAAACAAGCACCAGGTTGTAGAAAATAACGGCGGCAGGCTGCTGATGGGCGGCGCCATTTTGGCAAAGGAAAAAAACAATTTTTAAAAACGAAACTGAATATTATAATATTATAAAAATATTAAATATATTGATGTGCTACATTTAAGCTGGTTTAACATTACTAATTGTTCGGATTTACACAAAAAAAGCAGCGCAGCCAACGACCTAAAGCCGGCCGATTTCTTCCTCGAGTTGAAGGAACTTTCTCCCGCGGTTCATTTAATGAATGTGTCCAGCGGTTCGATTTCCTCATGTCTCATTCGTAAACAACAGAGGTCCCTCGGGGATTTTGCTTTCTTGTTCTTTTTTATCGGGCGTACCTTTTTGATTTCTTATTTGTTTCGTTGGGGACGTCTTTCATTTTTGTTTCCCAACAAACAAAGCGAACAAACAACGACGCGCACAAGCAAGCAGCAGTTGAGCAGTTGGAATTGGAGGAATTGGTTGGAATTTGAGGAATTGGACATATTGGGACATTGGTTGGACCAACCTATATTGGAAAACATAAGCCGGGACAACTCTAGTTTAGTAAAAACTTCGGTTTTTTTTAAATATTTTCCAGAGGTAGGTATTTTTACCCTGATCCCTGGAAACTATTTTTTTCTTGGGGGACGGACCCGGGACCCCAGATTTTTCACATTATAAACCTTTTATTCCATAGAAAGTGAGCCAAGGAGACGAGGAGACACAAAAAAAAGTAATTCACATTCCCTAAGGCCCATGAAAGTGAGATGTATCGCTTTTTAATGATTTACATGGCTACTCAAGCATTTATCTGAGTGGACATTTGCATATATTTTGTATAACCAGAAATTCCTTGTATTTGAAGAAAGGTCAGAAAGGGAAAGGAAATGGATGAAAATAAGTTGCAACATTTTATAAAAAATTTGTGTCGAGTATGTTCTGCTGGCATCACTGAAGCAGCCAAGAACATTTCGGACCATCTAAATGAGAAGCCAGATTGTCCAACAATAATGGAGCTATTAACAATAATAGTCCCACAAAGCTGCAATGATGAGTACCCAGATGAATTACCAAAGAAGGTGTGTATGGCGTGTGTTCAGCAACTGCAAAGTATTTACGAGTTTATGGAATCGTATAAAGAAGCCAATAAAAAATTACTCAAACTACTGAAGGACCCTGATTTCTACGAAGAGGAAACAATAGATAATAAAGTAGAATATAAATTGGATACCTTTTTAGACGAAGAAGTAGTCGATTACAATATATGTAAGGATAAGACTACAACTTTGAATATAGACTATTATAGGATGGAAGAGAAATTGATAGATGTAGTATGGACAGATGAATGTGAAGATACTTATCATAAAAGGTAAATAGTTAGTTTGCTCGATTTTTCAAAGGTATTTTAATAAAAAATATATTGTTTATTGTAGCTGTGAAGTTTTAACGGAAACAGATCCAATTCAAAACCAATCCACGCAAAATCCAAAGTCTACAATGGACATTACACCAAAAAATATTCAAGATTCGCCAGAGAGTGATTTGGATTGTAAAGCAATGTCACCCGATCGGATACAGTATGAAAATGAAAAAGACAAGAAACATACTGCAAAATCTAGAAGATCAAGAACCACCATGGAACGTAAAGATGCCAAAGAATCTTCAGAGAGCACTCAAGACAATAAAGATAAGTCCAATCGACGACGGAAGAACAAAAAGCAAGTAAACAAAAAACCAATTGAATGTGAATTTTGCGGAAGAGGTATTTATGTATGTAAATAATTCCAAAACAAATTGAGAAACTGTGAAATTCTTCTTTAATTTTCTAGTATTTGACAAAGAGTACAAATACAGGACCCATTTACAAATACATTCGGGTATGTTTCGGTTAACGTAGCTTTTCTAACTCCACGCTTTTCAACACTTTTTCTTTTCTGCACACACAGAGGAAAAATCTCACCTTTGTCCCGAATGTGGAAAAGGTTTTAAAACGAATGCGTCTTTAACGGTCCACATGAAACGTCACAAGGGAGAGAAAAATGTCCAGTGCCCCCAGTGTCCAAGAAGATTTATAGACACAAGTGGCCTCCATGGTCATATGTATGTTCACAAAGACAATAAAGCATTTGTCTGTGACATTTGTGGTTTCGCCTTCCATGCGGCCTATTTGCTGAAAAGACATCGTTTTTTACATACCGGCATAAAGAACCATGCCTGTGTAAATTGTGATCAGCGGTATGTGTTAAGATTACAATTCTAAAATGTTAATGAATTCCTTTTTACATTAATTTGTTTTAGTTTTGCCACAATTAAGGCACTACGTCGTCATTTAATTACTCATACGGGTGAAAAACCATTTGAATGCCATTATTGCGATCGGAGTTTTGGTCAGAGTCAGGATTGTCACAATCACATGAGAATCCATGTGGGGAAAAACATACATTTATGTGAATTGTGTCCTTTGCGTTTTCCACTAGTCCGAGAGTTGCGCGTTCATTTTGCAACACATAAGGTGAGAACTGTTATTAATGAACACATATCACATCTAATAATTTTGTTTAATTTATTTGATAGAATGACGATGAAGAAACACGTACGAAAAATCTCGAGGCCCGAAAAATAGAAGTAATTAATCTCAAAACTAATTTTGGATATAAAAGAGATTGAAATGGTCAATGAGCCGTGATTTTAGGCCTAGAAAGCACTATTGCAATGTATCCAAAGACGTACTCCTATTTTTTTTTAATTCAACTGTGCCTGTCATTCGGTAATTTGTTTTGTTAAAATACTTGTTGCTTTTAAAAGAAACTCCAATTTTTTAAATTTATGTTTGGAAAGGAAATTGTGTTTTTTATGTATGACCATGGTGAAGAGCACAGGTACAGTCATTTGAGAGTAGCATCGAATCCCAGCTGATTAGTCTCTGCAGTTTGCAGTTATATTAGAGTCCATGGTAGAAGAATACGGGTAATTGTATCGACACAGCTGTTGATACCATGAACTGTCAAACCAATTTTGAATAAAAATTCGTAAAATATTTAAAAATTGTTGAAAAAGGCACATCATAGCAACCTCCGATTGGCGTCGTATAAGAAAACATATACAAATGTATTTATTTCTGAAGCGCTGATGCTGTATTCTTCTACAATTCTTCTGAGTCCTTGTTACCTGAATTATTTCATCACGAGAAGAGTGTGACAACCATACCCGCCATGCCGTACAAAAAAAAACTTACCATGTCCACTGTGATAAAATATTTCGTACAACCCTATTATCCAAGAACGCACGGTCCATATCTTGCAAGCAATCAAATACAATCGCAGCAAATTAAAAGAAGAACAAAAAAAAAAACAATTAAAAAAGCTGTAAGTTCGGCCGAATTTTGAATACCTTCCATCATTTGGAACGAATTTGACAATTCTCAAAATCAATAAAATCCGTTAAAAATTATGTTCAAATCTTAAAAATACCGAATGTGGACCTGCATGACTCATTTTTAATAACAAAAGTCCTGCAGACATAATACACATTTGAGTAAAATTTTATTAATCTACTTTATTTCGTTCGGAAGCTAGAGTGATTTCCACAAACGGACGGACATCGCTAAATCGACATGGAATTTTATGCTGATCAGGAATATATGTACTTTGTGGGGTTTAAAATGTATATTTCGAGGTGTTACAAACGGAATGACAAACTTAATATACCCTCCATACTATGGTGGAGGGTAAAATATCTTTTAATTTTATTTTTCATTTGTACAGATTTTCCTTTTTTAATTGTTCCCATTTATTCCCAACTTAGTCGTTAATGAATGACGCAGACCGTATACCTATTCTTGGTGATTTTAATATGGCTTCCATTGCCAGATTCTGAAGCCTTGATTCCTTTGACGTCCGAAGCGAATAGATTCTCGTAGATTGTATAATCTTTACCTCAGAAGATTTAAAATAATTTTAAATCCAACCCTAAATCCTTCTATGATTTTGTTAACTTACCATAGTGGATAAGTAACGTTTGTTCCTGAATTTCGGTAGCATTCATTTAAATACAATAAATACATCCATTCATGATACAATGTACATTGTACCATGCATCCATTTAACTTTAGTGGTGAAAAAACGTCGAAGTCGTACGTCATGTATTTAGGTAGGCCTGCAAAAAATGGCGACGGCGCCGTTGAAAAATATCATTCAACTTCGTTGTCTAGCCTGGCTCATTGGAGGTTATTCCCTTTTGTGCTGCCATTCGCATCGTTTGGAACGCTTTTGAATTTTGTGCAACACGATAAACACGTAAATTTTGGAAATTTCCTAATTTCGGAAATAAATTACACGGAATTAATGTCTTATTTCAAACGAAAGTTGTGTAAAATTGAGCGAAAACTATTCTAAATACTGCAACAGAACGATTTCAAGAACAATAATGCCGGTGTCACTGGATCGAATGTGTCGCACATGCATCTTCGATGGAACACTCGAATATATGCCACTCATCGAACGGGAGTTGGTGCCGTTGGCAACAACAACTATAGAAGAACTCAATATTAGCATAATGGACTTGCTGAAAGCGTCCATACCACAACTAAAATTGGATCCCAATGCCAAACTTCCGAAAAACATTTGTCTCGACTGCGTGGGCCGAGCAAAGGAATTTTATGTTTTTCAGCAAAGATGCTTGGAAGTGGAAAATCAGTTTGATGACATTTTGGAAACAATGATAATGGCAAAATCTGAAGATGACAATGATAATGGAAACTCATTCTATTATGTTTATGAGACCGAACTCGATGAAGGAGAAAATCTGGAGAATGCAGAAGCAATAGGTATAGAAGAGGTGGCAGATGTTGTAGAAGAATTGCAAGAATTACCGGTGGAAAAATGCAAAGAGGAGGTGGAAGAAATAGAAGAAGTAGTAGAGGAGGTGGGCGAAGAGATAGGAGAAGAAGTTGTTGTGGAGGAAGTTGAAGGAGGTGATAGTCCAATGTGGACTATATTTGATCCGGACGAAGAACGTAATGAGGATGATTTTGTGGTGTAAGTTGTTTTGGGTGCTTTTATTGAAAGGTTACTATGATTTGTTTTTGCCTACTATAAAGCACTACGATTACGAAGGAAGAGACCAGCGAATCAAGCGAGGAACTAAGTGATCATGAGGACGAAGTTTACTTCCAGTGCACCGCTTGTGACAAGAAATGTAAAACCGAAGGTTCCCTAAAGAAGCATATGCGAATTCACAAAGAAAAGAGGGAAGGCAACAAGTGTGTCTGCCAAGTTTGCAATAGAAGTAATACAAACCTATCAAATTACAATAATTGTACGCAATATTAAGATAATTTCTCTTTATTGTAGCATTTTTACATCCATACCTTTTGAGGCGTCATATGCGCCATCATAATGGTAAGTCAATTTTTGTTAATAACTTCAATCAAGAAATCTTAAACTGTTATTTTATTTTAGGTGAGAAACCATACCTGTGTCAGGTATGTGGCAAAGCCTTTAAAACCACCAGCAATTTAAATCAACACACTGTACGACATCAAACCGAAAAACTCTTTGCCTGTTCAGAGTGCCCGAAAAAGTTCATTGCTCGCAATGACTTGGTTTCCCACTATGAAAAGCACAAACCCAAACCGAAAATTTTTGTTTGTGATGTTTGTGGACATGGCTTTGCCAAAGAATATCGCTTAAAGAAACACAAAATATTCCACACGAATGAAAGGCGTTATGCCTGTGAGTTTTGTGATAAACGGTAAGTTTGAAATAGGTCGAATGGTATTTCAAAAATAATTTGTAAATTGTTTTATTGTTTCTAGATTCTTTACCAATGAGAAGCGAAATCGCCATACGCGCATACATACCGGCGAAAAACCATATAAATGTACTTTTTGCGAGAAGGCCTATCGCCAATCGAATGAGCTGACTAAACATTTGCGCATGCATTTGGGTGAGAATATTTACCAATGCCAATTATGTCCACAAAGATACCCAACAGTACGGTTGCTGCAAGATCATTTTGGCACACACAAAGATGACGATGAAGAGACAAGGGCCAGAAATTTAGCTGCTTTTAATGCCACAGAAATTAAAGGTATATTCTTTAAGAAAATAGAAATAGAAATCTAATTTAGACATACAATATTACTACTAACAGAAAGCTAAATAAATTAACAAGTTGTAAGCCTAAACTAAAAAAAAAAACTTAGAATGTTTATTTTTATTGTAAAACAAGTAAAAAAGCTGTAAGTTCGGCCGGGCTGATCTCTGAAACCCTCCACCATTTGGAACGAATTTGGCAATTTTCAAAAAAATAAAGTCTGTTAAAATCTTAAAAATACCGAATGTATCCAAAAAAAATAAAATCTTAAAAATGCCGAATGTAGCCGTTATATTCGGGTCTATACGATGACGTGGACCTGCATAGGCAACTTTTGTCACAAACCATTACAATATTCAAATGCGAAACTTGAAAAAAATCGGTGTCGCTAAAGTTATCAAAATACCGTGTAGGTACCGATATATGAGGGCTATACGAAGACGTGGACCTGCACAGACAATTTTCTGTCATAGACTGTAGTATCCATTACGAACTTCAAATACCAAATTTGAAACAATTCCGGTGAATAATGTCGCTAAAATCATCAAAATACCGAATATCGAGAGGTACCGATATATGAGGGCTATACGAAGGCGTGAACCTGCACGAACAATTTTCTGTCATATGCTGTTGTATCAATTACGAACTTCAAATACCAAATTTGAAACAATTCCGGTGAATAATGTCGCCAAAACCATCCAAATTCCGAAAAAAAGGAGGTACGATTATATGGTGGCCATACGAAGACGAGGATCAGCACAGGCAATTTTCTGTTATAAGCTGCAGTACTAATAACGAACTTCAAATACCAAATTTGAAACAATTGCGGTGAATAATGTCGCCAAAACCCTCAAAATTCCGAAAAAAAAGGGAGGTACGATTATATGGTGGCTATACGAAGACGAGGATCAGCACAGGCAATTTTCTGTCATAAGCTGCAGTACTAATAACGAACTTCAAATACCAAATTTGAAACAATTGCGGTGAATAGTGTCGCTAAAAACATCAAAATACTGAATATCGGGAGGTACTGTTGTATGGTGGCTATGCGAAGACGTGGACCTACTTCACCAATTTTCAATACCAAAAGTCCTGCAGATATAATACACATTTGAGTAAAATTTTATCAACCAAATTCATTTCGTTCGGAAACTAGAGTGATTTCCATAGACGGATAGACGGATGGACAGATCGGCTAGATCGTCTTAGAATTTTACGCTGTTCCAGAATATATATACTTTGTGGGGTCTAAAATGTATATTTCGAAGTGTTACAAACGGAATGACAAACATAATAAACCCTCCATACTATGGTGGAGGGTATAAAAAAGCATGAAGACTGTTGCACATTGTTTAAGCTCTCTCATACTCGAAGGGGCACATCAGCTGTACAGTAATATTGATAGTGAGTGTGGCCCTAATGTTGCCTTATATCACAGAGGTCTGCATTTGGGTTATAGCATACGTTTAATTTGTTTCATTTAATTCTTTCTAAAAAATTCTGATTCAGAATAAGTCTTATTCACTCCGATTTGCCTGTGTATCTTCATGTGTATTTCAATTTAATAGCATTGACGATTCGAAAGTTATCTCGCGAGAATAAGAACGATTCCTTCATATTCATTTGATATCAATATGTATACAATCATTAAATAATAAATCAAGTGCTTTTTGTTTTCAACCTGCTGTTACATTATTTTAATCTTTCTTTTTATAACCAAATTTAATTCTCAAATTATGAACTTCAATTTTTCGGGCTTCAAGATTTCTCTTACGGGTTTCTTCATCATCGTTCTAAAAAAATTAGAAAAATAATTTTATTACTTTAGATACCTTTATCGATTTGTTTGAAAAATTCCCTCACCCTATGTGTTGCGAAATGAACACGCAAATCCCGGACCAGGGGAAAACGCAAAGGACATAATTCACACTGATAGATGTTCTCACCGACATGTTGTTTCATATGCTTATTACAATCGTTACTCTGGGCAAAGGCACGATCACAATAATGGCACACATATGGTTTCTCGCCCGTATGAGTACGAACATGACGGCGTAGCTTTTCGGCAGTTACAAATCTAAAAAAAGAAACAATAAAACTATGACATTCGGCATCCAATATGGAATTTTACTCCTTTGCAGATGTTACCGTAAATCGCAATGTTCACAGGGATGTGGTTTTACCCCCCTATGGTATAAGTTATGTTTCCTCAGCATATAGGCCATATGAAAGGCAGCGCCACAGGTGTCGCACACAAATGGTTTCTCTTTTTTGTGCACTAACATATGACAATAGAGTCCACTGGCGCAGACAAATTGTTTCGGACATTGGGGACACTGCATATTCTTTTCACCCTTGTGGCGCAGCATATGGGTATACAAACTACTTCGAACTTTAAAACTCTTGCCGCATTCAACACACAAATATGGTTCTTCACCTGCAAGTGGTGGTTCATGATTTAAGATATAACAAAAAAGAAGTAATTTCACTAAATTAAAACTATTACCAGTATGGGTGCGCGTGTGATTCCTGTAGGCAGTGGCATGGTAAAACACTTCGATAGAAATACAGAATATAATTTAATTACCCTTGTTTTTACAATCAAGTCATCCGCAACTAACCTTTGCCACAAAATTCACATTTGTAGCTTTTTCCCTGCTTTTTGATTTTTACATGTTTATGTTCAGTTTGGACATGTTGCCTCCATTTGGGCACACTATCAAGTACCATTTCGCATTCCGGGCAGTTGTAAGTTCCATCTTTATTCTTTCGAGGTTCCTTTTCGTCGGAGTCCGGTTTCTGTTCTATTGCCGATTTAATTTGCTCCTTTTCGCAACTTGTGGTTCTATTTGGTAATGGTGCCATGTCCTTTAACAAATCATTGCTATGATAAAAATTTGAAAATAATAATAGTTGTTAATTATTGAACGCACATCAAGACATTATTACCTTTCATCTAAACTACTCTCGCTAATTTTGGCATCATTATCTACCCATTTAATACCGACATACCCGGGCCCATGGTCCTCATCCTCTCCATCATGGCTCTCGCTATTATATGCATCATTATCTGTCCATTTAATATCGACATCCTCGACTTCCACATTATCCTCCTCCTCTACATGTTTCTCGATAATGTCTATTTCATAATCTACTGGCAACAGTGAATCAATGTCATCGTCCACAAAATTTTGCATTTGTTGTTGTTGCTGGGACACCTTTTGCACAGTTTCCTTTGTCGTGGACTTAACATCTTTTAACAATTTCTGTAACTTTTCATTGGCGTGTCGATATGCCACCAAAAACTTGTATGTCTTCTGTAATTGTTGAATACATGTCATGCAGACAATTTTTGGTAGTTCGTCTAGGAAGCCAATCTCAATTTGGGGTTCTAGCGCTATCAGTACATCCATTATTGATGGACTTCCGGACTCATCCAATAAGGGTTCATAAATACATTTTACAGATATTTTATTTGCATCACTGCTACTGGCCGTACATGTCCTACATAATTCTTTCAGTGGAAGTATAGGGGAACTATTTTTGTCCATTTCTACTCCTTTCCAGAGATTTGTTTGTCAGAAGATTTCAACTCGAGCTCCTGACAAAAACAACAACATAACGACAATGCAATCAGCTGGAAAGTTCATTGCAATGAGCCGTGGAACTAGCTTACAATTTTTTTTAGAAATAATAATAATATGGTTCTAAATATTTTCCAGAATCCGCAATATAGTAGTACTCATGGTACAATGATATCAAGGTAGGGATATGATACCATATGATTTCAATTCTTTTATTGTCTTGGCTTAATATGTCATCTTTATTTGTTTATGTATGTGTTTTCTTTTCAATAACAAAAAAAATTGTTCAGGACACATTCAAATTCGGATGTTTTCAAAATGTTTATTTCATCGTACGCATCGACAAAATCTAGAGTTTTTGTAGCGAAATAATCCTTTAGAGATATATAGAATCTGGTTTTGAAAAGAAGTGTTGACCTTTCATTCAGTTATCGCGTTTTTCAATTATTTATTCAAAATAAATGCAACAAGTTGTTTGATTTTTTATTGTCTTGATACTAATTCTGACATTACAAGCCAAACAGGTAGACCTCTATACTTGCAATTTTTTCAAAGTTGGCCTACCTTCTCTTCATTATACCATGATTCTGAACACTTTTATATTTAAAAGAAAACACCAAGAAAATAAAATCATGTGGTTTCATAGGCCTACGTACTATATGTTATCCTGAACTCAATTACCCCATAGGATTGATGTTTATCAGTCATTAATGTTCTGCCCCTTGTTTCTTTCCGAAGTGCGACTTAGTTCAATTCGGCATCAACTCTTCCAAAATACACGACTAGTTCAGTGGCTCATTTTAATGAATATGGCAACTGATTGCGTTGCCCCCATGTCCCATTCGTAAACAACAGCAATTGGGATTTTACTTTCTGCCTATTTTTATCGGGATCTATGTTTTATTGTTTTGTCCTTCTTATAGGTTTCGTTTGGAACGTTTTTACTTTTGTATTGCAAAAGGCACAAAAAGCTCCTGGTGTACTAACTAGCTGCTGGAACACAGTAAAATAATAAATAAATAAATGCTTTAAATAATATATATTGGTCATTTTAACAAAAAAACGGTGGTCATTATGCCTGTTAAAATAGAAGATGTGTGCCGTACGTGCATGTATGATGGATCAGGCTCCCTGAAAGCAGAAGAGATGGCTACTGGAAAGCAGGACAAGCAAATGCTACCACTTAACACAATTGTAAACAGTAACGAAGAACAAACCCATCCACCAACTCTATTGGAACTCTTAAAAATCTCCATTCCACAGCTGAAATTACAACAAAATGACAGGCTTCCGAAGAATATATGCATAGAATGCGCAAACAATATAAAGGAGTTCAATTATTTCCGAGAAAAATGTTTAAGCGTAGAACGGCATCTTTATGAACTCTTACAAACATCAGATACTGCTGCTGCTGCTGCAAGTAAAAAGCCAGACGATGAGGAAGAACATCCATTTTTTGATATGTTCGAAAAGGCCTTGGATGTGGACGACGAAAAATTAATGAAATCTGAAGTGGAGGAAGATGTTTTCATAGATCAAAACTCATTTCAGTCCGATCAGTTTGTCGATGATGAAATGGCACAAGACAATGAAGAGGAATTTATAAAAAGCGTAAAAAGTTCAAGCGATTTTAGTATAGATTTTGAATTGGACACCGACAGTGATAGCAACTTTGGTGAAAAGTAGGTAGTATATAGGAATACTGCAATACTTGTTCCTTATTTCCTTTTTTTATCTATTGTAGGAAGAAATCCACAAAAAAGGAGAAATCTACAAAATCGAATAAAAAGTCCAGTGAATCGAAAAATAAAAATAGTACCCAAGAGTCATTTCCCTGTACGCAATGTAAAAAGCAGCTAAAAACTGAAGCATCCTTAAAGAAACATTTACAACTGCATGAACGTAAAGCAGGAGAAGATCGTGAACGAAAATATGTGTGCAATGTTTGTGATAGAGGTATACATTTAACTTTATCAATATGATCTGACTTGTAACCCAAATTCAATACAATATTTTGCCTATTTCAGGATTTCCTCATGCGTATATGTTACGAGATCACTTACGATCACATAGCGGTAAGTTGAGGTTTTAGAGTAGATAGGGTAGGGCCAAAATTGAAAATCCCTGGTCTGTTCCAGAACTACAAGAACGTAAAAGTTTTTACTACGATAACCGATTTTCCCTTTATGATATCGAAAAATATTAAAAAAAAAATAGTAGATTCTTGAGGTTCTGGAACATACCACCCATACTTGTTTTGTCCTGTAATGAAAAATAAATATATGCAGGTGAAAAGCCATTCCTCTGCTCCGAATGCGGCAAAGGATTCACCACATCGAGCAGTTTGAAGCAACATACATTCCGTCACAAAAAAGAAAGACAATTCACATGTCCCGATTGCCCGAAAGCATTTACCACACGAACTGATTTATCGTCACATTCCGTGGTACATCGGGAAAAGTCGCGTACTCATGTTTGTGATTTGTGCGGCAGAGGATTTACGCGGGCGTTTGTTTTGAAGCAGCATAAAATGTATCATCGTAACGAACGAGCATTCTCTTGTGAGTTCTGTGAAAAACGGTAAGAGTGGATATGGTTTTTTTTTTTTCATATATTCCATTAATAGTTATTTTTTGATATTTTAGATTCAATACAAATGAGAAACTTCAGCGGCACACACGCATACATACTGGTGAAAAACCGTACAAATGCAAATATTGCGAAAAGGCCTATTGTCAGTCGAACGAGTTAACGAAACATTTGCGATTCCATTTGGGTGAAAATGTCTATCAGTGCGCATTGTGTCCACAACGATTTGCAACGGTTAAATTAGTAAAAGAACACTTTATATTGCATAAAAACGATGATGAGGAAACAAGAGCTCGAAATGTAGCTGAACTGAATGCACTAGAAATAAAAGGAATATTTTGTAGATAAATTATAAATGTGTTTCATGTGATTTTTTTTTCTTATTACACTGTTGGTTCCAATTGAGAATTATTTATCGATTTTTTAAACGCCTTAAGGTGAGAGTACGTAAGGAGCTTGAAGTCTTCGCATGGCATATTTTGTGACATCGTAAAAGAGCCCACTCGAAACCTGTCGTCGTTTTTACTTATAATGTGACATTAATTTGCCTAGCCATGATGCTGCTTATGTGCTCACACTTTAATATATCAATAATGCTCTGTTCCAGAACCTGGAAGAATATAGTAGTTTTGATTTTTTTTTCGATATCTTAGAGGGAAAATCTATTATCGTAGTAACATTTCTTTACATTCCTACAGTTCTGGAACAAAGCAAAAAAGGACGAGTTCTACTATTATCACTATTTTTTCATTCTCGCAAGATTTGGAATAGAGCTTCCTACCTATAAAAAAGTGGAAACGATTTCATCTCCTCAGTCGTAACTCCATACCTTTTCAAATCATTATTTATATGTTATTTCTTACCCATCGTCTCATGATCAGTTTTTTGTTTTCTTTATTCGAATAAGTTCCGTACCAATTTAATTTACGAAATTTCTCCCCATTCTCGGGAATTCCAGCAGAGACGGTAAATGGATGGATGGAACCCGTTATTTCTATTTATTTTTGTCAATTTATTTATTTGGGTCTAACTCTAGTAAAATCTCTTCAATTCAATTTTTTTGGAATTTTTTATAAAACCCCCAAAAAGTCAAAAAGGTCCCATTATGGGGGTCAAACAAATTGATGCCAAATTCTTGCTAACTCTCTTACCTTTACAAAATGCTACAATTTGTGCTAATACCTTTTCTGGGTACAGAGATATTCTCTTCTGGATACGTTCAATCGGCTATGCGAACAAAGCTACCCCTTAAATACAATTTTTATACCCTACACCTTGCCTACTGGAGGTTAAGTTCGTAAATGGGCAACGTCGGACCACGTTTTCGTATAGCTCCCATATAGCAGTACCTCCCGATATTGTACTTTTTCAATTTTTTTTTCTCTCTGGAAACATGTAACAACAGTTTCTGGCAGATTGCTCTTTTTCTACATTTACTGCTAAAACTTTCTAAACATTTTCAAAAATACTTGGCAACCCAGATTGCTTGCAACTGTCATTTGTTTATTTATGCTCAATTTTTAGCAGTAATGGCCATTCAAATGAATCTTGTTTAACAAAATACAATGTGTTATTTATGATCCGCTTTTTTGCATGATCTATATACCTTCGTCCTTTCCAGAATATCCAGAATATGCTATCTTAAATATTTCATTGATTTTAAGAAAAACTAATTACAATATGCAACGACTGGTTCCGTGGTTCATTTAAATGAATAATTCAAGTAAACTTTATTCGTGTTTGCATGTTCGCGAAATTCATTTCATATACTCCCGAACCGTTCGTTTCAATTGAAGAGCAGCATTGCAGTTTATTTATTTAACAGAAAAAAAATATTTGTGGAAGGGAAGAAGCATAAAGGGGCCACCCCCACCAAACAGGTTTTATTCAATTAACCATAAATAAATTATTTACAAGTCACAAGAGTAAAAACAACTTGTTGTTATTGTTGTCTTCGGACAACGGCAACCACGAACCAAACGAAAAATCAGTCTTTACTAAAACTTTCAACCAGCAAAACAACGACGTAGAAGTGCGACGGGTGTTTGAGAATTGTCGAAAAAAATTAAAACGAAAATGGTAACACGTACTAGTGGGACCTCCACCACGGCCATTGTCTGGTTGGTGTTAAGTGCCTTATTGGTGCTTTCACCCCTGAGTGAGGCTAAGCGAGCATTGGGTGGTGGTGGTCGTAAGACATCATCGGGTGGAGGTCACACCACCCGAAGACAGCCGGATACACATGTCACCAAACCCACATATTCCATTAGTAGTGGTAATTCTCATGCGGACCAGGCGAAACTAAGTTACCCCAACTACAATGCACAACCCAATCGTCCGGCTAGTGCTCCATCGTCATCCAATTCCCAGCCAATTGGTTGGAATGTGCCCAACAATCAACATGGTGCTGCTGGACCACCGCCAGCTTATTCGCCCAGTAACGTAGCCGGAGGAGCCAAGACCAATCTCCATGAACCACCACCGGCATATCAGAAACCCAATTATGGGGCACCACCACCAAATTACAATCAGGCCACTGGTACCCATTACGGTTCAGCTTCATATCCCCAACAACAGTTACCGGCTGGTGCCACCTATCACAGTCCCAATAATTTGCCACCAGGAGCCACTCTGTACAATAGTCCTTCACACGTTCCCGGCGGTTATCCCATGGCTGGAGGTTATCCAATGGGTGGTGGTTATCATGCCCCCGGAGGTGGTGGTGGTGGTTATTATCCTGCTAATTCTGTTCCAGCTGGTGCTAGTTATTTCCCGGCTGGTGGTCAATTGCCACCCGGTGCTGTGCTCTATTCATCGCCACCACAACAAACATCATCTGGTTTAGGTTTTGGTGAGTATGGGAGGAAATCTTTTTCATTGGTTTTTATTTTTGTTCTAGGTTTTTAATTTGAAATTTAAGTTTAAGTTCACTTAGGTAGATTTAAGTGCACTTAGGTAGATTTAGGGGACTAGGTTTTGAAAGGTACAATTAACTGTATTGGAGATAGAAAAATAGGGATCCTGAAGGTGTTGTGATTAATAAAGTCTTGAAAAGAATGACATATACCCAAGATATACGAAATATGATTTGTTATATTACAAATATTGCAGTATAAAGCATAGTTGGGCAAATTTGATATTGAATTCCAGAATAAACATGATAAGCCAATTAAAATATATCTTCTGACCGTGAAAAGACTCATAGAGCAGAAATCAATTAGTAAATCTCGCAGCCTTCTTGCCAATGAACTTTTCCGGAAATTGTTAGTGTGTGTACTTAAAAATCAAGTGCAAATTAGAAATATTCAAAAATCAGTCTAATTTTATATGTCTTTATGTATCATATCAATTTTTGCTCAACGTTACCTCTTATACTTTAAACATAGCTTGGATATCGTCACATTAAAATGTAAATTCATCACCTGATGTGGGTACTTTTTGCATAGATTGTTTTTTTTTGTGCAGTTCGTGTGAATTACCCTGATGAACGTGAGCCGCATAACTTGGTAGACAATTTTTTTTATAATTGAATTGAGTTTTTTGTTGACAAACTGAAACGTATATCACGATAGTAGAGAATTTTTCTTATTTATATCAAAAATTTCTGTAGTTTACACTTATTCCGTGAAATAACTATTTCGAACCCATGGATAATCTGTTCCAGAACTGCAAGAATGTAAATATTTTTTACTACAATAACCGAGTTTCCCTTTATTATAACGAAATTATAGTAAATTGTTGAAGGTTTTGGAACAGAGGAAGAGTCTCGTTAAGGGTAAACATTCAAATTGACCTTTTTGAGGGTTTAATCTAAAATGAGGATGGAAGATAAAATCCATTCAAATATAGCCTTGATTTTGATGTGAAAATCATGGCCACAGGTTCATGTTTATATTATGTTTACTTGCTTCTAATTCCCCCACTTTTCTATCAATTGGTTTTAATATAATTGAATTATTTTGTTTCCAGAATTTATATTTATTTTTAGGTTTTCCAGAAAAAAAATAATAATGAATTAAAATCACTCTTCTTTTGATTTATTTATTATCACTAACTACTTATCTTCCTTTCTAATATTTGCTTAGTTTGTTTGTATCAAAGTTATCCCCTCCCCTGCATGTTAAGCTTTCTATTGAAGCAGAACAATTGTGTATGGCAATAAGCTATGTACATTATTCATGCATCAGTAGACTCTCGGTGACAGATCCAAACATGTGTTAAACTTGTTTTTTGTTTTTCGAGTCACTGGCAAAAATATCTACCCCCTTTGTTTGTCCACAACAAACAGCAAAGCTTCAGACCACCGAGATCAATGATAAATAAATTGGTTATATGCCATTTATTGGATTTTCAAATAAATCTGAGAAATAAACAATTAAATAATCATTGCCAACGAGCTCTTCTCAAATGAATACAAAATATTAAAGGTAAATTAAATCAATCTGATCCAGAAATTTCATGTTTGTTGCCATATTGAAATACAGGGTGAGATAAAAAAAATGCAACAAAGTCAAAGGCCATCATTTTTATATATATTTTTTTAAATTTTATTGAATGAAAGCAAAAAATATTGGAAATAGCATCAAATTTTAGAATAAGTTTAGATTTGTTCGAATTGGTCGCCTTTGGCACGATTTTTTTTTTGGCCTTCCAACGGCCAATGAAACCGTCACACGCTGCCCGAATGTTGCTCTGCGATATTTTGGCCCATTCCCGACGAAGCGCATGCTTGCGGAATTCGACACTTTGGTATTTTTTAGTACCAACCTTGCTTTCCAAAATACTCCAGACACAATAGTCCAACGGATTGGTATCCGGAGATTTTGGTGGCCATTGTGCGCTGGAAATGAAGCGAGGAACTTTATTTTGTAACCATTCTTGGGTGGCGTCTGCTGAGTCCTTTAGGAATGTCCAAGGTTTGCGTGCCCAAGGCTTTAATATACCCTCAAGAATATTTTCGTGATAATATTCGGCATTTATTCTGATGCCACCCACGGTCGATTAATACGAGCGGAGGGCGGCCATCGGCTATTATGGCGGGCCACACTCTCTCCATGGCCGGCGCTTGAGTTCTGGTGGCCAACTGAAGGTGCACATTTTCAGCTGACCTCTTTGGCCAGTAAACACGATCATTTTGTTTGTTTACAAACTGCTGGACAACGAATGTTTTCTCATCGGGTACGAAGAAAACCCAATTCGGCAGTTCACCACTTTCAACCAAGCGAAGCAACTCTTTAGCTCTTTTTGATTCTATTTTCTTTCTGTTGCGGTGAAGGTTCTTGCACTATTTGCGCAAGGAGTATTGATATTTTCAGCTCACGAGCCATTTTTCTGCCACTGCGACGCGGGTTTCGATGAAGTCGCTTCTTTACTTTCTACCATTTCTGCTGATGTTGCTGTTTTCTTCCGTCCACTTCCTTGACGTCGGGCTACGCTACCAGTATCACGGTAACGAGCGATGGTACGAGACATGAAAGTTTCATTCTTTTAACATTTAAATGCTGGAGTGATCTAACGATAGCCACTTGTGGTTTTCCAGCCAAATATAAAGAAATCACACTATCACGCTTGAATTCCATCACGAAACTTTTCTGGAAACTTCCCACAAAAATGCTGTTGTACGCTTGTAAACAATATAATGAGCTGTCACAGGAATATTTTTAACAGCTGTCTGACGGGTGGCTTAGAAATGACAGCAGTCTCACCCTGTATATTACTCCATGGAAGTATTGTGACAAAACATGGGTTGTCAAGATCATGCTAATGACTTCTACAAACATCGATTAGCAAGAGATCTCTAAATAAAAGTAAAAATATTTGACAAAAGACAGTTGTCTAGATTTGCAGTCAAACCTGCGCTGATAAATGATACTATTTTCCTTAAAGAAGCGATTTAAATCCAGACAATTTTACATGAAAATGAAACTTAGTTTATGGAAGAGAAATTTTAAACATTTTAATAGAAGGTGCATCTCTCCATAAACTCAGATTCTTCTTTCCAGAAAATTTTCTTTTCTACCCGAGTTTCCTCTATTGAAATGATATGGGAAAACTGAGGAACTATTAAAAACTAATGATAATTATTGGATTGTGGAAACCAAAAAAACTCCAATGCATGGTGATCCATCCTCGTCTTCCTACCACAAATTCAATAACAACAATTTCATCATTTCAGTACAGTTTTGTTTGCCTTATGGTAACCATAAACCATTTTGTTGTTTGCTAATATCTCCATGTCATGCAAATTGTGTATTTTTGGGCAACGCATGAATTTCTTGACCATCAAAAGCGTATTGGCATATTTCTGTTTGCCAATTGCTTTTGTGTTGCCTTTTTTTCAATAACCCCCTCATTTGTGGGGGAAGGTGTATAAACAACGAAATTCAACACTTAACAGCGCGTATGTGTGAATCATATTTCCAAGAAAAACAAGATGTGAATATATGAATTTCCTTTGTTGTGAACTTATGAGAAAGGCTTTCAAATGCTGACTGCCGGTTGTTACTAATTGGCTTAAATTATTGTTTTACGACGACGGACAACTTAACTTTGCGAACGTTAAAATAATCTGTAATATTTGGAAGAAAGTTATTTTAAATCGGAAAAAAATGTACCAAATTGCATTGCATTTTTATACCCTCTACCATAGTATTCTTGACCAGCATAAAATTCTATGTCCATATAGCGATGTCCGTCCGTCTGTTGAAAACACTCTAGCTTCCGAACTAATTGAAGTAGATTGATAAAATTTTATTCAAATGTATATTATGTCTGCCGGACTTTTGGTATTGAAAATGGGTCATGTAGGTACACGTTTTAATATAGCGCCCATATAACAGTACCTCTCGATATTCGGTATTTTGATGATTTTAGCGACATTGTTCACAGGAATTATTTCAAATTTGGTATTTGATGTTCGTAATAGATGCTACAGCATATGACAGAAAATTATCTGTGCAAGTCTACGTCTTCGTATAGCCCCCATATAACAATACCTCTCGATATTTGGTATTTTGATGATTTTAGCGACATTATTCACCGGAATTGTTTCAAATTTGGTATTTGAATTTCGCAATGGATACCACAGCCTAAGACAGAAAATTGTCTCTGCAGGTCCACGTCTTCGTATTGCACCCATATAAAAGTACCTCCCTATATTCGGTATTTTGACGATTTTAGCGACATTATTCACTGGAATTGTTTCAAATTTGGTATTTGCAATTCATAATGGATACTACAGCCTAAGACAGAAAATTATCTATGCAGGTCCAAGACTTCGTATAGCCCCCATATAATGGTACCTGCCTATATTCGGTATTTTAATGATTTTAGCGACATTATTCACCGGAATCGTTTCAAATTTGATATTTGAAGTTCGCAATGGATACTACAACCTAAGATAGACAATTTTTTTATGTAGGCCCACGTCTTCGTATAGCCCCCATATAACAATACCTCCCGATATTCGGTATTTTGATGAATTCAGCGACATTATTCACCGGAATCGTTTCAAATTTGATATTTGAAGTTCGTAATGGATACTACAGCCTAAGACAGAAAATTGTCTGTGCAGTTCCACGTCTTCGTATAGCCCCAAATAGCAGTATTTGGGATTTGGATGATTTTAGCTACATTATTCACCGATTTTTTTTAAGTTTCGCATTTGAATATTGTAATGGCGTATGACAAAAGTTACCTATGCAGGTTCATGTGGACGTATAGACCATAATATAATAACTTTTTTCGGTATTTTTAAGTTTTTAACAAAATTTTTAACGGATTTTATTGTTTTCGTTCCAAATGGTAGAGGGTATTCAAAGTTCGGCCCGATCGAACTTACAGCATTTTTTACTTGTTCTTCCTATTTTTTTTTTATTTTAAGAGATTTTTTTTTATAAATGAAGCTCATTATTGTTGTTTTTTTTCCTCTTCCCACAGGTTCCGGTCTAGCTGCCGGTGCAATTGGAGGTGCCATTTTGGGTCATGTCCTGACTCCAACCCAAACTAAGGTTGTGGAACAGGCTCCTGCTGCTGGTAATGCTGCCGGTGGGGGTGATCGTGTCATCATTATCAACAATACAGGACAACCCATTAATGCCACGGATGCCAATGGGGCCACCATCATAAATGCTGGCGGTACACCAGCTCCAGCCACAAGTGGTGATGCTGCTGCTGCTGCCGCCGCTGCACCAATGGCTCCCTTGGCACCTTTGGTTCCAATGACCGCTGGAGATATGAATAATACAACTGTTGCCCCCATGCCTGCTGATATGACAAATGCCACAAATCCCGAACAAGCTGCTCCTCCCGCCCCGGGTGGCATTATTTGTGTTCCGGTTCGTGTGAATGCCACCGATCCCAATGATGCCAGCAAAATGATGGAGGTGGAACAAATTGCCTGCTATCCTGCACCGCCACCAGCAGCAGCACCAGCAGCCGACGGATCCATGGATCCTGCTGCTCCACCACCACCACCAGCCGAGGGTTCAGCTCCTCTGGCTCCCATGCAGCCAGTACCCGCTGGCGGATCACAACAATTGCAACAATCCACCTTGGTGGGTGAACAAAATGCCAAACCGGCCGTTTCTGGAGCCAAACGTGAACAGCAGCAAGGTCTCTTGGGCCTCATAGTGTGCTTTGTGGTTAGCTATTTGCTTGTCCATTAAGTCGATTCCCGAAATTTGTTTTTGAATCTCCTTACCTTACCAAGTTGTTATAAATTTTGTTAATCTAAGAATCTCGAACGAATCTTGTCCCAAAAAGAACAAAACAATGAAATAATTAATTAAAATTTGTGTAAGTACTGCACTCCTATTGCCCCTTTGCTTCCATGGCTATGGTTGCTGATTAGTATTCAATGCAGACAGTTTTAAAACTTGTCTATAATAACTAAATAACGTCATGGTAGTAACCTTGAATATTTAATGAATCAAATTTGCTTAACATTTGCAGAACGACGGTATATACCTCAATTGAAGAAGCTTTAAATGTAATTAAAAAAATATAGTTTTTGTTTATGATTTACAAACAGATAACCCCAATGTCCTTAAATAAATATTTGTATTAACAATTAATAAACTTCCTTTTAATTACACAAAAAAAAAATGCCAACACCTCCAATTTTCCCTATTCATTCCTTATTCTCATTCCAGTTTTACCTAGTTTTCCAAAAAGCCATCTCCTTTGACCTTTTAGTTTAACCTCTTAACTAACAAACTAAATTGTGTTACGATTACACTGAATGTAAACTACATTTGTTTGTATGTGTATTTTATTTCTGACAAACGGCAGACACTTACTTTAACACACAAACAGAGAGACAAACTAACAATATATAAAAAAAACTACTTGAAATAATAGTAATTTATGGCCTTAAAAATATGAAACTGTAATTAGGGAATTTCTATTTTATTTTGTGAAACAAGCAAGCAATCGTCTTTGTCTGTATTACTCGTTGTTTTTTTTACATTATTTACACAACAAACAACAACTATTGTTATATAAATTTATCAATATTTCCATTTTGTTGGCAGCTGCATATTGATATACAAGTAATTTTATATATATTTTTATTACTTTTGTTTAGATTGTTAATATCGTTGTATTTTTTGAAGTTTTCATGTTTTCTTCTCGAAATAAATAAATGCACTCATAATACTCCAACACAGTAAAATTTGAGAATTTTCTGAATTGCAATGGGTGGTAGGTATTAATATGGGAATAATTAATCGAATTATTACATCAAATTTACACATTTTTCGAATTGGGAAAATTTCTTTCTCAATGTAAGATTATAAAACGAACTAAGTCGACCTAAAACTCCCTTGTTTCCCTACGATAAAGCCAGCCAATGACTGAAGCCAGTAAAAAAGCGTTTTGTGTATTCTCACCTTCAAGGTATGTTTACATTAGAGCTTTTTCTCGGATTAACCTTCTATAGAAAGATTTATTTGAGCCGTATGCAGTGGAATTGACCGACTGGGCTTTCTAAATCCTTTCAATGCTGCCAGGAATATCAAACCACCCATTGAAATATTTCCCCAGGGTGAGATGGAAAAACTGTAACAAATTTTAGACTGCTGTTATTTCTATACCACTCGTCCGATAGCTGCTAAAATTATTCCAGTGACAGCTCATTATATTGTTTACAATCGTACGAAAGCATTTTGTTTAGAATTTTCCAAAAAAAAAAATGTTATTCGTGATGGAATTCAAGCGTGATAGTGTGATTTCTTTATATTTGGCTGGAAAGCCACATGTGGCTATCGTTAGGAGCACTCCAGCGTTTAAATGTGAATAAATCTTTTGTGTCTCGTAACATGGCTCATTACCGTGATACTGGTAGCGTAGCCCGACGTCAAGGAAGTGAACGAATGAAAACAGAAACAGCAACATCAGCCGAAATGAAGCAGTTCGAAAAGTAAAGAAGCGACTTGTTCGCGAACCCGCGTCGCAGTGGCCGAAAAATGGCTCGTGAGGTGAACATATCGCAATATTCCATTCGGCAAATGTTGAAAAATGAGCTCGGGGTAAAGCCATTGAAATTCAAAAAAAGTGCAAGAACTTACACCGCAACAGAAAGAAAATAGACTCAAAAGAGCTAAAGAGTTGCTTCGTTTGGCCAGCCGAAACTGATGAACTGCCGAATTTAGTTTTCTCCGATGAGAAAACATTCGTTGTCCAGAGTTTTGTAAACAAACAAAATGATCGTGTTTACTTGCCAAAGAGGTCCGCTGAAAATGTGCACCTTCGGTTGGCCATCAGAACTCAAGCGCCGGTCATGGTGATGGTGTGGGCCGCCATAACAGCCGATGGTCGCTTTCCGCTCGTATTAATCGACCGTGGCATCAGAATAATATTATCCCGAAAATATTCTGGAGGGTGTATTAAAGCCTTGGGTACGCAAACATTTCGGCCGCAGACCTTGGACATTTCAACTGGACTCAGCACGCGCCACTCAAGAATGGTTACAAAATGAGGTTCCTCGCTTCATTTCCAGCGCACAATGGCCACCAAAATCTCCGGATTCCAATCCGTTGGACTATTGTGTCTGGAGTATTTGAAAAGCAAATTTGGCACTAAAAAATACCAAAGTGTCGATCACTTCAAGCAAGCGCTTCGCCGGGAATGGGCCAAAATACCGCAGAGCAACATACGGGCAGCGTGTGATGGTTTCATTTACCGTTTAAAGGTCATAATTCGTGCCAAAGGTGATCAATTCGAACAAATCTAAAATTATTCTAAAATTTGATGATTTTTCCGACATTTTTGCTTACATTCAATATTTTTTATTTATAAAAATGTAAAAATTATGGCCTTTGTCTTTTTTGCATTTTTTTTTATGTCACCCTGTATTTCTTTTGTCTTTTTTTGCATAAAATTCATAGTAAAATTAAGAAGGTAAAGTCATGCAATCATATCTTTACATTTTTTTTTCAAAATTATTCATTTGACAACATCTTATTGTCAAAATGTATATTTACTTAAGGTGAGAGTACGTAAATAGCTTTTTTGAGTGGCTTAAGTCATCGGCTGATTTTTTCATAGAGGATTAAATGATTTTTAGGTTGGCCCTACGCTTCTTTTCCGAAGAAGCCAGCCAAAAAAGCGTTTTATGTATTCTCACCTTTAAGCCAGTCAAAAAAGCTTTTTATGTACTCTCACCTTAAGTTTCCTATCAGGAGACATAATTGTTATTTTAAATTCAAAGAGAATCAAATCCAAGTAGTACAAATACTACTACGTTTTTTTGGCTAAAAATAGTTTCGACCTTAAGGTGGGACTACATAAAGCGCTTATTTGGCTGGCTTCTTCGTAGAGGAACAAAGGCGTTTTAGGTTGATTTAGTTCGATTTTGGCCCTAGGCTCCTTTGTTCATTTTCGAAGAAGCCAGCCGATGACTTAAGCCAGCCAAATAAGCGCTTTATGTATTCCCACCTTTATGTTGGTCATGGCCATGTTTGTCAAGGTAAACCTCAGCAAATTCAGGACCGAATATTATTGTTTAAAATGGGGTTACAGTGGTATTTTAAAATTAAAAGTTTAATAATTTAATATTTTTCAATAACTTTGTCGATGATCTCGGAAGAACAATTGATCATTCTTATTGAAGTACTATAGATTATTACATTGTATCTTTTAGAAAAGGGAGGTATGTGTGTATATGGGAAATCCCCTTCGTGTGAAAGCGATTTAATCGCTTAATCGCATGCAATAATTAAAGTCAAATATTCAACGCCATTCATTCATAGATAGACTGAATGTCGGACAGACTGACAGATCCATGACAATGAAATGAATTAAAAGTCAGATAAGATTACAAACAAAAAACAAACTATGCAAAAATTATAATAAATATTCAATTAATAGACCCAAATGTTACATATGATCTTCAAAGTGGCACCCAATTGTTTTGCGCTTCGTCACCATTGACGTGAGTGAATCACTACTGGTGTCCCAAAAAAACAAAAAAAAAAAAAACTCAAAATAAAACACAAATAGAGCATTATTCAATTTAAATGAAAATCTCCAAACAAAGCCAGCCTTCCCTTCCTCCAGTAGCAGCACACATGACCAGGCGGTTGGCATAAGGCCTGCATATGCGTTATTTTTACCTGTTTAATAAGTGATAAGACGGTGAATGAGAAATGTAGAGAAGAGGGTCTGATTTTTATCGGCAAAAAAAAAACTATGATCATTCATGACATATGAGCAATTAAACCCCATATGGGAAGTTTGAAATCCAAAATGGGCACAAGAGAGTGAGAGCGAGAGAAATTACTGCTAATGAACCGTAATATAAATAAACAAATTCGTAATACAAAGTCAATACAAATCAGAGATGGACATTTGTAATTAAAGAAGACTGGGTGTCACAGTGGATGAAATAAATAGACGAGAAGGATTAATTTATTTGCAAAAAAACGAAGATCTATAAGAGAGATTAAACATTATGGAAATAACCTTACAACTACTAATACACTAAAAGTGAGAAAAAATTAAACCCTTGTTTGACTGACTAAGTTAACTTAAAATCCATTGTTCTTTTACGAAGAAGCCGATGACTTAAGCCGGTCAAAAAAGCGTTTTGTGTATTCCCACCTTAAAGATTGTGAGCAACATAGCCTTTAAGTGAGCATATAGTGTCTTTTTTGTAGAATGTTCGGAGACCGAGTTGATGACTATTTTCAAAGAAGAGGAAACAAAAATTGAAAAAAATACAAAGGTGAGCAAAATAAAAAAGGGCCCAAATCAGCTGATATGGATATATATGACAGCTGTGGGGGAAATAAGTGAAAATACAAAATCTATGTACGATACCCCATTATTTTGTAATAGATTACGCAAAATGTTATAAAATCACGAAAGAATGAGACATTCTTCAACATAAAAACATCAGACTTATTTATTTTTATACCCTCCACCATAGTATGGAGCGTATATTAAGTCTCTCATTCCGCTTGTAACACCTCGAAATATACATTTTAGACCCCACATACACAGTATATATATTCTTGAACAGCATAAAATTCTCTGCCGATTTAGCGATGTCCGTCCGTCTGTGGAAATCACTCTAGCTTCAGAACGAAATGGAGTAGGTTGATAAAATATTACTCAAATGTATATTATGTCTGCAGGACTTTTGGTATTGAAAATGGGACATGTAGGTCCACGTTATGGTATAGCACCCATATAACGATACCTCCAGATATTCGGTATTTTGATGATTTTAGCTACACTATTCACCAGAATTGTTTCAAATTTGGTATTTGAAGTTCGTAATGGATACTACAGCCTAAGACAGAAAATTGTCTATACAGGTTCACGTCGTCATATAGCCCTCATATATAGGTACCTTCCGATATTCAATATTTGGATGTGTTTGGCGACTTTTTTCAACGGAAATGTATCAAATTTGGTAATTGACGTTCGAAATGGAGACTACAGCCTATGACAGAAAATTGTCTGTGCAGGTCTAAGCCTTCGTATATCCCCCATATAACGGCACCTCCCGATATTCGGTATTGTGATGATTTTAGCGGCATTTGAAGTTCGTAATGGATATTACAGCCTATGACAGAAAATTGTCCGTGCAGGTCCCTGTTTTCGTATAGCCCCCATACAACGATACCTCCCGACATTCGTAGATGAACAAAAGAGTTTTAGGTTGACTTAGTTCGATTTTGGCCCTACGCTCCTTTGTTTATTTCCCAAGATGCCAGCCGACGACTTAAGCCAGCCAAATAAGCGTTTTATGTATTCCCACATTTACAGCTTTTTTTACTTCTTTAATATTACAAAAAATTTGCCATTTTTCTTTAGTAGTTACAGAATTAATTTTGAAATTGTATGAAAATTATTTTTGCCGATTTGAAAATGAGATTACCACTTCAAATCTGCCATTGTTGTAGAAGATTTTTCCAATTAATTGGGTTTTAACTTAGCTACTTGATATTGAAATAAAACACAAGATCTTAACATTTCCATCTCTGACTATTAACACCACTAACTGATAAGCGATTTAATTCAGTAATACTCCAAATTCTACTACTATTATGTTTGTTGTTTTTTTTTTTCTATGCCCAGGTTCCTGATAAGATATATGATACTACCAAGCCCATAAAAAAAACAAACCATGAGAAACACCTAGTCTCTTCACAAGTGTCACAAAGAACGTATCGCACGCTTTTCGTTTTTAGACATAATTCTATCTTCCGTTAAATAAAAATATGCCGGTTAAATAATAAATTCCAGAAATGTGAAAAACAAAGTGCATAAAAATAGATATTTCAACAAGAACTTCACTGCTTTGGTTCTAAAGCCCAGATTCCCATATTAAAAAGAAACGAAAAACAAACAAAACTTGCAGTGGTTATGCTTCAGTGCTTAAATAAAACAAAACAAAAATAATAACGCGGAACATCTGAAACCCCATCTGCAATGAGAGAAAGAGCAAAAGAGAAGTCGACAATAAAAACACTGACCAGATAAATAATTTTCATTTAAATATGTACATGGTCCAACAATAATAACAAAACTGACCGCAAAGATATATATATTTTTTTTTGTTCATTGGTATTCGTGCATATCAGACATAGCTGGGACTGTGGTAAATCCCCGTCTGCCTTCCACCGGCATTAACGCCTCCCATCCCAGGCTTTTTGATAGATTAGCACTTTTAAGGTTTTTGTTTTTTTTCTTGCTTCTTTTCTCAATGAATGCATTTCCTTTGGATTACTCTCTCTCTCTCTCTCTCAGAACACCAAACACACGCAAACACACGAGGAGAGAATAAATGAGTTTGAGTAATAAAAACAATGGAACCACTAACAACAACAACAACAAGAACCATGTATCGCAATCACAATGAGCCTTGGTTTCCCAACAATTCATCTTCCATAACGCAACAATTGCCACAGGCGCGCGAATCTGAAGGCATGCTTATCGCCACAGCAGCCTCGGCGGCCAACGAACGCAGAGCCCAAACCAAAACCATTATGGATTGTTTGCGCGATCGTACACCCAGTAGTTATACGCGTTCCAACAGCCATATAGCACGTGCCAACGGTGGTCTAGTCGCCGCCCGACAGCCACCTGCTTTCCCCCAAAGGGAGCCACGACCGCGACCCATAAAACTAACTCTGCTCAAAAGCTCAAGCACTCGTGACCTTTCACGTCTTTTGGAAAATGAAACAACAACGCCACCACCGCTGGCAACATCTTCATCAACGGCGAATCTTTTAAACATGACTTCTAGTCCATCGTCGTTATCATCGTCCGCGACAACGTCCAGTAGTCTCCAGCAGCAGCAGCAGTGTTGCTCCTCTTTATGTTCGAAACAAATACACCGACTTGAACAGCGCATTAATGATTTGGAATTGCAGTTGAATCAGCAACAAGTGAATGCCATCGAAATGGCCACACGCCTGGAAGAATTGAATAAGAAATTTGAATTGATTTCAAAGGAAACGGAAATGCAACAGCAGCAGCAGCAACAACAACAAAGTAAAAGGAAAAAATCCGGTTCGCCACGTTTTGGCAAAAAGGAAAGTGCAAATGCCGGCTCAGGCGGTGGTTCCAATATTGTTGTGCAACCCTCAAAACTGGTGGCCTGGATTAAATTATCGAATTTCTGGAAACAACGACCCAGCATACAGACGCTGAAGGATCAAAATATCTATAATGGTAAGAAGATAAACAAAAAAAAAAAATAACCGAGAAGGCAAAGAAATGAAGCGGGTAGACGATAAGCAGGGCGACAAGAACAGACATTTCATTGCACTGTAGACTCAGGTCAAAAACTTGCAGTATTTTTATTTTGTATTTAACTTGAATATAGGTTTCAATCCATGGTTATAGCGCATGGTAGAAGAATATAGATAGATGCATCAATGCTTGGGAACATTGATATGTCAACATTTTTAAAATGTTCTATCAAAAATAAGTAAATTTTTTGTAGCATTTTTCAACAATTTTTACAAATTTCAATAATTTTTCAAAACATTTTTCATTCCAAAATCGACATTTCATTGTCCCAGCAGCTGTGTCGATGCGACTACCTGTATTCTTCTACCATGGTTATAACGTATACATCACGATTCCATAGCGTATACATCACGTAAATCGTTTTCATAAATCATGTGGATATATTTGACGTATACGCTTTGGAATCGACTTTTGAGATCGAGTTGGTTTCGTAAAACTTAACGTTATTTTAGTCTCATTTGACAAATCGAATATTGCAACCGTTTTCCAACAAACTCGACCTTTCATTTTTCAAATAAAAATGATTGTCATATCTTAAATATTTACGTATGACGAGTGGCATATTTTACAAAAACGACAAATAATATCTTATTTTCGGCTTTCTTTGGCATGTCAAAACAATTAGGTTGAGAATACATAAAACGCTTTTTGACTGGCTTAAAGGTGAGAATACATACAACGCTTCTCTGACTGGCTTAAGTTATCGGCTGGCTTCTCCGTAGAGGAACAAAGGAGACCTTGGTTGACTTAGTTCGATTTTGGCCATACATTCCTTTGTTCTTTTCCAGCCAGCCGGCGACTTAAGCCAGTCGAAAATGCTCTTTATGTGCCTGCACCTTAAGGGTGGGAATACATAAAGCGCATATTTGGCTGGCTTCTCCGTAGAGGAACAGTAGAGTTTTAGGTTGACTTAGTTCGATTTTGGCCCTACGCCCTTTTGTTCTTTTCCGAAGAAGCCAGCCGATGACTTAAGCCAGTTAAAAAAAAGCGTTTTATGTATTCTCACCTTTAATTATTCCATATCTCATGAAGTGGAAATTTATTTATTTTTTCTTGGTATTTAACATATAAAAATTGAGATTTGAGAAAAATTCTCGGTTCTGTTTCTTGTTGTCAGTCTTTAGGGATCAAAGCCCCCAGAATGAACAGCTGAAAAATGGTGCCAAGTCCTTTAATGGAAAATCTCCCTTGCAAAACAAAAGGTGATAGTGCATAAAACGCTTATTTGACTGGCTTAAGTTAAGTTATCGGCTTGCTTCATCAGAAAATAAATAATGGGTTTAGGGCAAAAATAGAACCAAGTTTACCTAAGGGTGGAAATACATAAAACGAATATTTGGCTGGCTTAAGTCATCGGCTGGCTTCTTCGCAGATGAACAAAGGAGTTTTAGGTTGACTTAGTTCGATTTTGGCCCTTTGTTCATTTCAAAAGAAGCCAGTCGATGAGTTAAACCAGCAAAATAAGCGCTTTATGTATTCCCACCTTAAAACTCCTTTGTTCCTCACGAAGAAGCCAGCAGTTGACTTGAGCCAGTCAAAAAAGCGTTTTATGTATTCTCACCTTAAGGGATTTTTGGTTTTAGTCATGGGCTGTTACTTTCGTAAAATAGCAAGGAGTTAGGTTGACGTAGTTCGATTTCTGACCATAAAGTTTATTGTTCTTTAGAAACCAACTGGACAATCAGTCCAATCATGAATAACAATTCCGTGCGGAAATTGTTCTCTTTTCCCTTTTTTGGTATCAAAAACAAACATTTCCGCCGAAAAATAATTCCGAGGGAGAAAAAGTAGGTATCTCCAACGCCCAGAAACGAAATTAAATTATTTCTAATAAAAAGCATCCTCGTTATATATACCGCAATGTTAATAGTTTTTATACACACTATAGAATACAAAATGCAGCTACTTTTTCAACTTTTTAGAGGAGAAGAATTTTTCCACATATCAAATGAGGATCTTAATTTTGAAAAACAATTGGTCTGTTTCAGAATTGCAAGAATGTAAGTTAGTTTTATGATAACCGATTTTTGCCTTATGATATCGGAGAAAATTTGCAAAACTAAGGGTGGAAATACATAAAGCGCATATTTGGCTGGCTTACGTCATTTGCTGGCTTCTTCGTAGAGGAATAAAGGAGTTTTAGGTTGACTTAGTTCGATTTTGGCCCTAGACTCCTTTGTTCATTTTCGAAGAAGCCAGCCAAATAAGCGCTTTATGTATTCCCACCTTTACTTCCTAAAAGAACAAGGAGTCAGGTTGACGTAGTTCGATTTCGGACCATAAAGTTTATTGTTCTTTAAAACAAATGGTTAATCATCCCAATTACGTATAACAATTCCGTACCTTTTCACTTTTTTGGTATAATAACCAAGCATTTCTCCCGAAAAATAATTCCGAGGGAGAAAAAGTAGATATATCAAACACTCAGAAAATTAAATTTTTCTATAGCGAAATCTAGCTTGCAAAAATGAATGAAATTGAATTATTTCTAATAAAAAACATCCACGTTACATATAGCATGCAATGTTATTAGTTTTTATATTTATACACACGATAAAATTAAAAATGCAGCTATTTTTTAATCAGATCCTTATGATATCGGAGAAAATTTGAAAAACTTAAAATCTAAATATTTTGAAAAAAAAAACAAGAAGCCAGCCGTTAACTTAAGCCAGTCAAAAAAGCTTTTTTGTTTCGATTTTTTTTCGATATCATAAAGGGAAAATCTGTTACCGTAGTAAAAACTTTTAAACTTTTGCAGTTATCGAATAGTAGCTGCTTAATAGTTGCTTAACAAAACCAAAGCACTTTGTGCACCAATTTATGCTACATAGGTTACACAAGGTACGAAAAAGACCCATTCGCGTTGCCATCTTCACTAATTATTTTCTCCTATTATTCGTGGAGCAAAATTCTTCCCGTGGAAATAGAATACCGTCGGATAAATGATTGGTTTGAATGAGAGGATAAAGAAATTCTTGAAATTGAAAATCTGCTATGCTTCAGCCAAAGACAACGAATTTTCCGATAACTTTCATATTAATTTGCTTAATTATTTACTTTCCTCCATCAATTTCCCACAACAAAAATCGTCCTCGGTCTCCAGGTTGAACACAGTGGTTCTACGAGAAGTCGTCTGACTTTTTCGAAACCACAAACTGAAATAGTTTTCTGTTTTTAATTATTATTTAATTATAAATTTATTCTTTGCGGTTATCGTTTTTAAAATAACAATTGATTGTGATTTCATGATTCACATTGAAATTTTATTTTTAAATTGCATTTACATTAGGTAAGTTTTCTTGCTCTCTGCAGGAAAGTGGGTGGCAATACCTTTTGTGTTTTTTTCTTAATTTTTACACAAAACTATGACAGAAAAGGCTGAGAACAAATTGCCTCATATAAATGCATGAATTCGATTCAAATGAAAAAAGTCCGTAAGTAAACTTGCCTAATCTAAATCAGGAAAGCTATTTTTTACTACAATATAAATAAATTGTATGGCAGAATTGAAAACGTAGCCTAATTTTTTTTTATTATACTTTTGACAACATGTAAAACATGGTAAAATTTAGATTGTAAAGTCATTTCAAATAAGCTGGCTTCTTCGTAGAGGAACGATGGAGTTTTAGGTAGATTTAGTTCGATTTTGGTCCTACCCTCATTTATTATTTTCCTAAGAAGCCAGCAAAAATAAAGCGTTTTATGTATTCTCACCTTAATACTTTCGAATACCCTCAACTTACAATAAATATCCCTAGAAATCAAGTTAAAAAGCCATTAAAACCTAACCTCAAAAAAATGTTTAACCTAACCTTAAATATATATCTTTTTATTTTTTATCTTTCAGATGAACCCTGTTTCGACACGGAAATCGAAATGGTACTCAAAGATGATGTCCATAGTACCGTGCCAAAAATCGTTGTCGATTGCTGCCAGTTAATCGAGGAGAAATACCGAAAATCTACCGAACCCGTTGAGGGAATCTATCGGCAGTGTGGAGATTATAATAAAATGCAGGCGTTACGTTTCAGTATTGATGCGAATGATTATAATGCACTGAGACAGCCAAATGTCGATATACACACCTTAACGGGGGTATTGAAGTTGTTTTTGCGCGAAATAAAAAGTCCCCTGATATCGACAAATGAGGCCAAGACATTCACAGGGAAACCAAATCAGTGGGGTAAGTAAGGGAAATTTGTTACTTGAAAAATTGTTTTTATTTGTATATTTTCTGATTGTTTTATTTAGTATTAACGGACCTACCCAATAAATTGGAAATACTAAGAAGACTGATAAGATCCTTGCCCGAAATCAATCGAGATACCTTGGATTATCTGTTTGCCCATTTCAATAGGTGAGTTTGAAATATTTTCTATAATAAAATACTTTTTATTGTTTATCTCATTTTTTGCAGACTCACCAAAGTCCCCCTGCAACACATAAGTGCCGAGACCCTGGCCATTTCCATAACACCATCCATTTTCCACACAGTACAACAGGGAGCCCGCATGCAGGATATCCATGCCCTTCTCAAGGAAAGTGAAATATTATCTGACTGTGTTAAAATCATGATCGAGTATCATCAGAAAATATTTGAGTAAGTCCAAGAAGTATTTTTTTTTTAACATTTAAATTTTATTTAAATTGGTTTTATTTTTTCCAATTTTTCTCCCCTCCAAAAAAAAAACAAAAGAATTCCAGCCGATATATCTATTATGTCCCCTGGTGGCAGTTTAACAAATTTAATAACACATTTTAATAATCTACCAATACCCTTACCACGTTCCCAACAAATCAGCAACAACAACAACAACAATATTAATAAAAATTTAAATCCTTAGTCAAAAGTGTTCTACATCCATAAGCATGTACATTTGAAAAAAAATGGAGAAAACAGAGTGAACTTTTTTAGGTAGAATAATCCAGTTTTTTTTTTTTTTTTTTTTGGAATGGTTCATCTACTCAATGTCTTCAAAGTTCCAAAATAAAAAAATCTGAGTTTTGGGAGTCAGAAAAAGTAAATTTTCTCTTTATCCCATAACCAAAAAAACCTAAAACCCAAATAAAGAGCCAAAGCCAAAAAAGTTTATTCTGTTTTGAATCCAGAGTATCTTTTCATTCCTTTTCATAAATTAATCATTTTTTACATATATTTTTCTAGATGTACAGCCGATCGTAAGCAACAAAAAAATCGCATAAGTGTTCGAAATCTAAAGAAGACATTATCACATCCAGATCTATTATTTCAAAACTTATTCTAATGATATTATATACACCGTACATAATACATATACACCCTAATATATTACTACATATTTCCATATTTTTACGTATTTATTTTAAATAGATTTAAGCAAAAATAAAAAAGGTTATTAATATTGTAATAAATTAAAAATATTAAATGTAAATGACCATATATATCATGCATAATATTCTAAAAAATGACTTTAAGAAAATAAAATTGTAATTAGTATACATATTTTTAAAAGTAATTATAAATTTAAAAAAATAAACATTTTATCTAATACATATTTTTAAACAGTAATTAAAATTAAAAAAGAAAACAAAGCAAAAACTTTAATTGGAAATCGCATATTGTTTCAAAAGAGTATCTCCATTATTGTTAATATTTTCTTATTATACCTTCCACCATAGCGTGGAGGGTATATTAAATTTGTCATTCTGCATAAAATTCTGTGTCTATTTAGCACTGACCGTCTGTGGATATCTCTCTAGCGTCCGAACGAAATGAAATTTTAGTCAAATATATATTATGTCTGCAGGACTTTTAGTATTGAAAATGGGACAAGTAGGTCTACGTTTTGGTATTGCCACCATTAAATGGCACCACCCTATTTCGATATTTTGGCGATTTAAGCGACATTATTCACCAGAATTGTTTCAAATTTGGTATTTGAAGTTCGTAATGGATACTACGGCCTATGACAGAAAATTGTCTGTGAAGGTCCGCGTCTTCGTATAGCCCCCATATAACAGTACCACCCTATTTTCGGTATTTTATTGATTTTAGCGACATTATTTACCGGAATTGTTTAAAAATTTGTATTTGAAGTTCGTAATGGATACTACGGCCTATGACAGAAAATTGTCTATGCAGGTACACGGGTTGGTAAAGCCCCCCTATAATAATATCTCCCTATATTCGGCATTTTGATAATTTTACCGACATTATTCGCCGAAATTGTTTTAAAATTGTTATTTTAAGTTTGTAATGGATATTACAGCCAATGACAGAAAATTGTCTGTGACGGTCCACGTCTTCGTATAGCTCCCATTAAATGGTACCACCCTATTTTCGATATTTTGATGATTTCGGCGGCATTATTCACCGGAATTGTTTCAAATTTGGTATTTGAAGTTCGTAATGGATACTACGGCCTATGATAGAAAATTGTCTGTGCAGGTCAACGGTTTGGTATAGCCCCCATATAACGATACCTCCCAATATTCGGTATTTTGATGATCTTAACGACATCATTAAACCGAATTGTTTCTAATTTCGTATTCGAAGTTTGTAATGGGTACTACAGCCTATGCCTAAAAATTTTGTATACAAGTCCACGTCTTCGTATAACCCTATATAGCGGTACCTTCCGATATCCATACATTTTGATGATGTAAGCTACATTATTCACCGATTTTTTTTTTAAAGTTTCGCATTTTAATATTGTAATGGCTTATGAAAAATGTTGCCTATGCAGATCCATGTCATCGCATAGACCCTAATATAATGCCAACATTCGGTATTTTTAAGATATTAATAGAATTTTTAACGGATTTTATTATTATTTCTTTAATTGTAAAATTAGTTCCAAATGGTGGAGGGTATTCAAAGTTCCGCCCGGCCAAACTTACAGCTTTTTTTTATTGTTTTGGATAATTTTTAATCTTTTACAAATATCGAATTGATTTTGCCTAAATTTTTGCTCCATTTTGGAGGAGTCCTGTCAAAGTAGAAAATATTCTTCATAAATGTTGATCATGGATCACTGAACAAAAGCAAACCCGAGATACATTAAAAGCAACGAAAATGTTTTTTTTATGAAATTGTTTTAATTTAATTTTATTTTTTGGGTTAAATTTTGTATTCTATTTAAAACAATTAACAAATTATCCTACAATACTACAATTTTTAAATACATGTTTTCAATTGATGAACATATTCCACCATGATATTCCATTATATGCCACTGAACAAAAGAAATCCTTTGATTTGATATTTATCAATGCTCTCTAAATCTGGCACATTTACGGCCCAAAATATCCATCTTTAAATCTTTATATCTTTATGCATCCGTTGCCTACATTTGCTTGTCCGCTGCTTTTATTATGATAATTTCAATATCATCGCGGGTGGAACGTTTTGAGAGTGTCTTCTCCAATGGCTCTAGCTCCGTTTGCAATTTCCCGTTTTGAACGACAAGGGAATGCTGTAAATAAGATGTGTCATTATGCAGTTAAATTTCAAACTAAAATTCCAGAGAAATTATACCAAATGATCCTCAGACAATCCTACTTCCTCGGAATCTTCATAAACTGAACGGCCATAGCACTGCAAACAAGAAAACACAAGTAAGAATGGGAGAACTTAGAAGGTTGCAATCATTTTACCTGGGCCACCAGTAAAAATACGAAAACAGCAATGAATTTCATTTTTACTCCGTTGAATGATCTCAAAATTATGTTATTTGAATGAAATCGTATTCGCTTTTATAGTAGTCTCTTATTTCTTATCTCTTATTTTGGAATACCTTCGATCCATGCTGATATGACAATTCAAAAGCGAATACAATTCGTGGGTCAAAGGGTTAACTACTAATGTGGGGATTTTTTCCGAATGGTGGTTTTCTTGGAAATCAATTGCAATATGTAACATGAGTAGGATTAAAATCAGAAGCCGTCGGCAATACAAGCGGGGTTATTGTGGTACAAAAACAAACAGATACAAAATTGTATCTCATTTCAATTACACCAGGTTCGTCGGCTGAATCCCCAACACCAAGTTTTAATCTCTTATTCACATTCTTTTGCTATCCCCAGCTGATAATTTTAATATATTTCTGAATGAAAAACGAAGCCGGATGGCTTACCCTTAAATTTATAAAAATTTTTACTCGAAATCGTCTGTTAACCCAAAAGTTCTGCAAAAGAGAGCGGTTGGAGAAATTTTGAAAGAACTTTCAGTGATAGTTTGCAAATTCTTGCTGGACAAATCTTTTCTTGCAGTCACTTGCAACTCTTCTTCTTCTCGTTCATCGACATTCAATGGCCCAAATCACACGAGAGTAATTGTTCTGGTCTAACAAAGCAGCTTGTAGGCATTTTCGGTGAGGAGAGTCGTTTTTGGTTAAACTAAAATTTTATCCAGCTTGATCCCCGCATTAGCAGGACAAAACTAATACATGCACACTCATGAAAACAAAATAAATACAAACAAGTAAAAAAGCTGTATGTTCGGCCGGGCCGAACTTTGAATAGCTTTCATCATTTGGAACGAATTTGGCAATTCTGAAAAAAAACAATAAAATCTTTTAAAAATTCTGTTAAAATCTTAAAAATACCGAATGTAGCTGTTATAAAAGGGTCTATACAACAACATGCACCTGCATAGGTAATTTTTGTCATAAGCCATTACAATATTCAAATGCGAAACTTAAAAAAAATCGGTGAATAATGTAGCTAGAATAAAATCTTCGGCTGTAGTATCCATTACGAACTTCAAATACCAAATTTTAAAGAATTCCTAAGAATATTGTCTCTAAAACCATCAAAATACCGAATATCGGGAGGTACTGTTCTATGGGTGCTATATGAAGACGTGGCCCTGCACAGACAATTTTTTGTCTTAGGTTATAATATCCATTTCGAATTTCAAATACCAAATTTGAAACAATTCCGGTGAATAATGTCGCTAAAATCATCAAAATACCAAATATCGGGAGGTACCGTTATATGGGGGCTATACGAAGACGTGGACATGCGCAGAAAATCTTCTGTGATAGGTTGTAGCATCCATTACGAACTTCAAATACCAAATTTTAAAGAATACCAATGAATATTGTCGCTAAAATCTTCAAAATACCGAATATCGGGAGGTACCGTTATATGGGGGCTATACCAAAACGTGTACCTATATGGCCCATTTTCAATACCATAAGTCATGCAGACATAATATACATTTGAGTAAAATTTTATCAATCTACTTCAATTCGTTCGGAAGCTAGAGTGATTTCCACAGACGGATAGACGGACGGACATCGCTAAATTGACATAGAATTTTATGATGATCAATAATATATAAACTTTATGTGGTCTAAAATGTTTATTTCGAGGTGTTACATACGGAATGACAAACTTAATATACCCTCCATACCATGGTGGAGGGTATGAAAAATACTAACACACACAAAGCTGAGTGTATACGTATTCAATTTAAGACAGTTTCATTAGTCTCGTGTGTTTTGGAAAGAAAACTTTTGTTTGGACTAAAAATTACTTTCGTGTGAATGGGGCCAATGAGATGTTTGCTATTGTTTGTTTATTTCTTTTTTTTTTGCTTTCAATTTGAAATATTGATAAATATTAATAAATTAGCAAGACTAACTGTTTTTGGAGAACAACTTTGGAAAATGTGAAAAAATATAAAATATAAGACTATTTCCAACATTTTTAGACAAACGCCATTAGCAAGACGTTTCAAGGATTCCGGGGAAACCCACCAAATCTATCTTTCTTTTATTGCTCATATTTTTATTTTATTGCTAATTTCCTTCTCATTTATAAAACTTGTAAAATTGGTGGTGCTTCCTTTCTTTTAATTCTTTTAATGGGGGTCAAATTGGTTTGTTCTGACAAAACAGCTGATTAATTGCAAACTTCCATCTATGCAGGAATACCATCTACTTACTTTTCTTGCTAAAGAGAATAAAATTACCTTACTCTCTCAGAAAGATGTTGCAGGGCAATTCCTGCTGGAAAAGTAACCAGACACAGCTAATATAATGAGCTATTTCTGGAATAATTTTAACAGCCGTCGGACGAGTGGCTAGCAATGCCAGCAGTCTGATGTTGGTTGCAGTTTTTTCATCTTACCCTGTAGGTAGTATTGAAATCAGAAGCCGACGATGCATGCGGGATTATTGTGGACCAAAAACGAACAGATACAAAATTGTCTGTAAATCTCCTTTCAATAACACCAGGTTCAATTGAATCCTTTCCTATTACTAGCTGGTAATTCAAAAATTTTTCTGAATAAAAAAAACGCCATTATTGATAACTAATATTCAATTTTATTTTATGTAGCAACAGTTTTATGTTATTTATGCGAAGAAAACATTCTAAAGATATTTTATATTAGCCAAATCATTTTCAATATAAAAGTTTCGAAATGTCCATTCTAATATTCCGAGGAGTCTTTCCATTGATTTTGACGACCATGGGAATAATGATTGCCGGCATGTTTATTGGTATTTTCCACTGTACCAATAAGCTGCATAACTTGGCCCAAGGCACGTCCCACGCAATGGCTATCATAATTCTCACCGCTGGGTGTTTGGCATTTTTCCAATTTCTCCTCAGCTACTTGGATAACTCTCTCCTTAAATTGGGGATTATTGGAAAAGGTTTCAGAGCCGGCTAAACGTTGGGAAATTTTCTTCTTAAAGGAGCGCACCACCGAGGATTCCTGATGATGCGAAGAACTTTGCAGGAAAGACTATAACGAAATGTTGAATGTTACCTTGGAAATTCAATTTTTTTTTTGTTGTAAAAAAATAAGTCCTTACCGTTGACCAGGCTTCATCACTTACACGCATTTCTTCAGAGTTTCTGTAAGTATATTCGGCCAGGGACTGTGAAAAATGAATAGAATTTTTGCAAATAGCTTTAAAACTAATCAATTGATGCCAAAACAAAAACATTTACCTGGGCCACCACCAGAAATACCAAAACAGCAACAGCAAAGAATTTCATTTTCGAATCTCAAACAGGAACACAGAGAGAACAGTAATGAACTGAATACATTTCATTGGAAATTTTTGAGTTTTTATAGTTTTTTAGCTTTCCATTATTATTTTGAATATTTTGCAAACCATTACATTTATTATCAGTAACAACAGGAAATCGCAATGTTCTTACGAAAATTGCTGAATAATAATAAACTCAGGTGTATGTCTGGCAAAAAGTTCAATAAACTATACACTTTTGATGGGGGAAAAATGCATTCAAGATTTTTTTTTTGAATAACTGAAATGTTTTATTTTTTTCCAAATCTTAATTTGATAAAGAATGTCTTTTTTACCTAAGCCTAAGACAGAAAATTGTTTGTGCAGGTTCACGTCATTTTGATGATATTAGCGAATTTATTCACCGGAATTGTTTCAAATTTTGTACTTGAAGTTCATTATGGATACTACAGCCTAGGACAGAAAATTGTCTGTGCAGGTCCACGTCTTCGTAGAGCCCCCATATAACGGCACCTTCCGATATTCGGTATTTTAATGATTCTATGGACATTTTTCCACCGGAATTGTTTCAAAATTGGTATTTGAAGTTCGTAATTTATACTACAGCCTATGACAGAAAATTGTCTGTGCAGGTCCACGTCTTCGTGTAGCCCCCATACACGGTACCTCCCGATATTCGGTATTTTAATGATTCTATGGACATTTTTCACCAGAATTGTTTCAAATATGGTATTTGAAGCTCGTAATTTATACTACAGCCTATGACAGAAAATTGTCTGTGCAGGTCCACGTCTACGTATAGCCCCCATATAACTTTCTCCCGATATTCGGTATTTTAATGATTTTTGGCGACATTATTCACCGGAATTGTTTCAAAATTGGTATTTGAAGTTCGTAATTTATACTACAGCCTATGACAGAAAATTGTCTGTGCAGGTCCACGTCTTCGTATAGCCCCCATACACGGTACCTCTTGATATTCGGTATTTTAATGATTGTAGGGACATTTTTCAACAGAATTGTTTCAAATTTGATATTTGAAGTCCGTAATGGATACTACAGCCTACGACAGAAAATTGTCTGTGCAGGTCACCGCATATACCCCATATAAAGGTACCTCCCGATTTTCGGTATTTTGATTTTATCGACATTATAACCGATTTTTTTAAGTTTTTGAATATTGTAATGGCTCATGACAAATGTTACCTACGCAGGTTCATGTCGTCGTATAGACCCTAATATAATAGCTACATTCGATATTTTTAAGATTTTAACAGAATTTTTATTGTTTTTGAGAATTGCCAAATTCGTTACAAATGGTGGAGGGTATTCAAAGTTCGGCCCGGCCGAACCTACAGCTTTTTTACTTGTTTTTTAAACAAACATAAACATGTATGGAAAAATATATAAGAAAATATATAAGATGAATATAATATAAGATGTTTTTTTTTATTCAGAAAACGTTTGTTTTAGATTCCACGTGGAAAAAATAAAACATTTTTAGATTTTGAAAAACATTCCTCATCAAATTTTGTAGTTTTGTAATCTTGAATATATTTTCCTTGAAACCATGGTACAATGAAGACAAGGTAGGCTAACTTTGAAAAAAATTGCAAGTATAGAGGTCTACTTGTTTGGCTTGTAATGTCAGAATTACTATCAAAACAGTAAAAAAGCAAAGAATTGGTTGCATTGATTTTGAATAATTTTAAACCGCAAAAACTGAATGAAAGGTCAAAATTTATTGTCAAAATCATGTTCTATATATCTCTTATGGTTTATTTCGTGACAAAAACTGTAAATTTTGCCGATGCATACGTTGCAATAAGCATTTTGAAAACACCCAAATTTGAATATTTTCTGAACAAATTTTTTTATTATTGAAAAGAATACAAACACATTAACAAATATAGTTGACATATTAAGCCAGAAAAATAAAAAAAAATAAAATCATATGGTAGTTCTGCCCTATCTTGAATTCATTGTACCATGCTTGAAACTATATTTAAAGGTTTATTGAACTAAATGCCAGACTATCATCTGAGTTTATTATTATTCAGCAATTTTCGTTATAATTTTACAATTTCCTAAGGTTACTGATAATAAATGTAAAAGTTTGCACTATTTAAAATAATTATGGGAATCGCAGATTAGCAAATATTGTCAACGAAATGCATTCAGTTCATTCCTGTTCTCTGAGCGATTACAATTTGCAATATGAAATTCTTTGGACGTAACATTCTCTTTTGTTGTTGTTTGTTACTTGCAAAGTTCTTCACGCCACCAGGAATCCTCGGTAGTGCGCTCTTTTAAAAAGAAAATTTCTCAACGTTTGCCCGGCTCTGAAGCCTTTTCCCATGATCCCCAAAACATGGAGAGAGTTATCCAAGTAGCTGAGGTGAAATTGGAAAAATGCCAAACACCCAGTGGCGATGACTATGATAGACATTGTGTGGGTCGTGCCTTGGGCCGGGTTATGCAGCTTATAAGCACAGTGGAAAATAAACATGCTGATCACTCTAATGGTCGTCAAAACCAATGGGAGGTCTCCTCGGAAATTAAGATGAAAATTTGGAAAACTCTACGAATGGAAAATGATTTGACCAATGTAAAACTCTATAGATACGGTTTTATAAATTTTTAATTTGCAATAAAATATGTAACTGCCAGTAAATATTTGAATCAACAGAATTATCATTTGGATGTCGTTTCTTTGAAAGGAAGATGGTTAGGAAGGGGAAAGAATATAGTTTAATTGAAATGTATTTTGGCTGAAAACACATATTTTCATTATCGATACCACAATCCCTGCCATTTTCCTGTGGCATGATGAGTTTCGGTTTTCTATCTACACCATGTTTAATATTGCAATTATTTCCAAAAATTCTCCACATTGGCACTTAATCTTTTGGCCAATGAGTTTAATTGAAATACGTTTGGATTGTTATATCAGCCTGGAAAACCCCAAAATCGCAGATAAGAAATAAGACACTACTATAAAAGCGAATTAAATTCCATCCAACTCACCTCATTTTGAAATCATTTGCAAAATAATAATGAAATTCATTGCTGTTTTCGTATTATTATTTGTGGTCCAGGTAACATTATTACAAATTTTTTAAGTTTTTTTCCATTCTAACTTGTGGTTTCTATTTGCAGTGCTATGCTCGCTCAATTTATGACGATAGCCTGGATATAGGATTATCTGAGCATCATGTGGTAAATTTTTTATGGAATTTTGGTTTGAAATTTGTTAAAAAAAATGCATACATTTTATTTATAGTCTTGCCGTTGAAAAGGAAAATTTGCAATTGGAACTACATCCTATGGAAAAGTCACACTCCAAACGATCCCCCGGTGATAATATTAAAATTATTATAGTAAAAGCAGCAGAGAAACGAATGCAGATAGCAGATGCACAAGGGTTTAAGGATTTAAAGGTGAAAAAATGAATGCATTTTATTTATAGCCTTCCCTTGCCGTTGAAAAAGAAAATTTTCAATTGGGACTACATTTTATGGAAAAGTCACACTCCAAACGATCCACCGATGATAATATTAAAACTATTATAGTAAAACAGCAGAGAAACAAATGAAGATAACAGATACATAAGGATTTTAGGATTTAAAGGTGAATTTTTAAGTCTGTTTAGGGTTCAGCTTTGGGATATAATGAAACAAATTAAGGCTCTGAGATATATATTTTTTCCATTAAAATCATGTGTATAAAGTCAAGTATTGCAGAATAATTGGTTGTATTTTCGAAATAAAAAAAATAAGAAAAAATCTAATTCTAATCGTCTGAGTAATTTTATGGGAATATTTTTGTTTTTATAAACTCTATTTTGAGATTTTACTTGTTCTTTGTCCCATGGTTAAATTTTAATGTGGAACATTTTCTCTTTTGACATCCCTCCATTAAAATTGAACATTTATAAAAAAATCTCTTTTTGTAAAAGATAAACATTTAAACAAAAAACTCAAAATTTAAACGAAAACACTAAATAGGATGTTGTTATACCATGTCTACGGATTTTTTGTTTAAGCATCCATATTAAAATCATGTGGAGAACATTTTTCTATTGAAATAATTTCACTAAAGTGAGGCATTATCATAGGCTGTAGCACCCATTACGAACTTCAAATGCGAAATTTGAATCGATTCCGCCGAATAATGTTGCTGAAATCATCAAAATACCGAATAACGGGAGCTACCGTTATTTGGGGGCTATACGAAAACGTGAACCGACATCTCCCATTTACGGACTTAACCTACCTACTGGTAAACTATGTATGTATACAAAATTTTAGCCTTATGTACCAATTCGTTCGAAAGATAGCGCGATTACAACAGAGAGACGGACATAACTAGATTTTCTAAGAATTTTACGCCGATCCAGAATATATATAATTTGTAGGGTCTATAATAAATATTTCGAAAAGTTAAAAACGAAATTACAAAGTTAAAAGAGAAACATTATTTACTATTATATATTTAGAAGGGTTTTTTGGTTAAATTTGTACTAATTCCCAATAAATATAAGATTTAGGGCCCAATGCCTAACTTTAGTGAAATTATTTCAACAGAAAAGTGTTCTCCACATGATTTTACTATGGATTGCTTAAACAAAAAATCCGTAGACATGGTATAACCCCATCCTATTTGGTGTTTTTGTTTAAATTTTTATCTATTACAAAAAGAGATTTTTTACAAATGTTCAATTTTAATGGAGCGATGTCAAAAGAGAAAATGTTCCACATTAAAATTTAACCATGGGACAACGAACAAGCAAAATCTTAAAATAGAGTTTATAACAACAAAAATATTCCCATAAAATTACTGAGACGATTAGAATTAGATTTTTTCTTAAATTTGTTTTTTTATTTCGAAAATACAACAAATTATACTACAATACTTGACTTAAGACACTTGATTTTAATGGAAAAATATATATATCAGAGCTTTAATTTGTTACATTATATCCCAAAGCTGAATCCTAGGCAGACTTAAAAATTCACCTTTAAATCCTAAAACCCTTGTGTATCTGTTATCCGCATTTGTTTCTCTGCTGCTTTTACTATAATAATTTTAATATTATCACCGGGGGATCGTTTGGAGTGTGACTTTTCCATAGGATGTAGTTCCAATTGCAAATTTTCCTTTTCAACGGCAAGGGAAGGCTATAAATAAAGTGCATGCATTTTTTCTAACAAATTTCAAACCTAAATTCCATAAAAATTTTACCACATGATGCTCAGATAATCCTACTTCCAGGGTATCGTCATAAATTGAGTGAGCATAGCGCTGCTAATAAAAAACGCAAGTTAGAATGGAAAAAAACTTAAAAAATTTGTACTAATGTTACCTGTGCCACTAATAAGAATACAACTACAGCAATGAATTTCATTATTATTTTGAAAATGATTTCAAAATGAGGTGAGTTGGATGGAAATTAATTCGCTTTTATAGTAGTGTCTTATTTCTTATCGGCGATTTTGGGTTTTTCCAGGCTGATATGACAATCCAAACGTATTTCAATTAAACTCATTGCTCAAAAGTTTAAGTACCAATGTGGCGAATTTTTGTGAAACAATTGCAATATTAAACATGGTTTGATAGAAAATCGAAGCTCATCATGCCACAGGAAAATGGCAGGGATTGTGGTATCGATAACGAAAATATGTATTTTCAGCCAAAATACATTTCAATTAAACTATATGTGATTAAATCCCCACACAGCTTTCCCCTTCCTAACCATGTTCCTTTCAAAGAAACGACATCCAACTGATAATTCTGTTGATTCAAATATTTACTGACAATTACATATTTTATTGCTAATTAAAAAATTTATAAAACCGTATCTATGGAGTTTTACATTGGTCAAATCATTTTCCATTCGTAGAGTTTTCCAAATATCCATCTTAATTTTTCGAGGAGTCCTCCCATTGATTTTGACGACCATGAGAGTGATGAACATTTTTATGGTTATTTTCCACTGCTTGGCCCAAGGCACGACCCACACAATGTCTATCATAGTCATCGCCACTGGGTGTTTGGCATTTTTCCAATTTCTCCTCAGCTACTCTCTATGTTTTGGAGATCATGGAAAAAGGCTTCAGAGCCGGCCAAACATTGAGAAATTTTCTATTTAAAAAGCGCACTACCGAGGATCCCTGGTGGCGCGAAGAACTTTGCAAGTAACAAACAACAACAAAAGAGAATGTTACATTCGAAATTAAAAATTTCTGTACAAAATAAAACCTCACCTTTGACCAGGCATCATCATTTACTTCCATTTCCTCGGAGTTTCTGTAATTATATTCGGCAAAACATTGTAAAAGATTAATAATATTTTTCAAAATAGGATCGAAATCGATTCCAAAATATATTTACCTGGGCCACCCCCAGAAATACCAAAAATGGTCACAGCAAAGAATTTCATATGGCAAATTGTAATCGTTCAGAGAACAGGAATGAACTGAATGCATTTCGTTGACAATTTTTCTTATGGGGAATGTTTTTCAAAATCTAAAAAATGTTTTATTTTTTTTCCACGTGGAATCTAAAACAAACGTTTTCTGATTAAAAAAAAAACATCTTATTTTCTCAGAAATCTTAAGTAATATCAGTAAGAGTGTTTTAAACAACCCTCATATATTTTTCCATACATTTTTATGTTTATTTTATAAAAATATTCGTTCAAGTTGTAATGAGGGCACAATAAGGAGGTAGAACATCTTCGTAAAATTACAGAAATACACCCCTGAGGCTATGCCAGCTTTCTGCCAGATCTATTCAAAATTAGATGCAAAAAGTTGTTCTAATTTATATAATAATTTTCCTTTTTTTAATATTGAATTAAAAAAATATTGGGGTTTCTCCATAAAATTAAATCCAACATAGAGTGACAATGTTGTTTCATCTCAAAATAATGTCCGACAGTCTCAAAATAGTTGCCCGACAACGTTGAAAATATGCATTATTGTTGCATCTAAATTTGAAAAAAAAAAAAATAAAATTATTTTCTTTTTAATTCAAAACAATACGCACACGTTTATAAACTGTGTATTTGTTTTGACAAAATGGGGACATCAAAAGAAAAATATATAGGGGGTAGCTTTGTCTACCTTTTGTTATTGTGCCATGATTGATATGACAAAATAAGTAGTTTTTTATGTTTTCTTATACGACGCTAATCGGAGGTTGTTATGATATTTATTTTTGAACCATTTTTACGAATTTTAATATTATTTTATTCAAAATTTTCTATCCCAAAATTGGTTTGACCAATGACATTTTGCAATTTATAAAAATTTGTTTTATTTATTTGACCAATGACAATAAAGGCAATGACAAACAACTCAAAGAATGCTTAAAAAATAGCATTACGTAATTTCAAGATCACGTTCAACAGAAAATGATAAAAATTGCAGCATATAATCTCTAGCTAGTCTAAATCATAACCTAAAACATAAATTTACAGCAAGTATACTTGCCTAATGTAAGCTAGGCTAGTCTAAATCACACATTGCTTAGTAAACCAGGAATCTATAGTTCATGTCAACAATCGATTATTTTCTTTTTTAGCCGATAGTCAGCCCACTCATCCCTATTGCAGAAGACAAAACGCGCAGAAAATCAAGAATTATTTAATTTATATTCGAGTTTTTTTAAGGATATTTGCCAATCACAAACGAGGGTAGCATGTGTGACACTGCTGCTCACGAGGACATGGATAATTTCATTGAATATGAATACGCCCGGGATGATTGCATAGAAATAGATGAGGACAATCACGACGAACACGTCGATGAGTATGGTGGAATATATATTCATGACGACTATGAAATTGTGGAAGCTCTTGAGGATGAAGATGATGAGCAAATTGGTCATAATGCCATTATTATCAAACCTGAAACAATGGATGCCAATAATGACCACCACGATAGCCTGCTGCTTAAGGCTGAACAGTTGGAGGTGGAACAGTCGTTGGTAACAGGAAATGAAGGCGATGATGATGAATTCGAATATGAAGAACATGTGGAAGAAGGCACAGGGGATGAACATGAGAATGCCAACACAAAAACCCAAGTCGAGACAATAGTACCTGAACACGTTGTGGAAGAAGATGCAGAAGAGTCCAAAGAGGAAATTAAGACAATAACAACGACACAGGAAGACGATAAAGATAAGAACACGGCCCACAAAAGGTATATGCTGTTCGATGAGCTTGTGGCCTGTATTGTGGACTACGATCCGGATGGCACACCAATTGTTGAGTTTTCCCTATCCAATTTAGAGACTGATGAGAAACTACCCGTTGAGTGTGGCATTTGTCCAGAAATAATGGCACGCTCCAAGATTCCCAAACATTTGAAAACCCACTTGGTGCCGGGAACAAATCGCTATCAATGTGTCTATTGTGATGAAACGTACAAAGATTGCAAATATTTGGCAGGTCATGCCCGGCGACACATGGGCATCCGACCATATGTGTGTGAAATTTGTAAATTGTATTTTTCTACAAAACAAGATCTGAGGGTGCACAATCAACGAAGGCATCAAGAAAAAGATCACATTTGTGAGGTGTGTGGGAAAACCTTTGCCCAGAACACCCAATTGAAACGGCATCGAGAGGCGACCCATGAGAAGAAACGGCGTTTTCAATGTGAGCACTGTCCGAAGTCGTATTACAAAAACTTTAGCCTGCAGGAGCATGTGAGGGCCGTACACATGGGCAAGAGACGGATGATAGTTTGTCCATTTTGTGGCATGCAGTGTCGTGATGCCCACAAAATGGCCCGACATCGTAAGCTAATGCATTTACATCAGACCCATTTCGAGTGTCAAATCTGCAATGAGGAATTCACCGACATTAATTATTTCGATGCCCACAAACGTTCAATACAATGCCGTAATAATACCAGACGTAAACTGGAAGAGGAGGCGTTGCTGCAGTCTCAAAATGACCAGCAAGACCAGCAGCAACAAGAATTCGAACAGCAGGAACAACAATTACGGCCTAAAAGTGAAACAATGGAGCAGGCCGGCGAAGAGGATGTTCTTGAAGCCAATGAACAGTATATTAATCAATTCGAGGAAGACGACGAAGTGGACGAGGATGGCCATGACATTGATATGGGCACAATACAAATGATAAGTGAGCAGGACATTAAACATTTAATAAGCAGCCATCATCAGCCACAAGATGCGGAAGAGTTTATACTTAGCCATCATCTGCAACAGCATAGAGACGAGCTTGGAAATCCTGACGATGTAAACGATGATGAGGAGTTAGTGTATGAAATTACAATAGATAGTAATGAATAGAATAAGTAATTAATGAAATCCATAGAAGTTTCTTATAATTTTATTGAAACGAAAAAAAAACTCTTGGGGAAAATATAATTATTATTGTATATTTTAACTGCATTGCGTTTATTTGAATGTTTTTCCTTCCCGTTTTTATTAATTTTTTTTAAACATAAACTCGAAAGTTGAAAACTAGTTCTGCAAAAATAGCATTTTTTAATTACATACAAATATAAGCGTTATAATAACTACTTCTTTATTTAAAATATTGAATAAAATGGAAAAAATTTAAGTTTAAAGCTATGGGTTTTACTGGGCAAATGCTTAAATAGGCCTATTTATGGAAAATGACGTAAAGAATCGTTCATCACATTCTAAGTAGTGGAAGCATGGGGATTGCTTTAAGTGGCTGCTTTACCATTTGCGCCTAAAAGTATGCTAAGCTTTTCTTAAAACTGCCTGCTTCATACGACTCGTTACTTTTTGTTCACACTACTACATACTACAACTTCGCTTGAGGTCTGCTAAATATCTTAGGGAATTTCTTACCAAAAACCTACAGGAAATTATGGAGACAATATTTATCTAATCGAATTGAAACATATTTAATCCAAATGGTTAATTGAAAGTTATTTAATTAATTAAACAACAACCAAAAACATATTTTATTTATTGTTTAATTAATCTCTAATAACAAAATGGATTAAAACAAGCAACAACAAATATTTATCTGTACGTATGTCGTGGGCCAAGTTAAAGTTTTTTTTTCTCATATGCCAAATAAATGATATTCGTTTTGGATCTTAGTATATAAGTATAGACGTTTCTTTCGATTAGTTGTGAGTTGTTTGTGAACGGTGTGAAGATGGTGTTTCAAACTAAACGAAAATTTCTCTTATTTTTTTGCCATATAATGGCCATAACTATATGCACGGAATCGGCAATTATAAAGCAGAATTCGAATTCATGTAAGTGAAGAATAAAATGGAAATTGTGTGGATCGCTCAAAAAGAAATTTTTAGGACATCTTGAAAGAGAAAAAGAAAAAAATATAAAATCCATAAGTTGAAAAAAAAACCAAAGTGTTTGAAAAGTAAATAGAAAGCAGATTTTTTTTATTGAAACACAAGTTTCAAAATAAAATAAAACAACATGAATCTCATAAAAAATCACGACTATTAAATGAAAATTCTACAATAATTCGCAAAATAATAATCCATCAAAATACACGGTTTAAAAAAAAAATTGTTAAAGAATTTGTGCTCCAAAAAATCCTAACTCTTTACAAAAAATGTTTTCTACTAACAAAGCCTATTTTGATTAAGAATATATATTTTCAAAATGTTTTAAAAAAATATTTAAAATTCACGTTTAAAAAATACAAAAAAAAAAAATACGATATAATAAAATTATATTTTTAATTCGTGAAAGCAAATGAAAATGAAGATAGTTTCGAAACAACCGGTGATTTTTTTATCCTACACTATAGTATGGAGGGTATATTAAGTTTGACATTCCGTTTGTAACACCTCGAAATATACATTTAAGACCCCACAATGTATATATATTTTTGATCAGCATAAAATTCTATGTCGATTAAGCGTGTCTGTCCGTCTATCCGTGTGTGGAAATCACTCTAGCTTCCGAACAAAATGAAGTAGATTTATAAAATATTACACATCTGAGTATTATTTCTGTAGGACTTTTGGTATTGAAAGTAGGTGATGTAGGTTCACATTTTGGTATAGCTCCCATATAATGGTACCTTCATTGGTGATTTTAACGACATTATTCACCGGAATTGTTTCAAATTTGGTATTTGAAGTTCGTAATGGGTATTACAGCCTATGACAGAAAATTGTCTGTGCAGGTCCATGTCTTGGTATAGTCCCAATATAACGGTACATCCCTATATTCGGAATTTTGATGATTTTAACGACATTATTTACCGGAATTGTTTCAAATTTGGTATTCGAAGTTCGTAATGGGTATTACAGCCTATGACAGAAAATTGTCTGTGCAGGTCCATGTCTTGGTATAGCCCCAATACAACGGTACCTCCCTATATTCGGAATTTTGATGATTTTAACGACATTATTTACCGGAATTGTTTCAAATTTGGTATTTAAAGTTTGTAATGGATGCTACAGCCTATGACAGAAAATTGTCTGTGCAGGTCCACGTCTTCGTATAGCCCCCATATAACCGTACCTCCCGATATTCGGTATTTTGGTGATTTAAGCGACATTATTCACCGGAAATGTTTCAGATTTGGTATTTGAAGTTGGTAATGGGTACTACAACCTATGACAGAAAATTGTCTGTGCAGGTCCACGTCTTCATATGACTCCCATATAATCGTACCTGCCAATATTCGGTATTTTAATGATTTTAACGATATTATTCACCGGAATTATTTCAAATTTGGTATATGAAGTTCGTAACGGATGCTACAGCCTATGACAGAAAATTGTCTGTGCATATCCGTTTCCACTTTCGCATTTAAATAATGTAATGGCTTATGACAAAAGTTACCTATGCAGGTCCTAGTCGTCGTATAGACCCTAATATAACAGCTACATTCGGTATTTTTTAAGATTTTAACAGAATTTTTAACGGATATTACTTTTTTTTGAAAATTGCCAAAATGGCGGAGAGTATTTGAAGATCAGCCTGGCTGAACTTAGAGCTTTTTCACTTGTTGATTTAAAAAAATCACAAATTTAACGTTTGCAATTATGTTTTTCGTTATTACGATATTTGAAAAATTATCTTCAAAAATCCACAAATTTTGAAACATTATTTGAAAAAATTCGCCATTTCTGAACATTAGTTCCGAAAAAACACAAGTTTTGAAGGAAGGTGTTAAATAAATGGGGTTTTTATGAAATTATTTAAAATAATTTAAAAATTAAAAAAAAAATAAATTAAAAAAATCTATTATTTTTCGTAAATTATTGACTTAGGATTTTTATTAGATTTTTTTTAAATTTAATTTAATAAATTTACTTTTCGATCTGAACAATTTTCCAGCCTATATGACTGCCCGTGATGCCATCATCCATGCCGAGGATCTACTCAGTATAGGCGGTCATTTGATTTTAAATGAACGTGAAAATCAAGTCGACGAAATTTTTCTCCGCTACAAATATGATGAATTGGCTAGGGGTTTTCAGGATGCCGATCAGAATGTGGGCGCTATGCATTTCTTCAAAGCCAAACCCATGATTGAACAGAGTAAAGTCTTTCAGTTTTTGCAACAAATGCCCAAGGGGGCATTATTGCATGCTCACACATCGGCAACAGTCTCCTCGAAATGGGTGGTGGAAAATATATTCCAAATGCCAGGACTCTTGAGATGTGTACGATCGGATGGTGTTAGTATATTGAGTTTCCGTCGTATGCCCGAAAAGCATAACTGTACGAGCGATTATGTGTTGGTGAGTGATGAAAGAAATCGGGCAGATTCCGCCGAAGGATATGACCAATCATTGGAGGGTCTTATCAATTTGTATACACCCATGCCAGAGTGTAAGTTAAGTGAAACATTGTGTAAAACTAACCTCAATTTTGTCCATTGTCCATTCCAGTGGAATATCCAACCATAACTCGTGTCTGGACCCGATTCCAGAACATGTTCAGTACCATGTCCGATGTTTTGCTATATTTGCCCGCCTACCGGGCATATCACTGGCAAATGTTGCAGGAAATGTACGACGACAATATTATGTATTCCGAAGTTCGCATGAATATGTACGAGGTGGGTGTTCCTTGATCTCGTTATCTCTATTTTCGTATTTTAATATGTTGTTGTTGTTTTTTTTTAAGTTGTACGATGCCAATAACAACACCTTTACGGGGGAACGTTGTCTGCTAGAACTCATGCATCTGGTGGCTCAATTCAGACAACAACATCCAGATTTCTTGGGTATTAAAATAATCATTTCGCCCAGTCGTAATACCGCTCCTGAGGGAATACAGCAACGTTTCGATAACTTTAAAATGTATCAGTAAGTAGTGGATAAGGAAACTGAAATATTTACATTTTTTTTTTCTAAATTGATATTCCCCTTCACCAGTTCCCTGTATCCCAAGACATTGATTGGCTTTGATTTGGTGGGTCAAGAAGATACGGGAAGGCCTTTGATTGAATTTGTCAGCATTCTAAATCAGCAACCCGAAACGGCTAAATTCTTTTTCCATGCTGGCGAGACAAGTGAGATATTAGAAATTTAGACAAATTAAAAAAATATCCCTCCACTCTCTCCCGCTCTCTCTTGCTTTGTTATAGATTGGTTTGGTTCCCCAATCGATTACAATATCCTCGATGCCCTGCTCTTGAACACCACACGTATTGGCCATGGCTATGCCTTGATAAAACATCCCATGTTATGGAACGAGGTGAAGGCCCGTGACATAGCCATTGAAGTTAATCCGTTATCCAATCAAATATTGCATTTGGTATGGGATCTACGTAACCACCCCGGCGCTTTATTCATTGCCCAGGACATACCCATGGTGATATGCAATGATGATCCTGGTTTCTGGAATGCCAAGGGTTTGAGTTATGATTTCTATTATGCCATTATGAGTATGGCGCCAAACAATGCCGGCCTCAAGACTCTCAAGCAATTGGTATGGAATTCTTTGAAATATTCAACATTTGATGAGTGTGAACGGAAGAATGCCTACGAGTTGTTGCAAACAAAATGGGATCAGTTTATTGATAATGTGCTTAACGGCATTGTGGTTTGATTTGTTCTATTTCAAAATAACTTTTTAATAAACAAAAATTATTAAATCGTTTGCAGAAAAAAACGAATTGAAAGGGTTTTTTTCATTACGCATTGGGGATTCACAAGCTCGTTGGTACAAGTAATACAAGTCTTGTATTATGGCTTTCTCTCAAAATTCAAGATTTTAAATTAAAATATCAATAACAACCATTTGTCAATTATCGACCTATGTATCCCTATTAATAAAGGTTTAACTAAGACTTAAGTAAAGGCAGATACATAAAAAGGTTTTTTATTGGCTTAAGTCATCGGCTGACTGGATGCATGTTATGATCCTCAACCCGTCCTATATCTAGTCCATTATTGGGCGAACAGGAATTTAATTTTTAATTCCCCTTGACAAAGGAGTAAAACTGGTTTTCACTGTTGGAAACAACACAATCACACACACAATCAATGTCTATGAAAATTTTAAATATAAAATCTTGGACGAAAAAATATGCTATGTTATGTCCTTGATTTCTTTAGAGGGCCTTTAATTTCCCAATCAAATAATATGATGCGGCTCCATCCTAAATGAGCTCCCTTAAAGGTAAGAATGCATAAAAAGGTTTTTTGTTTTCTGACTGGCTTTTTGGTACAGGGAAGCTATAGGTGCGTCTGATTACCCTAGAATATATAACAACAAATATATTTCCGAACACAAAAGTTCTGCAAAGAGAGCAGTTCGCGAGAGACATTTTGACATTTCTTTCATAATTAAATAAATTAAAAATTTAATAAAATAAATAAGTTATTGCCTAAAATTTGTAAACAGTTTTGCATCGGACACAGTACAACTGATGTTATTGTATAAACTTTACTGAGTAAAATTTTCTAGTAAAGCAAACTCTTAGCGAACCAACTGTCAAAATTTCTATTTATACTCGCTCTCTGGCCTTTTGGGATTTTTGAACAACATTTTTTGTACAAAATATTGTTTCGTAAAACTATAGAAAAACAGCCCTTAAGATAGGAATACATATAGCGTTTATTTGGATGGCTTAAGTCATAGGCTGGCTTATTCGGAAATGAACAAAGGAGCCTATGGCCAAAATCGAACTAAGTCAACCTAAAACCCCTTTGTTCATCTACGAAGAATATAAGCGCTTTATGTGTTTCCACCCTTAAGGTGAGAATATATACTACTCTCTTTTGACAGGCTTAAGCCATTGGCTGACTTCTTTGTAGAGGAACAAAGGAGTTTTAGGTTGACTTAGTTCGATTTTGGCTCACCTCTCCTTTGTTCTTTTCCGAAGAAGTCAGCTAAAAAACCTTTTTTTGTATTCTCAACTTTAGGCTATTCCATGGTACAATAAGGAGTATAACAGCTTTGTAAAACTATAGAAATACAGCCCTGAGGCTGTGTCCGCTTCCTGTCAAATTTGGATGCCACAAGTTGTTTTCATATTTTTCCTAATTTTTAAAATCAGATAAACAGCGGGAAAATGAATGAAATGCCTGATTTTTTTTTTTCAAAAATATGATCTAAGCAGTTCTATCTTTCAATTTCATGGCAAAACTGGAGAATAGCTTTAAAGCGCGTCTCGCAATTTACGTGTCTTTCAATCATTTATTTTGAAAATATTTTGTTTTTATTTTTCAAAACAATTAAAACATACACAAAACTGGCAGAAGTCGGGCACACTCAGAAAAAAAATTGTAATCAGCTGGTAGCTCTACCGTACCTTTTTATTGTACCATGGGCTATTCCACTTTTCTGCCAGAATTTTTCAAAACAATATGCAACAAGTTGTTTTCGTTTATTTCATATCTTTCTCATTTTTAAAATATCATTAAATTATCATAAGATTTTTTGATATCTTGAGGGGAAAATCGGTTATCGATGTATAAATTTTTACTTTCTTGCAGTTCTTGAACAGACCAAAGTCTTTTAATTAATTTTTATTTTTCCGACAAATAAAGGTAATTCCTAATCAAATTTCGAACTACGTATCCCTATAAACAAAATAAAAAATGACAGTTTAACCAAATCTTAAGGTTAGAATACATAAAACGTTTTTTTGACTGGCTTATGTCAAAGGCTGGCATTTTCGTAAAAGAACAAAGAAGCTTTAGGTTGATTTAGTTCAATTTCGGCCATTGATTTGCACCTGTTAACCCTACGCTACTTTGTTCTTTTATAAAAAAGCCATGGTAAAATACAAGTAGTCGTATCGACACAGCTGCTGGGACAATGAACTGTCAAACCGATTTGATTATAAAAATTTGTAAAAATTATTTAAAAAAATATATAACATTACAACCTACGATTTGCGTCATATAAGAAAACATATAAAAATCTACTTATTTTTGACAAAACACTTTAAAAATTGTGACATATGACTAAATCCAGTCAAAAAAAGCGTTTTATGTATTCTCACCTTTAAGCCACGTATAAATCAAATCTCTTCACTGTGATAATTGACATATCATTATCTATTACTATCGATGATTAAGATCTCCGAGAGATGAGCAAACTGTAAACTAGTGTTCATATTAAAATTTCACCAGACACGTTTAATTTAAATGAGCCCAAAAAGGTTTCTTAACTCAGTTTCGATACCACGACATAAAGCACTGATAAGGAACCACGGTATGAAATTTTCTTATCGATAGACCAAAAAAATATACCCATATGGACACTTTCAAACTATTTTGTACCAAACATGCCCACATACAAATACAAATTATCTTATCGAAGTTCAATTGCAAAAAGAAGCTAAATGACCGAAACACACAAAAGAGGGTTAGTAATTAGAAAATACGCGAGTTGGGAAGTATATAAATTGCAAAGTTTCCAATACGTATAAAATTACTATTTGCTTAGAAAAGTTTTAAAAACCAATTATTTTTTCAAAAATGGCCAATATGGAACATTTGTTTACAAATATCCTTTTGGATTTTATAAATGAACATGAGATAATCGGTTATGATATTATTTCGGAATTAAATCGTTTCGATCGTTTCATACAGGGCCGGAAAACTAACGTCGAACAAATTGTCACTGAACCGGATATAAAAATTGAATATATGGAGGAATCGAATGTTGATGGTATTTTATTGGATTATGCCGATTATTCGTGGAATGATTGTGATCAACCGATATATACGTGTAAACTGTGTTCACAAAATCCGGAAGAAGAACAACAACAGTTCACACATTTGGATGGATTTCTCGGCCATCTGAGAGACTGTCATGTTGGCAAAATAATCGAAGAACAAAAACAATACTATTTCGATAAAGAATGTGAAAAGTTGTGGGTTACCGAATTGGAGAGAATAAAAAAGTTTAAATATCAACATCACAGCGAAGAGTTTATGAAGGAAATCGATGAGGTATGTCGGTAATCTTTATAAAAAATCATGACTAAAAACAAAAGGTCTTATGCCATGTTTACGTTAGAACTTTTTGTAGAGTTAACCTTCTTAGAGAGGATTTATTTGAAGTAAAAGTAATGGATATGACAATTTAAATCCAAATCCAGTGGGTTAACCCTCATATATATAAACGTACTATTATGTTACATTGATTAAATTTGACAAACATTGTAATGATTCAAAGATTTGGAATCTATACCTAATAGCAAATAGTACGTCAAACTCCATTTTTATTATTTATTTATTTTTTATATCAGCACCTATATGACAACTATAGCAATCTATAAATGATAAGGTGTTGAGGTGTTATTAGGTGTGTTTGTTGACTCAAGATTTTTTGGGAATTTGTAGAAGGTTTTGTTTCTTATGCAAGTTCAGTAAAGGTAGAGCGTAATAATTCAGGGTGGAAGCGCACATTTGACTGGCTTCTTCGTAGATAAACAAAGGAGTTTTAGGTTGACTTAGTTCGATTTTGGCCCTAGGCTCCTTTGTTCATTTCCGAAAAAGAAAACGCATATTTGACTGGCTTAAGTCATCGGCTGGCTTCTTCGAAGATGGACAAAGGAGTTTTAGGTTGGCTTAGTTCGATTTTGAGCCTAGAACTAAGTCAACCTTAAACTCCTTTGTTCCTCAACGAAAAAGCCATCCTATGACATAAGTCAGTCAACTAAGCGTTTTATGTATTCTCACCTAAATAGTTCCAGCGGCTTGTGTGTATTTTCTATACACAGACTCTAAAGGTGGGAGTACATAAAGCGCTTATTTTGCCGGCTTAAGTCATTGGCTGGCTTTTTCGCAGAGGAACAAAAGAGTTGTAGGTTGACTTATTTCGATTTTGACCCTAGACTCCTTTGTTCATTTCCGAAGAAGCCAGCCGATAACTTAAACCGGCCAAATAAGCATTTTATGTATTCCCACCTTAAAGATTTATTTAGATATCATGATAGAGTCAAATGTAACACACACATGAATGTTCAGTAATGATCTTGATACAAAAGAAACGTCTTTTAAAACTTAAATAAAAGGCTTTTTTGACCGGATTAAGTCGTCTGCTAGCTTTTTCGTAAGAGAACAATAGGGCGTAGGATTAAAAAGAATAAATTAAGGGCTGATATTGAACTAAGTCAACATAAAGCTCTTTTGGTCTTTTACGAAGAAGCCGGCCGATGACTTAAGCCAGTTAAAATGCGTTTTATGTATTCTCACCTTTAATGTATTTATAGCATAAGTAGATTATTGCAGGGCTGCAAAGCGGTTATGAAACAAACCATAATTTCTTTGAATGAAACGAACCGTAAACCAAACCATTGTCTAAAAAACTGTTGAACCCATGGTACAATAAAAAGGTAAAGTAAAGCTACCATCTGATTAAAATATTTTCTAAGTGTGCCCGACTTCTGTCAATTTTGTGTATGTATTTATTGTTTTGAAAAACGAAAACAAAATATTTTTAAAACCAATGATTGGAGAACACGTACATTGCGGCTCGCACATTAATGCTATTAACCAGTTTAGCCATGAAATTTAAAGATTGAACAGTTTGGATGATATTTTTGAGAAATCCAGGCGATTTCATACATTTTTCGCGCTATTTAACTCATTTTAAAAACGAGGACAAATATGAAAGAAAATGAAAACAACTTGTTGCATATAATTTTAAATGAGTCTGACAGGAAGCGGGCGTAGCCTCAGGGCTGTATTTATGTAGTTCTACGAAGCTGTTCTACCTCCTTATTGCACCATGGTTGAACCGAACCAAAAACCGTATCGATTTAATGGTTCGGTTCAAATAGTTGTATCTCTAAAATTGTAATGTAAATAACGCTATTTTTTATCAGTTCCTTATAAAATATAGTTTAAATCATATAATTAAATACATTTTTACTATAAATATGTTAAAAATAGATAAAATAAATGCCAATCAGCTGTTGTTTGTTTATGTAAACATATACACATGGCCAGCTGACTACCAAATTTAATGTCAAAATGCATTATTAGGTTCGTCCGTTTACTTTCCCAGTAACATTTGCTCAATAAGAAGTAACTGAGAAAAAATACGATTTCTTTTCTATCGAGAGAAAAAAAATCAAAAAGTAAACGAACAGCATCTTGCAAAACATTTGTAAGATAATAGCTGATTCAACAAAACAACTTCAGCGCAAATTAGCAAATATATTTTGATGCAGTTTATTATTTTACATTTTCATTACAAAAAAATGAACAAGATAGCACCCCAGCCGCTCTTAACTTATTTATTTTTCATCTTTACCTACGTTTTATTTCCCATTTTTTGTTAATAAGTACATTAGCTTCTTTCTTCAAAAAAAAAAAAAAAAATAGATTAGTTAAATTTGTTTGTTTGTTTTTTACAAAACAACTGATTATTGAACAGCTGATGTTACTAGATAATTCATACTGGTTAAATTTTCCCAATAAGAATTTGCAAACTCTCAGCAACTCAAATGTCAAAATGTCTCTCTCATTTCGATCTTACTTAGTGGAATTTTGGGTAAACGATTTCGTAAAACATGCTGTTTAGGTTTTTATTTATTTTTTTTATTTATACGTCAAATAAATTTGATAAAATGTAACGAAAATCCCACATGTGTCTACTTTGTTGGTTCCGCGCCGAGGTAATCGCAGATGATTTATTGATATTGACAAAATTTAATTGTTAATTCAATTTTTCGGTAATATTTTACAATAACTAATCTAAATGAGTCTCACAGAGTCACAATATTTAATAGATGTGGGTTTATTTAGATATTAGGGAAAAGAAAAAGAAGAAAAATGGCTGAGCTAGTAATGGAAATCGTTTCTCAAATTATGTAGGACTTGCCAAGATTTCCAATTAAAAAATTAACAAACATTGTTTTTACAAAAACAATTGTTAACAATCATGGTAAAATTTAGAAGGTAGAATCATTTCCAATAAGCATTCCCATCCCTGCATTTTCTGTAACTTACCTTGTCAAATTTCACTGCCTAAAAACAGGTTCCCATCTCTGATTTGTGTGTATACAATGGATTTCTAAAGATTGCATGACTTTACCTTCTTAATTCTACCATGTTAATTGATTAATCACATGATTAAGCCATGGTAGAATTAGGAAGGTAAAGTCATGCAATCATATGTTTACAATTTTTTCAAAATTATTATTTTTGACTAAATTCTTCGGAAAAGTACAAAGGAGCGTAGGGCCAAAATCGAACTACGTCAACCTAAAACTCCTTTGTTCCTCTATGAAGATGCCAGCCGATGACTTAAGCCAGTCAAAAAAAAAACATCACCTCACCTCAAGAGCTAGCATTTCACCCCTCAATTATTTGTATAATTTATAACAAAGGCATACATGTTTAAAATACCATCTGCTACAACTGTTATTATTTAAAAATAACATCAATGCCAAGCATTCAAACGATACGTTCTTCCAAAGGCTATTCAAGTAATAATCTTTGTATTGTCTTAATCTATACAACAATGAACTCAACCACTTAACTATAGCAGAATAACCACTGGACCCCCGAGAACCTTTCAATCGAGTTTTAAAAATAATATACATACCTTTTTTCTGGTATTTTTGAGGTAGTTATGTTATCAATATTGCTATGCACTTGTAGGGTGTTTAAAGTAAACATATTTTTTTGTCAACATTGAGTATTATCACAATGAAATGCTTCTAAATTAAGCTATCAGAGATTTGTTTGTGCTAAGTCATCCAAAAAATTTCTTTATTTTGTTACTTCCAATGTGAAATTTATTTATTCGTAATGACCTTCCAAAGGCCGTTGGTGTTATTTAAAATTAGAATTATTTAATAATATTATCGATTTGCTATCAGCATAATGAAGTAATTTGTGATATATTTTAATATTATTAACTGTGATGTTAATTTAGAATTGCATCAAGAGGAAAGTATTATTCATGGTACAATTATAATGGAATTAGTTTTTGTCAAAATTACCCCTATGATAAATATCTCATTGTTAAAATGTATATTTATAAATTTATCAGAGATGAGAACTATTTAATAGGGTAATAATACATAAGTGGCCTGTTCCCTGCAAGAATGTAAATGATTTTACAACGATAACCGATTTTCCCTTTATGATATCGAAAAAAGAAAAAAAATCAAAACTAGTAGAATTCTGCAGGTTCTGGAACAGAACAAAGGTTTACAGCAAATGCAGAGATGGATATGCTTATTTGAAATGTATTATTAATCTTTACCTGTTTGCAAATGTATAATTATTTTACCACTTTCTTTGTCACACAACAAAGTAATGTATTGTGAATGAATGACACTCATTTAAACTGTTTGCGACTTTTTGTTAACAATCAAATGTGAATGATGACAAAGAGGAAGAGAGACTGCTACTCAGCTTATAACAAGAATTATAAGTTCATATTAATTAAACCCCTATTTAAATAAAACGCTATTTGACAAATATAATAAAAATAAATAAATAACCTATAAAAATTAACTTAAATTTATAACAAAACCAAAACAAAAAATGGTTATGCTGCAAAAACATAGATCTCCGAATAACATAGTTGTGTAATCCTGACAATCAATGTTGACTTATTGTCAACTGTATAAAAACACCCACCACGCAGACGTTGTTAAAAAATGAATAAATAGTTTTTCCCAAATTTCTCCATTTAAATGATTTTACATAATATCAATTTATGAACGCATTCTTCTTCATTAAGTCACACAAACGTTATGTACATCGAATGATTAACATACAGCAAATGCAGATGGATATGATGAAATGGATTATTAATTTTTATTTGTTTGAAAATTTAAAAGTAGTTATTTACCACTTTCTTTGCCACACAACAAAGTAATGTATTGTGAATGAATAACACTCATTTAAACTATTTGCGACTTTTTGTTATCAATCAAATGTGAATGATGATAAAGAGGAAGAGAGACTTCTTCACAGCTTATAACAAGAATTAGAAGTTCATATTAATTGAAACCCTATTTAAAAAAACGCTATTTGACAAATATAATAAAAATAAATAAATAAACCATAAAAATGAACTTAAATTTATAACAAAATCAAAACAATAAATGATTATGCTGCAAAAACATAAATCATAGATAACTGTGTAATCCTGACAATCAATTTTGAATGGTTAACTGTATGAAAACACATCACGCAGATGTTTTTAAAATATGAATAGTTTTTGCCAAATTTCTGCATTTAAATCATTTTACAAAATAGAAATTCATAAACGCATTCTTCTTCTTCATTAAGTCAAACAAGCGTTATGTACATCGAATGATTAACATAAATAAAAATGTTAACTGTTACAATGTGTCTTGGGAGCGAAATGAAATGCAAGTTAAGAGAGAGAGCGACTTCCTCATTCTTTCACTGAAATGCTCCAAATTAATCATAGGAAATATTATATAGCTCAATTAACTATTCAATTTCAATTAACGATTAACCCTTTCTAACAAACAAAAAGCAAGTGACTTCTCATAATTTTATCGAGCACATACATTTGTTGCCCAATATAGGCATAAAACCATAAAAAGTTAAAAAAATCTCTTTTTCTATAAAGTATTTGAAGATGGGGACAGGTGTTTTCACTAATTCGTCAGCTATTACTTTATGAATTAGGGAAAACACCTGTCACCATCTTCAAATACTTTATAGAAAAAGGGATTTTTTTAACTTTTTATAGTTTTATGCCTATATTGGGTATTTCAAATTATTCATTAATGTATTTCTACCTTATTTTCAGATATTGGGAAATGAAGAAAACGATATGTTACGAAACGCAAGTTCCTTTGAAGTCCAAGATAATACAAATTTCAATAATTCCGCTGTAATGGACTATCTAACACCACCAACTTCCATTTGTGGTTCCCAGTCTCCAGCAAATTCACATTTATCCGAAAGTTCACAAACACCAAGCTCACCAGCTACCAATGCACACAACACCAACAACTCCATGGACAAAAAATCTGTTAAAAAGAAAAAGAAACGTACATCCGGCCAATGTGATGTCTGCAATCGGACATTTAATGATTTGTATAATCTAAGGATCCACAAAATGATACACAGTGGCGAAAAGCCTTTCCAGTGCGACGAGTGTGGCAAACGTTTTCGCCAATATAATAAACTGAAAATACATCGCATCACGCACACGGACCTCAAGCCATACGTCTGTGATATATGCAACAAAGGTTTTCGTTTTCGCAATTACCTATCGGTACACAAACGTTTACATTCCGGTGAAAATCCCTATAAATGTAAATTTTGTAACGAGTTCTTTCATTCGCTGCACTCTCGCCGTCTGCACACAAAGCTGGTGCATTGTGAAGCGAAAACATTTACCTGCCCCATATGCAGCAAAGTTCTAACGGCCCAGTGTTATCTTACGGCGCACATAAAGCGTCACACCAATCAACGTGATTACAAATGTGAGACATGTGGCAAATGTTTCTTTAGTCAGTCGCAGCTTAAAGATCATCAGCTCGTGCATACAAATCTCAAGCCATACCAATGTGATACATGTTCGGCAAGATTTCAACGCAAATCAAATTATACACAGCATTTGAAAATCCATACGGGAGAAAAGACTTATGTCTGTCACATTTGCATGAAATCCTTTGCCCAAAATGCTGGTCTATATGGTCATATGAAATCGCATGCCAAAGCGAATTGAAGGGGATTGAGCAGAGTTTGTTTTTAAGAATTGAAAAGGAAGACTTGATAAATTTAGGGAAATCTAGTTTTAAGTTGGAAGTTTTTTTAAGAAGAATATAGGAGGTTGTAAAGTAAATAAAAAAAATAATAAAATTAATTTGTAATGGATATTTTGCGTTTTGTATCAATTTCTGAAAATTCTTTGGTTTGCTCACCTATGGTGAAATATTGGATAGTATACAGGGTGAATTTTAAAAACGTTATAATTTTTTTTTTCTTTTTTCAATTTTATTATACTTTTGAATGAAGGCAAAAAAAAATTCGCAAATAGCATTAAATTTAAGAAAATGTTTAGCGATGTTACGAGACACAAAAGATTTATTCACATTCAAATGCTGGAGTTCTCTAACGATAGCCATTTGTGGTTTTCCAGCCAAATATAAAGAAATCACACTTGAACTCCATCACGAATAACTTTTTTCTGGACAATTCTCGCCAAAATGCTTTTGTACGCTTTTAAACAATATTATGAGCTGTCACTGGAATAACTTTAACAGCTGTCGGACGAGTGGCTTTGAAATTACAGCAGTCTGGAGTTGGTAGCAGTCTTTTTTTTCAAAAAAAAAAAAAATTCAAAAATTTCAATTTGAAAGCACAAGAAGAAATAAACAAACAATAGAAAACTTGCGATTGAATGCCTATGAATGAGAAGAAGAAGAGTTGCAAGTGATTGCAAGAAGAATAGGTGTGTTTGGTTACTTTTCCTGCAGGAATTGTCCAGCAACATCTTTCTGAGAGAGTAAGGTAGTTTTATTCTCTTTTGCAAGGAAATTTCGAAAAATAAACAGACGGTATTCCTGCAGAAGCTTGCAACTAATCAGCTGATTTGTCAAAACAAACCAATTTGTCCCCCATTAAAAGAATTAAAAGAAAGGAAGGCCCACCAATTTTACAAGTTTTATAAATAAAAAGGAAATTAGCAATAAAATAAAAATATGAGCAATAAAAGGAAGATAGATTTGATCTTTATCCGCGGAATCCTTTAAACCTGTTGCTAATGGCATTTGTCTAAAAATGTTGTAAATAGTCTTTTATTTTCTTATTACATATTAATATTTATATTTTTCAAATTTGTAAAGTTGTTCTCCAAAAACAATTAATCTTGCTAATTCCAAAACAATATTTTCAAATTAAAATCACAAAAAGAAGTAAATAAACAATAGAAAACATCTGATTGAATGTCGATGAATGAGAAGAAGAAGAGTTGCAAGAGATTGCAAGAAGAAATTTGTCCAGCAAGAATTTGCAAACTCTCACTGAAAGAAATGTCAAAACCGCCCTCGTTTGCAGAAATTTCGGGTTAACAGACGACTTCCAGTATCAATTGTTATATATTTTAGGGTAACCAGACACATCTATTATTGTAACCACGCCAAAAAAAAAAGTCCACCAATTGCAGCTAAAACCTTTAGCCAAAATATAGTGTGATTCCAGACTTTTCTTAACGATGGCTTTTAATGAAATTTCATGACGATTATTTCCCCCTCCCCTCTCGAAAAATTTTCCATTAATGTCAATCAATGGCAAAAAAATACTGACTTAAATAGAAAACATAACCTTGGATTATTACCAAAAATTCTAAAAAAAACACATTAGCCTACAAAAAAAATATTGAATTCTGATTGTTTTGTTTTTCTTGTAGATACATATGTTTATTGACTTTTATATTAAATATAATTAAGTTCTTTGCATGATATATATGTAAATATTTTTTTTTTCTTTTTTAAAACATGTTATCGATTTCTTTCTTTTTTTATTATTAACTAATCATTAATAATAATAATTATTATTATAGCTTTTCCTTTTTAATATATTATTTTGCAGCATTTCTATCATCGTAAATATATAATGTTACTGTGTCTTCTCGCTTTTTTTTTTGCTCACACAGTTTTCTCTTAAATGATATATTTTCTTATTTTAGTTTTTGTTTAATTGCAAAAATTTGTGTTTTCAGTAGTTCATTTTATTATAAAATATATATTTTTAATGTATATATATATATATGATTATTTCTCATTTTCTTTGCTGCCTATTCTTTTGTAAATAGTAATGCATTTTGTGTTTAATTAAATACTATGCTTAAAAGTAATTTGTTTTCTTTGTCATTTTATTTAACAAAAAAAATCTTTTATGAAAACAAATAAAATATTTTGTAAGAATTGTTTTTAAATTCATTGTTATTTCTGTTTTTTGGAGCACATGGGCTGAAAATAGTATTGGAACACATAGAAAATCTCGTGCAAAAACTTTGTCTGGCAAACGAATTTTGCTTCATGCCTTCCAATTCCCAGCTCATGTGTTTTGATTTGATGGTGTCTTTGTTGTTGTTTTTATTATATATTGAAATGTAAATGGCTGATCCTGTATTTCCTACATATTATTATTATTGCATTCTATATGTATGTGTTTATACGTATATGTATATGGTTTTGGTATGCATATTGTATTCAAAATTATATATCAGTTAGTAATTATTGCTAATGAACTTATTTTAAAAATAATTATTTTTATATCTTTCTTTTTTTGATGTTTATCTTTTGCTGTTTTTATTCTTTTGTTCTTAATTTCATATATATAATAATATATATTATGTATTTCAATGTATATATATGTTTTAATTTTTGTGAGGTTTCAATTTGAACAATTTGTTAATAATGTTTTTTTCCTTATTTTTTTGCTGGGCAGTTGTATTAGGAAATAGGAGGGGGCGAGAGCATAAGGTAATAAAAAATAAAGAAAGCAGAATGGCAAAGGCATCAACAAAAGAAAATATAAAATTGTTGAACTTAAAGACTTAGGAAAAACAAGTAAAAAAGCCCTCCACCATTTGGATCGAATTTGGCAATTTTCAAATTAATAAAATCCGTTAAAAATTCTGACGTGGACCTGCATAGGCAACTTTTGTCATATGTCATTACAATATTCAAATGTGAAACTTCAAAAAATAAATCGGTCAATAAAAAAAAAAACTATTTTATGGGGGCTAAACCAAAATATGGACCTGCACAGACAGTCGCTAAAATCATCAAAATACCGAATATCGGGAGGTACCCTTACATGGGGGCTATACGAAGACGTGGACCTGCATAGACAATTTTCTGTCTTAGGCTGTAGTATCCATTACGAACTTTAAATACCAAATTTGAAACAATTCCGGCGAATAATGTCGCTAATATCGTTAAAATATCGAATATCGGGAGGTACCTTTATCAATCTACTTCATTTCTTTCGGAAGCTGGAGTGATTTCCACAGACGGACGGACATCCCTAAATCGACATAAAATGTTATGCTGATCATAAATATATATACTTTGTGGGGTCTAAAATGTATATTTCGAGGTGTTACAAACGGAATGGAAAACTTAATATACCCTCCATACTATGGTGGAGGGTAAAAAAACATTAGCCTTGAATATTCATTTAGTTTAATGCCTCTAGGCATTTAAGTGTCAGATGCGGTTTTTCGAGATTAGTCTGTTTTCAACTATTGTTCCCTTAGTCCACATCTACAATATTGTCATTGTCGGGAAAACCTATTTTCCATTGGTTTTTCAAATATGGCTATCGTTAGAGCACTCCAGCATTAAAATGCATCTCCTTACCGTGATACTGGTAGCGTAGCCCGACGTCAAGGAAGTGAAAGGAAGACAGAAGAAAACAGCAACATCAACAGAAATGCAGCAGTTCGAAAAGTAAAGAAGCGACTTGGTCGAAACCCGCGTCGCAGTGGCCGAAAAATGGCTCGTAAGCTGAACATATCGTAATTTTCCATACGGCAAATACTGAAAAATGTGCTCGGCGTAAAGCCATTGAAATTCCACAAAAGTGCAAGAGCTTGCAACGCAACAGAAAGAAAATAGACTCAAAAGAGCTAAAGAAGAGTTACTTTGCTTGGCCGAAAGTGGTGAACTGCCGAATTTGGTTTTCACCGATGAGAAAACATTCGTTGTCTAGCAGTTTGTAAACAAACAGAATGATCGTGTTTACTTGCCAAAGAGGTCAGCTGAAAATTTGTAAATGCAAATGGTTACCAGAACTCTAGCGGCGGCCATGGTGATGGTTTGGGCCGCCATAACAGCCGATGGTCGCTCTCCGCTCGTATTTATTGACCGTGTGGCATCAGAATAAATGCCGAATATTACCGCGAAAATATTCTGGAGGGTATATTGAAGCTTTGGGCATGCAAACATTTTGGCCGCAGACCTTGGACATTCCAACAGGACTCAGCACCATCGAACTCAGCACGCGCCGCCCAAGAATGATTACAAAATGAGGTTTCTCGTTTCATTTCCAGCACACAATTGCCACCAAAATCTCAGAATACCAATACTATTGTATCTGAAGTATTTTGGAAGTCAAGGTTGGCACTAAAAAATACCAAAATGTCGATCTCCTCAAGCAAGCGCTTCGCCGGGAATGGGCCAAAATACCAAAGCAGAGCAACATTCGGGCAGCGTGTAACGGTCTCATTGGCCGTTTGAAGACCATACTTCGTGCCAAAGGTGACCGAATTCGAGCAAATCTAAACTTATCCTAAACTTTGATGCTTTTTTCACACATTTTTTGCTTTCATTCAATAAAATTTTAAAACAAAAAATTTAAAAATTGTCTTTGTTGCAGTTTTTTATCTCACCCTCTATGTGTCCTACAAATGTTCATATTGGAATATTTTGCTCTATTTGAGAGACAAGATATAGTCTTCTGAAATAGCATGTTTCTCATATATTTTCTCCCAGTTCAGAACTAAAAACAAAGCCTAAGACAACACAAGATGCCAATTAGTACGCGATTTGGGAAATTATACTGTTTTTCTGTTACAAATTGACCAAATATTCTAAGGCCTAGACTGCTAAATGTCAGAAATACATGTTGTATGTAAAAAGCAGCAAGGCTTAAGGTGAGAATACATAAATCGCTTATTTAGCTGGCTTAAGTCAACGACTGGCTTCTTCGTAGGGGAACAAAGGAGTTTAGGTTGACTTAGTTTGATTTTGGCCCTAGGCTCCTTTGTTCATTTCCGAAGAAGCCAGCCTATGACTTAAGCCAGCCAAAAAAACGCTTTATGTATTCTCACCCTTACTTGTAAATTATTTACGAGTTAGTTTGATTTCAAATATAATAACAACATACATTTTTTATGTTTAAAGAGAATAATTAAATAAAAAGATAATTATAAAAAAAAAACATTTTACAACATTTTATGTTTACATAGTTTTTTTGTTTTTGTTTTAAGTAAAAAAAAAAGAACAAGAACAGATTTAGTGTATATAAAAACAAAACATACACAATTTTTTTATTACAAAGACAAGGCATAAAATTTTTATTTTTGATAATTTTAAAATTTTACCAAAAAAAGGGAATTAAATTCCAATTTAAAAAAATATATAATTACGATAATAAAAACAATTTTGTAGCAGTACCGAAATTTCAAATAAAAAAATGCGAAAATAAATAGATTTTCATTCTTAAAAACAAAATAAAAATGCAAATTAAAAAAGTTTACAAAAAGACGCTTTAAATACATATTTTTATAACAAATATTAAAAACCAAACAAATATACCAGTTGCATATGTATATATATAAAATTTTGTAACGGAAAACAAAGACAAAAATACAATTTTGAATTTAGCATAAATAAAAAATTAACAATTTTAAATTAAAACCTAAAAAAGTGGAAACTATCATTAATAAAAAAATATAAAATAAAGTATTTTGTAACAATTTTAAATAGGACCAAACAAGATTAAAACTAAAAAAATAAAATTTTTCCAAAATAAGAAAAAAAGTTCTTAATAATAATAAAAAAATATAAAATAAGTTTTTTTTTTAACAAATTTAAATGGGATCAAACAAGATTAAAACTAAAAAAATTAAAATTTTTCCAAAATAAGAAAAAAAGTTCTTTATTTGAAAAAAACACAATAAATATTTTTCAAAAATGTTTTGAAACAAAAATATATTTTTTTGTTTAAATTAATAAAAAATATTATCTTCTCTTTCGTTAGATAATTGTTTTTGTAAAAATTAAAACACAGAATAATTAAAATAAAAAATATTTTTTCAAAAAAATAATTTTGTAATTAAAAAACGATGAAAAATTACTAAAAAAATTATGGAAAGATAAAAAATTATCAAAAAACGGAATTTGTAACAATTTAAAGAGTGTTGTTGCAAAATGGTCAGGCTTAATCCCTTTTTTGTTGTTTTAATAAAAACAACGTTTGTTTATTAGTGAAGAACGACGGTAATGTTTACCAGTTTCGAAAAGAATTGTTTTTTTTTTTCAACAGGTTTTGTTAAGAAATATGTTTCCAATAATTTTTTTTTGTTAAAAAATCATAAAAAATATAAACCTTTCATAAGTTTTTTCTTTAAAAAAATAAAGGATAACATCAACAGATAATATTTTTATACCCTCCACCATAGTATGGAGGGTATATTAAGATCGTCATTCCGTTTGTAACACCTCGAAATATACATTTTAGACACCACAAAGTATATATATTCTTGATCAGCATAAAATTCTATGTCGATTTTGCAATGTCCGTCCGTCTGTGGAAATCACTATAGCTTCCGAACGAAATGAAGTAGATGACCAGATGTCTGAGGGACTTTTGGTATTGAAAATGGGCCATGTAGGTCTATGTTTTGGTATAGTTATAAACTAACATCTACATTCGGTATTTTTAAGATTTTAAAAGAATTTTTAAAGGATTATGAATTGAATTATTAATTAAAATAATATAATAATAATATAAATATTAAACAAATAATATTTATAATATGTTTTTTTTATAAAAAACTATATATTTTTATTATTATTACATCAAAAATTAATAATTTAATTATTAATTAAAATAATATTTTTTTAAAAAAGCTATTATTTACTAAAAATTATTCTTTATTAATTTTAATTATTTTTGTTAAAATAATTTTAGTAAAAATTAAATATTCTTTAATTAAAAAAATGATTTGAAGACAAAAAATAAGGAAGAATATATTAAAAAAAATTGTTTTTGATTTTAGATAGATTTATATATTTGACAAAAAAATATTATCTTATTAAACATTCTTTTTATTTTACAGCATTATTTTGTCTTCATTTGTTTTTTATTTTAATAAAAAAAAAGAATATTTTTCAACAAAAAATATTTTTTTTAGAAAAAAATAAAAACAATAAAAAATTTTTTTAACAAAAAATTGATTTTTTTTTTGAACAAAAATATTGTCTTAGTAAACATTTCTTTTTATTTTACAACATTATTTTGTTTTCAATTTTTTTATTTATTTTATTTTATTTTTTTTTTTTTGATAAAATATTATTTTAACAAAAAAATTAATTAAAAAAATATAAAAACAATAAAAAATTTTTTACAAAAAATTAAATTTTTACCAAAAAAATTTTTTTACTTTATTTTATATATTTTTATTAAAAAGAATTATTTAAATACAAAATAATGTTGTAAACGAAAAAAATATTTTTTTTTCAAAAATTGTTGCCTTTAATGAAATTTAATTTTTTTTGTTATTGCTCTGTTCCAGAACCTGCAAGAATCTGCTATTTTTACAAAATTTTTCTGATATTATAAAGAGAAAATCGGTTATCGTAGTAAAAACATTTTTGCAGTTCTGGAACAGACCATATATGTATGTGGTTACGTTTGAATGTCGTATGTGTTCTATATTTATTTGCTTGTTTTAAGTTATCACCTGATTTTTGTGTTTACTTTCGTTTTTCAATTCATGTTTGTTTTATATTTTCGTCCAATATCTTTAAGATTTATTTATCATTTCAAATATTTGTTATAAATATTATTTAATTTCAGTAAATATTCTTTTTTTTAATTTTGTTTTTAATAAAATTGTTTTGTTTGTTCCAATTTTTTGGTTTTGAACCAGACCAAAAAAGTTTAAATTTTTAAGAATATATTGAGAGGCAATGGGCTTTAAAACTTTCTGTCTGTCTGTCTAAGTATTTGATTTGAAAACAAATAGCAGAAACTGATCATGAAAATGTGGGTTTACAGTCAAGATGACTTTATTTCGGTACAATATTTAAAGGCTTATAAAATTACCAGATAAAATAAAATAAGAAACATATTTATTTTATTTTTTTTTTAATTACCACATGCTGTTGTTGTTTTTTTAAGTAGAAGAAAAAGGATAACTAATAGCTTTTACTTAAAACAAGTAAGAAAACAATAATTTCGGCTGGGCCGAACTTTTAATACCCTCCACCTTAGAGTAAAGGAAACATTTGAACCCATTATGACCCTCAAATACCAATTTTTAGACATATTCATGGGAAAATGTGTCAACAACCATCAAAATACCAAATATCGGGAGGTTCCATTATATGGGGCTATACAAAAACGTGGACCTATACATACAATGTTTTGCCACACGAACTAGGACCCATTATGACCTATAAATATCAATTTTTAGACAAATCCGTAAAAAAATGTGGCAAAAATACTCAAAATACCGAATATTGGGAGGTACCGTTATATGGGGACTATACCAAATCGTGGACCTATACATGCAATGTTTCGCCACACGAACTAGGACCCATTATGACCTACAAATACCAATTTTTAGACAAATCCCTAAATAAAAGGGGGCAAAAATCATCCAAATACCGAATATCGGGAGGTATCGTTATATGGGGGCTACACCAAAGCGTGGACTTATGCATGCAATGTTTTGTCACCCGAACTAGGACCCATTATGACATACAAATACCAATTTTCAGACAAAACCGTGAAAAAATGTGGCAAAAATCATCCAAATACTGTATATCGGGAGGTAACGTTATATGGGGACTATACCAAATCGGGGACCCATACATGCAATGTTTCGCCACCGGAACTAGAACCCATTACCAACTACAAATACCAATTTTTAAACAAATCCGTGAAGAAAAATGTGGCCATAATCATCAAAATTCGGATTATCGGGAGGTAACGTTATATGGGGGCCATACCAAATCGTGGACCTATACATGCAATGTTTCGCCACCGGAACTAGAACCCATTGCGAACTACAAATAACAATTTTCGCACAAATCCGTGAAAAAATGTGGCTAAAAACAATCAAATTACCGAATATTGGGAGGTACCATTATATGGGGACTATACCAAAACGTGGACCTATACATGCAATGTTTCGCCACCGGAACTAGAACCTATTATGAGCTACAAATACCAATTTTGAAACAAATCCATGAAAAAGATGTGGCCATAATCATCAAAATATTGAATATCAGGAGGTAACGTTATATGGGGGGTATAGCCCCCCCCCCCAAAGCGTGGACCTATACATACAATGTTTCACCACCGGAGCTAGAACCCATTATGACCTACAAATACCAATTTTCAGACAAATCGGTAAAAAAAAATGTGGCAAAAACCATCAAAATACCGAATATAGGGAAGTATCGTTATATGGGGACTATACCAAAACGTGGACCGATATATCTCATTTTCAATACCATCCATCCTAGACACAATACAAATTGTTCTGCTAAATTTTGACGCTCTACATCAAAAAATGTGGGCTGTATCCTGATTTCAACCCACAGACAGACGGATGTCGTAGATTTGACTTAGAAATTTATGCCGATTATGAATATATATACTTAATGGGGTCTACGACGAATATTTAACGGAATGACAAAGTTAATATACCCTCTTTCCAAGATGGAGGGTATAAATAAACATACGTTTTTTTTTAACATTTGTTATAAACGATTTCCACTGCAAGTTGGCATGAAGTGGATGAGACAAATTACACCACCTTACTTTCCGTGTTACATTTATTTTTGCTACACAATTTTAGTAATAGACAAACAAATTGATATATGTACTACAATTATACATTCACACACAAACTACTAACCAACATAACTAACATGTTAGGAGCTCAACAATTGTATAGTGATATACCTTTCAAAGCAAAATATAATGTCACATAATTCATATTCAAAAAAAAAAAAAAAATAATAAAAATCAAAATAAAATAAGGAACAAATGCAAGCAAAAAAATATGTTTAAACAAAAGAAAAGAAAAAAAAGAAATCATATAAACTATGATTAAAAATACATCATTATCAACATCACTTAATACATACATATTAGAGATAAACTACAATTCTATTTTTTTTTTTCTCAGGGGCATGCTGCTTACTTTTTTTTTGAGGGGGTTAAAATAAAAGGAAACATAAGAAAGAAAATATTATAGGTAGATATATATTATCTTTTCTCTAAATTCTATCATCGTACACTAGAGCAATATTTTGTTTTTGTATTTTCCGTTTTCGGTTTTCTTTTTAAAGATATGCCTTAAAAAACCTCTTACTTTTTAAGACATGGAACTACATGGCATGCGTGGCGAACCCATTTGTGTCAAAACTCGATCCAACCACTGCAGCGGACCGTTCAAATGCAATTCAATCCAACAGGGTGTGGATGTGACCGTTTGACGTCGATACTCGGCACCCCAACCCTTAACAAACGACATACGTATGGTGCACATGCGTGTCAACTGGTACACTGCCTCGAAACCCTGCGACACGGACTGCGACAGTAAGGCAGCAAATTCCTGATTATTGAATATTTTCAAATTACAACCAGGTGGAATTTTACAAACGGTGGCGGGATGCCAGCCGTAACGTTGATTACAATTCGGCGATTGCACAAAAATCGATGAATCGCTGAGGCATTCGGCAAACACCTCACCGCCAATGTAATACAGGCGTACACCTTTGCCAATGTGTCGACGAGTTTGTTCCACAACCTCGTTGCGATTGACATTGGACAGCAGACCCAAACAGAAACGTTCCGAATTGGAGGGGTCAGTAAAGCCATCGACCGTGATGGACGGCTGTGAAGCGTGAAATGTTTCTCCAACACGTGTATTCAATTCGTAATAGGAAATGGAACACCAAAATGCCTAAAAAAAGACAGAAAATTTTTAAAACATTTTTAGGGAATAGAATTAATTTTTTTTAATAAATTTAAAACAAAAATACAGGGTGAGATGAAAAAACTGACTTCTGCCATTTCTTAGCCACTCGCCCGACAGCTGTTCAAATTATTCCAATGACAGCTCATTATACAGGGTGAGATGAAAAACTTGCAAATCACTCGTCCGACAGTTGTTAAAATTATTCCAGTGACAGTTCATTATATTGTTTACAAGCGTACAGAAGCATTTTGGTGAGAATTTTGTAGAAAAAAAAGTTATTAAATAAGTTATTCGTGATGGAATTCAAGCGTGTGATGGTGTGATTCCTTTATATTTGGCTGAAAAACCACAAGGGGCTATCGTTAGAGCACTCCAGTATTTAAATGTGAATAAATCTTTTGTGTCTCGTACCATCTCTCGTTAACGTGATACTGGTAGCGTAGCCCGACGTCAATAAAGTGGACGGAATAAAACAGCAACATCAGCAGAAATGGTTCGAAAAGTAAAGAAGCGACTTGATCGCAAACCCTCGTCGCAGTGGCCGAAAAATGGCTCGTGAGCTGAACATATCGCAATATTCCATCCGGCAAGTATTGAAAAATTAACTCGGGCTCAGGTAAAGCCATTGAAATTCCAAAAAGTGCAAGAACTTACACCGCAACAGATAGAAAATAGACTCAAAAGAGTTAAAGCGTTGCTTCGCTAGGCCGAAAGTGTTGGTGAAATGGTGCCGAATTTAGTTTTTTTCCGATGAGAAAACATTCGTTGTACAGTTTGTAAAGAAGCACCATGATCGTGTTTACTTCCTCAGGAGGTCAGCTGAAAATGTGCACCTTCGGTTGGCCACCAGAACTCTAGCGCCGACCATGGTTGTTGTTGTTGTAGCAGCTCATACAGCTGTGTTCGTTCTGTTTCCATTTTCTGACTCCATTCAATGTGGTTCTGTCTCTAAGTTCAGTCTCAAAAAGTATGGAACCTGTATGGGTTGTGTCCATAACGAGACTGGACTGCACATCGCTGTTAATGCGGGCCCAGTAGGAATTTTGGGCGGTTGCACCATCCGGATTGTAATTGAGCCAAAACTACTCGGGTTTGTCGGCACAGCTCTCGTTCTTCAGCTGTGACGGTGGGGGGTGGTCTCCTTGGGCAGTATTCACTCTATATCCTTCAATGACTTCTGAGACCGCGTTAGAGTGAATACTATTCAGTCCCGCTTGATAGGTCTATCGATCTAGAGGCTATCTCTTATATCTCTGAACCTATCTCTCTAGATCATGAAGGTCTTTCCTTACGTGCCTGGGCGGAGGTTGCCTATCCATAAGATTGTGATTCGGATGGCTTTGTCTATAACACCCATGCAGGTATTGACAGCCGGCCATGTTGATGGTGTGGGCCGCCATAACAGCCGATGGTCGCTCTCCGCTCGTATCGTAATCGACCGTGGCATCAGAATAAATGCCGAATATTATCGGAAAAATATTCTGGAGTGTGTATTAAAGCCTTGGACACGCAAACATTTTAGCCGCAGACCTTGGAAATCCCAACAGGACTCAGCACCATCGCACTCAGCACGCGCCACCCAAGAATGGTTACAAAATGAGGTTCCTCGCTTCATTTTCAGCGCACAATGGCCACCAAAAATCTCCGGATACCAATCCGTTGCACTATTGTGTCTGGAGTATTTTAGAAAGCAAGGTTGGCACTAAAAAATACCAAAGTGTCGATCAAGTAAGCGCTTCGATGGGAATGGACCAAAATACCGCAGGGCAACATTCGAGCAGCGTGTGACGGTTTCATTGGCCGTTGGAAGGCCATAATTCGTGCCAAAGGTGACCAATTCGAACAAATGTAAACTTATTCTAAATTTTGATGCTAATTCCGACATTTTTTGCTTTCATTCAATAAAAATTTAAAAAAAAAAATAAAAATTATGGCATTTGACTCTGTTGCAGTTTTTTTATCTCACCCTGTAATTCAAGCACATGGAATACTTCCTAGAGACATGGATTTAAATATTCCCTAAGGATGTTTAGAAATTTAGATGGGTTTCAATATTCAGAAAAAATTACTATCGATTTTTTAAATGTTTCTTTAAATATTGCATATCTTTACAAATTATTTTTTGTTTTTAATTTTAGCATTTGTTTTTCCAAGAATTTTGAAAATTTTTGTTTTAACATGCTAAATGTTTTTCAAAATTTTTTGGGAGAATGGCTTCAAAAATTGTAGTTTTAATCTTCTCAATATTTTTTTCAAAACTTCAGAGTGGTGTACAACAATGTACTACTTACCGGTTCATGATACATAACTGGTGCCGACTCAACCGGAGGAGTTAAACGTGTCATATTCATATTATCATTCGGATCAACCGGATCACCATCTTCACTCATATAGCCAGGCGGTGGAGTGCCTGTATTTGGCATACTATTACTGCCCACACTTAAAACACTCGACTGCGAGTCCATATTACAGGCGCCGGGCGGCAAGTTGTTTGTAGACATTTGCTGTTGCTGCTGCTGTTGAGCCGTAGCTCCACTCATATTACCCGTAAAGAAATTGCTCGGCGAACGTGGATCTTGCTGTTGGTATATATGCTGTTGTGGATTATTTCTACTGATATCCATATATTGCGGTGGACTCAATGACGCACTGCGTATGGTGGCCGCATTATATTCGGTATTATTTGGTATTTGATGTGTATGATTATCGAGGGGATAGTCCACAATGCTATCCGGTGGTGTTGGCAATGATTTCGGCACCAGTATAGATAATTCCAATTTCTTGTAATGATATGGATTTATGCAGATATCATCTTTGCGCAAATGAAATGCATATTCACAATGATCCAGGGCTTTCAATTCATTCTGTGACTGTAGATCGGGCCAGCGCCACAAACGGCAATATATGACATGCGGCAAACCCTTGCGTAGGTTTTCACCCGAGGCAGTGGGTTTGCTGCGCGGTACGGTAACACACCTTGTATTGGGGTTTTGTGTTGATATGGCACGTTCTAACTCTTCTAGCGAGGAATTCTTTTTGATCTTTTTAACTAGATTTTTAACAGCCTTTTCGGACCACTTGCCTTCAACGCTATCTTCGTTACACTTTTTTAATGCCAATAAACGTTTAACGACTTGTGGTGTAAATGGCAACATTTCACGTTAACAGCGGTGAGGATAATTTGTTGTTTGGTTTTGGTTTTTAGCACAGCAGTTGGCAGCTGGATTATCGTCCTTGGACGTTATTACACGTTTAAGTTTTTATTGATACCCCCTGAGTGAAAAAATTCCAAATGTTACAGATTATAGCATCCGCGCTAGAGGGCAAGAAGAAAAGGAAATTAATATGTATCATAAAAGTAGCTTCTAACGTATCTCCTCCTCTCCATAACAACAATTCCAATTAGTCGCACTTCCAATTGGAAACTTACTAGTTTTTGCTTGTATCTGTCTCTTATTAGGTATGTTTTGCTTGGTATTCTAATTTTTCGTATTTTTCTTTTATCTCTCTCTCCCTCTTTTCTCCCTCCTCTGTCTGTCAGCACCCCCTCTTAATTCTGTCTACCTTGTCTGCCTGTCTGGACCGACCAAGAAGACAACGACAACGAGACGTTCACTAACCACACACAGAATATTCCACAGCGGATATTTTGCTATCTAATCACTTCTAGTTCACCGCAATTTTAGAAAATTTCAATTCTCGTGCACTTGTTTTACAATTCTGGTTCAATTAACATATTTTTGCCAGCAAAAATTTCTAATAATTAAATGAATTTATCACCGAACAGAAATGAAAAATAAAAATAATTTTGTCGCTTCTGAACATAAATACAACACTGAAGACATTCAGAGATGACTAGGTCGACTTTTTATGCTCGATTTTTTTCTTATCGATGTGAATATAGATGTGGGAAAAATGTACACAGAGAAAAAAAAGAGGACGTGCATTTTTTGTCCACCAAATGCTATCATCCAGAATTTGCTAGAATCTACTATGCTCTGTTCCAGAATCTTGAAGGTTAATTTGTTTGCATTTTTCCTATATCATAAAGTGAAAACCATGGTACAATAAGGAGGTAGAACAGCTTCGTAAAACTACATAAGTACAGCCCTATGGCTATGTCTGCTTTCTGTAAAATTTCCATGCAACAAGTTTTTTTAATTTATTTAATTTTTTTTTTTTGCATTTTTAAAATAAGTTAGACAGCCTAGATTTTCTTTTAAAAATATGATCTAAACAAATTAAATGTCAACACTTGTTTATATTTGTGGGGCATTTGTTTACATATTCTTCTGCGATTTCGATCACAAAAATTCCTTTTGACATTACCAACGTATCTCGACATTGTTTATGACGTTTTGTCAGTGTTGTCACCAAGGAAGCTGCATATTATAAGCGGAGGAAAATTTCAGAGAAAAATTAGACATATATCAAATTTTTTTTTGAAAAAAATTACTATATATCTCAAAATTAAACGTAAATTTACTTTATATTAAATTTATATAATAATTGATAACTAAACATATGTTTGTGCATGTTTATGAAATTTGTTTTACAATTATTTAAAGTTATTATCTTCATATTACTCTATATTAAAGAAAGTAGTGCTTTTCAAACCGAAACTGAGAGCTTTGCAATATTTGCTGATCGCCACCAATATCGTAAATTCGTCCCGACGAAGAAAATGTTCACTTGGCTTTTTTAGCTTTTTGGTATAACGATTTTGGTGAAAAGCAAGACTTTTAAGTGTCAAATATTCTGCAGTAAATGGGAATCATACTCACTCCTGCTTTTCCCAAAAATCATCTGCTAAATATTCTTTTAGCAGTAGCATTTGAGAAGGGAAGGATTATAAAAAAAGTGTTAAAAATAGTAAAACTATAAATTACTCTTGAATTACACATGCCACTAATTGCACATGAACCACAAATGCAACAAAAAATTACACACAGTTGCTCTGTTCCAGTACCTACAAGAATCTATTATTTTGGCAATTTTCTTCGATATCATAAAGGGAAAATCGGTTATCGTAGTAAAAACTTACACTCTGGCAGTTCTGGAATAGACCAAATATGTGCAATTACACATGAGGTGGCAACACTGCGTTTTGTGACGTTTGTTTGTTATCAGATGGCACACAAAAACCACAAACAACAACCAAACAAAAGATTCGCAGTTTCGCATTGAAGAATAATAAAAAATATAAAAATACACAAAAAATCGCTGAAATTATAAAAATAATAATAAAAAATTTCAATTTTATCTATCGCGTCTTCCACTTTCCAAACAAACTAATTGCTCCAACGAACAAAGCGAAAAAAAGTTTTCTCCAACATTGTTTTCTTAATTGCGTTCCAAATTAATTTAATTGTAAATATTTAACAAAAGAAAAAACAAGATATAGCAAGCCAAGGCCATGGAAAATTTAGAAATTGAACGTAATACGTCCCGAGAAAACAACGAAAATGATCTGCTATTAAATGCAATAAGGAATAAATTTGCCGCAAAAACTACCAGTGAGGCTGCTTCATTTAGTCCACCCAAATTTACAATACCAACATTAAAAATAGCTAGTGGGAAATCGGAACACTCGTCGACCATAAGTGGGTCACCTTTAAATGATTTTTTGCTAAAACAATTGCAAGACAAAGGAGCCAAACAAAATGGTTTTGTGTTGCCAGATTTACAACAGCAGCCAACATTTGGCAGCGTTAATATGTTTGAAATTCCAATGCTAAAAACCAACTCCATTAATGACACATCTGCCAATGCCACCACCAATAGTAGTGGTGGAATTAGTAGTCTAACAACAGCCATTAATAAATTGCATGTTAAGGAAAATGCTGCTAACACCCACCATTCATCAAATCCTGCCGTCATTCCCGCCTCTACCTCTGCCAATCTACCACCTGCCATAGATTTGTCCGCCGCTTTGGCCACCAATCATTCGACACATCAGGGCACACCTCCTTCAAGAATTTTCCATAACAAACATAAACAGCGCCAACAGCAAGCCGGCAATGCAGATATAGATTTTAAAATTCCCTTCATAGACTGTGATCGTTTGGATGCATCATCAACAAAGGTGTTATTAACCACACCCGCTAATGAATATTGTCAAATTGACATTTCACATGTCCCACTAAAACCAAATTGTGTGCAAAAACCCTCGGCTGTGGGTTATTTTTTGTCTTTAGTTGATAAGCACTACATGCCTCCGCCACAGAAATTCGCCAATTATTCTACAACATCTACAGCGGTTAAACATGAAATAAAACCATTCGATTTTAATACCAAATCACCAGATGATTTAGTTTTGGCATCGTTGGAGAAATATCAAAGACGTCATTTCCACTGAAACAAAAGAGCTCTGCTACCATGGCAATAAGTTATTATTTTAAGGGAATGTAAAGTACAGAGACAGAGGCAATGTTTTTTTCAAGAGTTTGATATGTTGTTGGTGTTGAAAAATTCTTTAGAATATTATTTTTATTTGTATATAAAATCAATTTTTGTAATGTTTTAAATGCAAATATTTTTCTTTTTTTTTTTTAAATTACGATATTCTTTTTAATAAATTGTCCATAGATATAGTACAAAAAGTACAATTAAATAACTAATTTTTAGAAAATTTATTTGACGAAAATAAAAATCAATTTAAATTTTAACGGTTTTAAAAACATTCTAACAGGGTGAGATGAAAAAACTGCTACCAATTTCAGTCTGCTGTCATTTCTAAGCCACTCGTCCGACAGCTGTTTGAATTATTCCAGTGACACCTCATTATATTGTTTACAAGCGTACAAAAGCATTTTGGTGAGAATTTTCCAGAAAAGAAGTTATTCGTGATGGAATTCAAGCGTGATATTGTGATTTCTTTATATTTGGCTGGAAAACCACAAGTGGCTATCGTTAGAGCACTCCAGCATTTAAATGTGAATAAATCTTCGTTTCCGTGATACTGGTAGCGTAGCTCGACGTCAAGGAAGTGGATGGAGGAAAACAACAACATCAGCAGAAATCCAGCAGTTTGAAAAGTAAAGAAGCGACTTGATCGCGAACCCGCGTTAAATGGCTCGTAAGCTGAACATATTGCAATATTCAATTCGGCAAATATTGAAAAATGAGCTGGGGGTAGGCCATTGTAATTCCAAAGAACTTACTCCACAACAGAAAGAAAATAGACTCAAAAGACCTAAAGAGTTGCTTCGCTTGGCCGAAAGTGGTGAACTGTCGAATTTAGTGTTTCTCCGATGAGAAAACATTCGTTGTCCATCAGTTTGTAAACAAACAAAAAGATTGTGTTCACCTGCGAAAGAGGTCAGCTGAAAATGTGCAGTTTCGGTTGGCCACCAGAACACAAGCGCCGGCCATGGCTGTTGTTGTAGCAGCTCATTCAGCTGTGTTCGTTCTGTTTCCATTTTCTGACTCCATTCAATCTAGTTTTGCATCTAAGGCCTGTCTCAAAAGGGATGCAACCTGTATGGGTTGTGTCCATAACGAGACTGGACTTAGGTGAGTAGGCTTGGCTCGACAGCGAAATAGGTGCAACATCTGCCCTGCTGTGCCACAAGCAGGGCAGATGTTCTGCACATCGCTGTTAATTCGGGCCCAGTAGGAATTTAGGCGGTTAAGTTGCCGGCCATGGTGTGGGCCGCCATAACACCCTATGGTCTCTCTCCGGTCGTATTGATATCGACCGTGGCATCAGAATAAATGCCGAATATTATCGCGAAAATATTCTGGAGGGTGTATTAAAGCCTTGGGAACGCAAACATTGTGGCCTGGCAGACCTTGGACATTCCAACAGAACTCAACTAAAAAAATACCAAAGTGTCGATCACCTCAAGCAAGCGCAGAGCAACAAAATACCGCAGAGCAACATTCGGGTAGCGTATGACGGTTTTATTGGCCGTTTGAAGGCCATAATTCGTGATTTGATGCTATTTCCGACATTTTTTTCTTTCATTCAATAAAAAAAAACAAGTAAAAAAGCTGTAAGTTCGGCCGGGCCGAACTTTGAATTCCCTCCACCAATAGGAACGAATTTGGCAATTCTCAAAAACAATAAAAGCCGATAAAAATTCTGTTAAAATCTTAAAAATTCCGAATGTAGCTGTTATATTATGGTCTTTTTTGTCTAAAGCCATTACAATATTCAAATGCGAAACTTAAAAAAAATCGGTGAGTAATGTCGCTAAAATCGTCAAAATACCGTTATATGGGGGATATACGAAGACGTGCATAGACAATTTTCTGCCTTAGGCTGTAGTATCCATTACGAACTTCAAATACCGAATTTGAAACAATTTCGGCAAATAACATCGTTAAAATTATCAAAATACGAAATATCGGGAGGTACCGTTATATGAGGGCTATACGAAGACGTGGACCAGCACAGACAATCTCCTGTCATAGGCTGTACCATCCATTTTGAACTTTAAATACCAAATTTGAAACAATTCCGGTGAAAAATGTCGCTAAAATCATCCAAATTACGGATATCAGAAGGTACCATGAAAAAATGTGTCAAAAATCATCAAAATAGCGAATATCGGGAGGTACCGTTATATGGGGACTATACCAGAACGTGGACCAATATATCTAATTTTCAATACCAACCATCCTAGATACAATACAAATTGTTTTGCTAAATTTTGACGTTCTACGTCGAATAATGTGAGCTGTATCGTGACAGACAGACGGACATCGTTAAAACGACTCAGAATTGTATGCTGATTATGAATATATATACTTTATGGGGTCTACGACGAATATTTAGGAATGTTACAAACGGAATGACTAAGTTAATATACCCTTCTTTCTAAGGTGGAGGGTATAAAAAGTTGAAGATTGGTTACAAGATCCAGGTTGATTTTTCCTTACCTTCGTTATTTTTTAACAAAATTCCACTTCAATGCAGCTTTTTTTTATAAAATTTGTCATTTGTTTAATCAATTTTCCAGCAATGATATTGGACTCATGTGAAATAAAAATTATGTTGATATCGGCATGTATTTATATACATTTAAAAAAATGACGACAGAATACAACTATCAGTCCTTGGGGAAATAATATAATAATAAAAAAATTTATAATTTCTAAACTTAAATTAGGAATTTGTTTTGAGTTATGGGTTGAACATATTCCAAAAAATATATCTTATATTTCAAAATAAAATCTAAATTTTACAATACGAACTTACTTATTGGCTTATTAGATTAAGAGCTGAAATTGTTGTTTTAAATTTTGAATTTATAAATAAAAAAATAATTGCCAAGATTTTATGGAATAAAAGTTTGCATCAAAAATACAGTTCAGATATACCTATAAAATTAAATTACAAATTATTCCTAAATCAAAAATCAAGCATCATTGCCTTGGATCTTATAATAGTTTTCAAGATAGTGTAACTTTTCGAAAACATCAATATTGTATTATTGAAGTTCTTGATGCAAAGTTCAGCAAAAATTCTAAACAGAATATGTTCATTAATAATTATAAATTATTTTTAAATTACACATATAATTATTTATACTACTTTGTTTTTAATCTTAGCGTAAATCATACAACAAAAAGTACTCCTTTTAATGTTTTGCCTCATAATCCAAAGAGTAATAATACGGAATGAAAATGCAATCCTCTACTTGGTGTTAAAAAACCATCCCACAACTCAACGATTGTGCACCTTTTTTATGTGGAAATTTAAGGCCTCAACATGGGCAAAAGCCTTAAAGCAATATGTACATTGGGGGTATATTTTTTTGCTTGTACTGCCCTCGTCCTCACTCTGGTCATCACCATCGCCATCATTATCATCGGAAGGCACCGCATCCAAATCTACACATTCCGTGGCAGTGGATGAGTTCACATTATCCAAGACAACATTTTCAAATTCCATGGGAAGAACATCAGTGCTGGGCCTGAATAATAGGGCGCGACGCCTTTCAACTTGTTGTCGTATCTCGGGTATATCCTCACAGCTGGGACAAGCGTACGGTCGCCGCTGTGTTTGGGTCGAATTGAAGCTTACCTTACAAAAATCGCAACGATAGCGACAATGCAATTTTAAATGATTCGATAGATGGTGTTTTTGTCTAAAACGTTTGCTACAAAACGAACAGCTATAAGGCCGTTCTTCGGAATGAGTCTCCACATGCTCCTCGCGTTCATGTTCCGACGATAGGATTTTACCACACACCATACAGGGAAAACATGTTGCACTTTCATGGGTCATTACATGCGATATAAAGACACTCGAGGTGGCAAAATTCGATGGACAGAGCGGACATTGAAATTCTTTTTCCGTCGAATGGGTTTTCATGTGGTAACGTATGGCCTGTTTCGATTTGAAACCCTTGTCACAAAATTCACACTTGAAGGGTGTGAAATTGGAATGCTTAATCATGTGATTGCGATACAGTGAGAAATACTGGAAGGTCTTCTCACAGAGTTTACACGAAAAACTGCCTTTAACGTGCGGACGATTACGCTTTTTATTGCCCTTAACCATGGATGCAATATCGTCTATCAGGGAATCGTTATCATTGCCCATGGCTTGTAGCAGGAATTCCTTGTTGGTATCTTCATCCATGTGTTGAGGATTCTCATTTTGTTGGTCGGCATCCTCAATGAGTATGGCTTGTTCGTCATCCTCAACACTTTCATATTCATACTGTGCGGATGTTTTATTATTATCATATTTATTTTCCTCCTCTTCCTGCTCCTCCTCCTCCTCTTCCTCATCCAAAAGATTAACCACATCTGCACCATTTCGATTGGTTTTCGAATTTGGAGTTTTCCTTGATCTGGAGGAGGAGGACTGCTGTTCGTCGCTGTCTTCAATGTGAACATTAACATCCAAATAATTTGTGCAATCGAAATACTGAAAATAAAATATGGAAATTGAAATTAAAAAAAATATGAAAAAATATATTTTTTAATGAAAAAAAATTATTTGAATAATTCTATTTTTTTTAAATTATAAAAATTAAAAAAAAAACTTTTCAAATATGTATTAAAGAAATGAAAGGAGAACTATTTTGCAGAAATATTTTTTTATTTATAAAATTCTAATGGAAATACAGGGTGAGGTAAAAAACTGCAACAAAGTCAAACGCCATAATTTTTATATATTTTTTAAATTTAATTATATGAAAGCAAAAAATGTCGAAAACATCATCAAATTTTAGAATAAGTTTAGATTTGTTCGAATTGGTCACCTTTGGCATGAATTATGGCCTTCAAACGGCCAATGAAACCGTCACACGCTGCCCGAATATTGCTCTGCTTTGGTATTTTGCCCATTCCCGGCGAAGCGCAGTCTGAAGTTGGTTGCAGTTTTTTCATCTCACCCTGTATATATACTTTTTAATGATTATTTGATTCCCGGTTAAAACAACAACCTCATTTCAAAATTTAAAAAGAGGCGACAAAATATTTTTTTTAATAATTTCTAATTTTAAATTAATTCTTTTAAATAAAATTCTCCCGAATTGGAAAAAAAATCTCATTCCACTTTTCACATTGTTTCATTTTTTATTTTCACATAAAAGCAAGCAACTAATAAAAAAGATTTCAAACAACCCCTATCTCTAGGTAAAGACAAGTTGAAAAAAATGCTAAACAAGTAGAAAAAAATCGATGGGGCACACTTTAAAGAAAAAAAGTAGATAGTATGTGTATACCATGAGTCACTTTTTTACCATTTTTTCGAAGAATACACATACACACATGCGAAGTTTTTTTTAATGAAAAATTATACCGACTTCCAAGTAATAAAAAAGCACCCAACAATTTTACTTACATCTTGTCCTTGATTATAAGAATCCTCTGCCATTGAATTGTGGGCTTTACGTGTAGCATTATTTTCATCGGCAGCATCATCATCGTCATCCTCGTCCGAGTGGTGTATGCCACCCATATGCTTGAATTTTATGTGACACACAAATTCTCCAATATCCCGGGTAGATTTTTGGCAATAGGTGCACACAAACGTCCATTTTTTTGCATTGTTTGTAACAAATATTTCGCCACAATGATTGCCTTTTGTCTCTTGGCGTTTACCATTTTCCAAAGCTAATTTCAATAGACCGCCGTTACTACTTATATCCTTCATAGGCTTGGCAGCGCTAAACGACGATGATTGTTGTTGTTGCTGGGTGTTATCCTGTCTAAGGCGATAATTTCTTAATTGCTGTTTGTTCTCTTGTTGTACCGGAGACTTTGTCCAGGGACCAACATCCGCCGAATCGGGGATCTCTCCCTTTATTACGAATCCAGCCATTTTTATCCAGTATTATGATGTTTCTTTGCTCACAAATAATATCTTCGTCCTTCGTTAAGGCTTTTAAAGAAACTAAATTTTTATTGTTTCTTTTGCAAAATTTTTCCTTTACATCTATTTATCAAGAGGTTATCATTTCACCGTGAGTACCAACTTTTTTATTGGTTATTTGCGCTTTATTTTTTAAGAAATCCACATATTTTTATACAATTTGAACACTCCAAACAACTTTGTTTATTATTTATATAATGTTATTAACTATTTGTTTATATTTATTTCATTCGAGCTTTTAAATGGACACTTTTTGCAATAGAATGGGTAGACAACTAGAATTTAGGGACAACTAAGTCGATTTTTTACTAATCGATTGGTGGGTCAAATTTATGACGATTCCAGGAAAATAAATTATCGATAACAAATGAATAAAAAATAAATCAAAATATAAACATTAATCAATTTATTTATTTTATGGAAAAACCATAAAGTTTTCCGTTTGTGAAAAAATATTATTCATTTCTCCCTTTTTTGACATCAATTCGTTGAACAAGAGTGTGGAAATCGTTTTCGTGGGCCAAAATCGATCTGCATAGCCCTAAACAGTCTCCAGTCTGTACATTGATTTTTGTGTAGCGATGGTATAACCCAGCTGATGGTACCATGAACTGTCAAAATACATAATGAAATCGCCTGAAATTGTTGAAAAGAGCATATTAAATTAACTTTTACATGGAGTTGTTTAAGAAACAATTTATTTTTGCAGAAACCCCTTAACTTTGGCATCTACCAGTACAAATCCTATATATTCTACATAATTCACATTCGTTTTTTAACTAAAATTTTCTTTAAAGACAGCCTAACAAAAATATATACCTACTTTCCTTCAAAATATGATGACTTCGAAACAGGAATAAATACAAAAAGTATTTTTTCATGAATTTATTTAAGAAAAAATTACAATCACATAAATATTATATTAAATAAACAAATTTTAAGTTTGACATAATTTAAATCGCGCGCACCTTGCCATTTTAAAAATAACAAAGTATTTATGCTCGTTCCAAACGGCATATGGGACCTTCTTCCACCATTTTTAAGTCCACTTTGGGCCCGACTAAATCACGTATATTGTTGATGCCATATTTAATCATGGTCGGTCGTTCCAAAGACAAGCCCCAGGCGATAACATTTACATTCTCCGGCAAACCCATGGGCAATAACATTTCTGGACGGAATACACCAGAATTACCCACTTCAATCCATTTACCCAGTCCAGGATGGAAACAAAATATTTCCATACTTGGTTCTGTGTAAGGATTGTAGGCTGGTTTAAATTCCAACTGAGTTATACCCAATTTACGGAAAAATTCATACAGCGTACCAATAAGATCACCCAAAGTTAGGCCAACATCAGCAATTACACCCTCGACCTGATGGAATTCGGCCAAATGTGTGGCATCGAGTGTTTCATTACGGAATACCTTATCAATGCTAAAGTATTTGGCTGGTTTGAAACCTTCCGGCTGATTGGCCAGTTTATAAAGCATTCGAGCACTGACGGCAGTTGTGTGGGTGCGTAGAAGATTTTTTTGGGCCTCTTCCAATTTCCAGTCATAACCATAACCCTGGGAACCATATCCACCGCTGGAATGTACTTTCTTGACACGCTGCAGATAGTCTTGTGGGAATTTGTAACTCTTTGCTGGGTGATTTATGAAGAATGTGTCGTGAGCATCACGAGCTGGATGCTGTTGAGGCTGGAATAGGGCATCGAAATTCCAGAATGATGATTCGACATAGTTGTTGGTGGGCATTTCAGAGAAACCCATTTCCAAGAAGATTTGACGGAATTCCGTGCGCACCTTTAACAAGGGATGTAAATGTCCCCGGGTTGGTGGTGCACCCAGGGCATCAAAATTATAGGCCTTGAATTTCAAATCTTTCCATAGGCCAGAAGCCAACATATCAACAGTTAAGTCGGTTTCCAGTTTGGTAAGGGTTGTGGAGAATTCCGGTCCTTTGGTCAAAACGAAGCTTTTGGTAGTGATTTCCTGCAGAAGTTTACGTTTCTTGTATTCGGTTACTAAATTTGCAGGCAAATCGGTTTTTCCAGCAGCAACAGCTATGAGATTTTGCTGGACGGTGTCTTCAATTTTGTCTACTTTGCGCTTTACCAATGGAGGACTGACAGATTTGTCAACCATTATCCAACCCTGGGACATGGCCTTGCTGAAGCCCACCTTGGCATTGGGACCACTCTTCATTAGTTCGGCCTGTGGAATACCATCAAGGGGAACGGCATTATAGAGAACAGCTTCATGACTACCTTGGGCCACAACCATTTGACCCTCTTCAGTGACCTCCAACGATTTTCGTGATGTTGTCTCGGCATTTACCAACTCACCATGCGCTTGAATCGATTTTAGGGCCCCGACAATTTTTTGGTGATCAACACCGAAAACCTCCACCAAGTCCAAGGTGTCCACCTTATCAACGGTATCCAAGTGTTGGAGTATTCTCTCGGTAAGATCGGGATGCATTTTGTTGCCGGGCTTTTATTTACTTTCGTCACAAAACGTCCAACCGGAGAAGAAATTGTTGGCGTGTTAATTTCCCAACATGCAGTCGTCGTCGTTGTCAGCCGGAATGCTTTAACAACAATTTTGACGTTTAGCCAAGTTCTAACTAGAAGAGAGCGTAAAAGCGTGACGTATAACCGATATTATGGCTTTTTGCTTGTTATGGGGCATTTGCATTTGCTAACACTGCCTTTACACGGTGACATTTTTTAACCATGCCATTTTTTTTGTTGGTAAAAGGTGTAGAGAGACAAGGATAGAAGAAAAAATGTCACGATAAGCCACCGCACAGGGTTACATGCCATTTTCTTTGCATTTCTCTTTTTGCTTCTTCTGAATTTTTTATGATTTTGACATTTCATATCGTTTCTTTATTGTAATTTTTGATGCGTTTCTTTTATTGTGATGTGATGTTTTTAGTGATTGAATTGTATAGTGAATTATATGAAAATTATTTGGAAGTATTAAAAAGTAAAAAAAGAAAGTTAAAATAAAAGTTAATAATGCTATATTTAACTCCTCAATAACTTTTTCCATCATTTCTTCTTTAGATTCACACATTTAATTTTAAATCACTTCTTTATAAATATCTGTTACAAACAATTAGCTCTATACGAAATACTGAATAAAATAAAATGTCAGAAAAAATGCAAAGCACTATTATCGTAAAATGCCACCGTGTAAAGGCGCGAAGATTTACGCAGAAATTTTAAAAGAGAATTGATAAAAATGCCAGCTAAAAATTGCACCGTGTAAAGGCAGTGTAATAGAATTATATTGGAAACAGGGGAAAGTGTAAGAATAAGAAAAAAGAATATGAAAAAATCAAAGTAAAAATAAACATACATTTATTCGGTGTTCCAACAAAATAAAATGCGCTCCTTGAAATGCATAAGACTCACTGATCACTTATGTGCGTGAAGATAAAAACGTTTTTAATTTTCGAACACTTTCAGTTGTATAACAGTGTATAACAGTTCAAAAACGTTTTTGTATATGAGCGGAAAATAAAAACGATTTTCTAGGTTATAATAAAAACGTTTTTCAACATCTTAGACTTTTAATCTAAGTCATTTGTTTGATATACGAAAAACGATTTTTATTATCCCCTAGTAAATAAAATACTAATACAGAAATAAACACATGAAATGAAAATACATAATTTAAATTGTCAATGTGTAAGAATTATGATTATAAACATTTTTGCATTACATTTATTGCAAAAAAGAATTTGTTGAGAAAATCGTTCCGAATATGCATTGATCTAAGCATTTCATTGCAGAAATTTTGAGAAAAAATTTATCATCGAAAAATACGATTTTAAAGGACAAAATATGTTTTGGCCTATATCTCAGGATCAAAAAAGGATACGCGTATATGGAAGGTATCGTTAGAAAGGTGATTCCTTCTACTTTCCGAATATGCATTGATCTAAGCATTTCATTGCAGAAATTTTGAGAAAAAAATTTATCATCGAAAAATACGATTTTAAAGGACAAAATATGTTTTGGCCTATATCTCAGGATCAAAAAAGGATACGCGTATATGGAAGGTATCGTTAGAAAGGTGATTCCTTCTACTTTCCGAATATGTATTGATCTAAGCATTTCATTGTAGAAATTTTGAGAAAAAAATTTATCATCGAAAAATACGATTTTAAAGGACAAAATATGTTTTGGCCTATATCTCAGGATCAAAAAAGGATACGCGTATATGGAAGGTATCGTTAGAAAGGTGATTCCTTCTACTTTCCGAATATGTATTGATCTAAGCATGTCATTGTAGAAATTTTGAGAAAAATTTATCATCGAAAAATACGATTTTAAAGGACAAAATATGTTTTGGCCTATATCTCAGGATCAAAAAAGGATACGCGTATATGGAAGGTATCGTTAGAAAGGCGATTCCTTCTACTTTCCGAATATGTATTGATCTAAGCATTTCATTGTAGAAATTTTGAGAAAAAAATTTATCATCGAAAAATACGATTTTAAAGGACAAAATATGTTTTGGCCTATATCTCAGGATCAAAAAAGGATACGCGTATATGGAAGGTATCGTTAGAAAGGTGATTCCTTCTACTTTCCGAATATGTATTGATCTAAGCATTTCATTGTAGAAATTTTGAGAAAAAAATTTATCATCGAAAAATACGATTTTAAAGGACAAAATATGTTTTGGCCTATATCTCAGGATCAAAAAAGGATACGCGTATATGGAAGGTATCGTTAGAAAGGTGATTCCTTCTACTTTCCGAATATGTATTGATCTAAGCATTTCATTGTAGAAATTTTGAGAAAAAAATTTATCATCGAAATATACGATTTTAAAGGACGAGATATGTTTTGGCCTATATTCAGGATCAAAAAAGGATACGCGCATATGGAAGGTATCGTTAGAAAGGTGATTCCTTCTACTTTCCGAATATGTGCTGATCTAAGTAATTTTGGTAATATAAAAAATAAAGCTTACTACAATTTTATAACAACGTCCATGTCGAGATTTGAACCCACGACACAGTAAATGTCAACAGAACTACTTAGCCGACTCGACCACAGCTTCGATGTGGACGGGTGGTATACTGTTGTTAATACTACTGAACGTAGGATAATACGTAGATCTCTTTTTGCTGTTGTCAACTTTGAAAATCGACACAAAATCGGTAACGTTAATCTCATTGATTTAACCCCTTAGACAGTGTGTTACAGGTCAACGTATGTAGGCATGTTTAAGAAACTACATATTCGCAACTATTTTGGTATTTATACTAATAATTGTACTTTTATTTTTAATTTGTATATATTTAAATTCTATAAATTATCCTATAAATTTATTGATTTATGTTAATATTTGTATAATTCCGTACTTATTTATTTTTATTCCGTATTTATGAATTAAATTTTTTGTACTGATAATTATGTTTATATTTCATTTAATTATTATATACATTTTTACTGGTAATTTTATTTTATTTTAATATTTTTATTTATTTTTATCATTACAGTTTTACGCTTGCATATCTATATTTTTACGTTAATTTATATTCGTGTTTTAATATTTTTATTTACGGTTTTATGTACAGTTATAATATTTTTTATATTTTTGTACTTATATTTATATTTTCATTTTATTTATTTTTATACTTAAACTAATACCTTTTTACATTTTTATTTATTTTGTTGTTAAATTTAATAATTTTATTGTATTGTAATACCAACACCACGTTATTTTACACATGCTGGTATCACTTCATACTTTTTATCCATTTGCATTTATGCGGCATGTCCTATCTAAAAAGCAAAAATGCAAAGAATGTGTAAACCGTTACTTTTCGCACGTACCATTGTTGTTGTGTGTGTTTCAAGTTGATCGTTTGCCAACAACCCTTGTTTATGTTTCCACGAAAAAAATGTTTATGCTACTTTTACAATTCTGGTTCACCATCGCTGTGAGCTAGTGATAGCTCAAGTGGTAGAGCGGTTATGTTTTCGTGACCTGTGTCGCGGGTTCGAGCCCCGGTCATGGTGTGTTTATTCATTTTTTTTAAATAGGATTTTTTTTATTTTTTTTTTTTTATTAACGAAAATTTTTTGCAGAATAAGTTATACAACATAAGGTTACTGTAACAGTTACAAATAACTTGCATACCGTTAAAACGTCATACATATAAGTACATACAGCCAACATATAAACTTCAATAATAGAACTTACATAAATACATATAAGAGTACTACAGTAGTTGTATTCTGTACTTGCTTTGAAAAATATTTTTCTTAATAAAAAATATATTCAAAAAAACTATATTTAAAAAAAAATAAACCTTAACTGGGGCTCGAACCCGCGACACAGGACACCATAACACAACCGTTCTACCACTTGAGCTATAACTTGCTCTCAGCGACAGTGAACCAGAATTGTAAAAGTAACATAAACATTTTTTTCGTGGAAACATAAACAAGGGTTGTTTGTCAAACGATCAACTCGAAACACACACAACAACAATGGTACGTGCGAAAAGTAACGGTTTACACATTCTTTGCATTTTTGCTTTTTAGATAGGACATGCCGCATAAATGCAAATGGATAAAAAGTATGAAGTGATACCAGCATGTGTAAAATAACGTGGTGTTGGTATTACAATACAATAAAATTATTAAATTTAACAACAAAATAAATAAAAATGTAAAAAGGTATTAGTTTAAGTACAAAAATATAAAAAATATTATAACTGTACATAAAACCGTAAATAAAAATATTAAAACACGAATATAAATTAACGTAAAAATATAGATATGCAAGCGTAAAACTGTAATGATAAAAATAAATAAAAATATTAAAATAAAATAAAATTACCAGTAAAAATGTATATAATAATTAAATGAAATATAAACATAATTATCAGTACAAAAATTTAATTCATAAATACGGAATAAAACTAAATAAGTACGGAATTATACAAATATTAACATAAATCAATAAATTTATAGGATAATTTATAGAATTTAAATATATACAAATTAAAAATAAAAGTACAATTATTAGTATAAATACCAAAATAGTTGCGAATATGTAGTTTCTTAAACATGCCTACATACGTTGACCTGTAACACACTGTCTAAGGGGTTAAATCAATGAGATTAACGTTACCGATTTTGTGTCGATTTTCAAAGTTGACAACAGCAAAAAGAGATCTACGTATTATCCTACGTTCAGTAGTATTAACAACAGTATACCACCCGTCCACATCGAAGCTGTGGTCGAGTCGGCTAAGTAGTTCTGTTGACATTTACTGTGTCGTGGGTTCAAATCTCGACATGGACGTTGTTATAAAATTGTAGTAAGCTTTATTTTTTTATATTACCAAAATTACTTAGATCAGCACATATTCGGAAAGTAGAAGGAATCACCTTTCTAACGATACCTTCCATATACGCGTATCCTTTTTTGATCCTGAATATAGGCCAAAACATATTTCGTCCTTTAAAATCGTATATTTCGATGATAATTTTTTTTCTCAAAATTTCTACAATGAAATGCTTAGATCAATACATATTCGGAAAGTAGAAGGAATCACCTTTCTAACGATACCTTCCATATACGCGTATCCTTTTTTGATCCTGAGATATAGGCCAAAACATGTTTTGTCCTTTAAAATCGTATTTTTCGATGATAAATTTTTTTCTCAAAATTTCTACAATGAAATGCTTAGATCAATGCATATTCGGAAAGTAGAAGGAATCACCTTTCTAACGATACCTTCCATATACGCGTATCCTTTTTTGGTCCTGAGATATAGGCCAAAACATATTTTGTCCTTTAAAATCGTATTTTTCGATAATAGATTTTTTTCTCAAAATTTCTACAATGAAATGCTTAGATCAATACATATTCGGAAAGTAGAAGGAATCACCTTTCTAACGATACCTTCCATATACGCGTATCCTTTTTTGATCCTGAGATATAGGCCAAACATATTTTGTCCTTTAAAATCGTATTTTTCGATGATAAATTTTTTTCTCAAAATTTCTACAATGAAATGCTTAGATCAATACATATTCGGAAAGTAGAAGGAATCACCTTTCTAACGATACCTTCCATATACGCGTATCCTTTTTTGATCCTGAGATATAGGCCAAAACATATTTTGTCCTTTAAAATCGTATTTTTCGATGATAAATTTTTTTCTCAAAATTTCTGCAATGAAATGCTTAAATCAATGCATATTCGGAAAGTAGAAGGAATCACCTTTCTAACGATACCTTCCATATACGCGTATCCTTTTTTGGTCCTGAGATATAGGCCAAAACATATTTTGTCCTTTAAAATCGTATTTTTCGATAATAAATTTTTTTCTCAAAATTTCTACAATGATATGCTTAGATCAATACATATTCGGAAAGTAGAAGGAATCACCTTTCTAACGATACCTTCCATATACGCGTATCCTTTTTTGATCCTGAGATATAGGCCAAAACATATTTTGTCCTTTAAAATCGTATTTTTCGATGATAAATTTTTTCTCAAAATTTCTACAATGAAATGCTTAGATCAATACATATTCGGAAAGTAGAAGGAATCACCTTTCTAACGATACCTTCCATATACGCGTATCCTTTTTTGATCCTGAGATATAGGCCAAAACATATTTTGTCCTTTAAAATCGTATTTTTCGATGATAAATTTTTTTCTCAAAATTTCTGCAATGAAATGCTTAGATCAATGCATATTCGGAACGATTTTCTCAACAAATTCTTTTTTGCAATAAATGTAATGCAAAAATGTTTATAATCATAATTCTTACACATTGACAATTTAAATTATGTATTTTCATTTCATGTGTTTATTTCTGTATTAGTATTTTATTTACTAGGGGATAATAAAAATCGTTTTCGTATATCAAACAAATGACTTAGATTAAAAGTCTAAGATGTTGAAAAACGTTTTTATTATAACCTAGAAAATCGTTTTTATTTTCCGCTCATATACAAAAACGTTTTTGAACTGTTATACACTGTTATACAACTGAAAGTGTTCGAAAATTAAAAACGTTTTTATCTTCACGCACATTGATCACTTACAGATTTGCTGAGCTATTAAAAATTAACAAACACATTCTCCTTTGTAATAGATATTTATCTTCAGATAAATTTCCTCGGAAAATACGGCCAAATGCCAAAATTTTCATTTTTTTATTTTTAAAAATATTACATGTCTAAAAAAGCATACACTCACTGAATTCTTAATCTTTATGAGGATGTGAGGAAATGGAAAAGTCCAAACGTTTGCAAATAATTGCCACAATGAAAATAAGAAAAACAAATGAAATGAGCAGCAAAGGTTCCTGCAAGAGCAAAACTTTTGAAAAGTTATAAGTCAGCTCAAAATTGGCGATGTGATTCTCCACCACATTCTTTTTCGAAAAGGTAATTGTGGGCCTTCCAAATGTATCCAAATAGGTGTGGGTCAAACCATCTTCCTGCCTCTCGACGGCATAGGGAGTCTTCAATTTGATGCCAGTACATCCTTCGGGTAGGATAATCTTTACAACAGCCTCCTCAATGAACATGTCATCAAAAATGTGATCGATCAAACGCATTTTCAGCAAATAATTGCTGCCCTCACTGAATAGGTATTCGAAGGAAGGCATGTTATAACCAATGGTATATTGGGTCTTCCAACCACCGAATAGAGGGAAACGTGGTCTCAACTCCAGATCAACATACTCCCGCAATACATTCATATTGGATGTGGAAATGTTTCCGTTGCTGTCACGGTAATAGACACCAAAAGCGGAGGCTGGCAACATGGTTTTGTATGATTTAATGGCAGATTGGCCGGAACGAGTATCCTTTTGGAATTCATAGCGTGAAAATGAGCCCTTCAATTTAGCGCCAGAGTGGGTCAGCTGGATGTTTTCCTCGACAGCAATGTTGCCCCAATGAGAAATTTGTATGGTTCTTTCCAAGCGATTGACTGTCATGAAAGGGCTTTGGTTTTCATAGTGGATGTAAAGCTTTTCCTTGTTGAAGGCTGCAAAGAAAAGATACATTTTGGTATTAAATTCCTAAGGGCTTTCAATTAATTATTACTTACCTGGAATGTTCTCATATGGTCCGTACTTGATTTTACTACCCGACACGGTATATGGTTTTGTTTGATTATAGGCTATGATATTCGAGGAACTTAAGACAACCTGTGTTTTTTGTTCGCTAGTTTTATAGGGCGTGTAGAAGTAAAGCTGGCCATTATATTTCACTAACTGCTTATCGGATTGTTTAATTTCTTCCGGATAGGGTAGTAACTGTTTGATAAACACCAAATCAACGAACAATTCGTGGCTAGCGGCGGCTTTTGGTAACTCCACATTGTAGTATGTCACATCGTCTTTCTGCTCCTTTTGCAATTTAAGCTCTTTTTTCTTCGAGTCTTTTGCCGAAATGTAGGAGAGAGACGATTGCAACTCAGTGGGAATGATTAACTGATACTTTGAGAATTGCTTGCCGGCATCGTCAGCGGCAGTAATTTTCACGGTTTCTTTCGTTAATTGTGTTGACAAATCTAGAACACGATCTACATTTTTGTTAATTATTTCGGAGCTAGCCGACTGCAGGTGCAGAACAAACAAAAATGCACAAACAAGAAGTTTTAGAGATTTAGAAAAATGCCGCACCATCACCATTTCGTTTTTTAGACACGTAAGAAATTTTTTTGATATGTTAGAGCATCGATTACTAAATGGGGATATCTAGGTCGACTTTTGACTTATCGAATATGCTATTAGAACTAAAAAATAAAATCGAATAATCGATGTTCGCATGTCGCACTACAGTGCCCTATATTAACGCATTAAAATGTGTGTGTGTATGTGTGTTTCAGTCGATATCCTTTTTCGAAGGTATTATTTATATTATTTAGCGTCATTAATTAAAAACACGTAAGAAAATTGTCTAATATTTCAGATAGAAAATCGAATTTTAGTACTCAAAGTTCTGAAACTAGAACTCGACTGTGGACTTGGGTGAAAACCGAGTACTCGACTATTCATAGTCGATTGTTCGACTTATGCCATGTTCTCATTGCAATTTCAATCACCTTGTTCGCTCTCACGATTCGTAATTCATAGTAACCATGGTAAAGAATACAGGTAGATGCATCAACGCTTGGGAACATTTATATGTCAAAAAAAATTTAATGTTCTTTCAAATATAAGTAGATTTTTATATGTTTTCTTATACGACGTCATTCGGAGGTTATTATACTACGCGTATTTCAACAATTTTTACAAATTTAAATAATTTTTCATTCAACATTTTCAATTTAAAAATTGGTTTGAGAGTTCATTGTCCCAGCAGTACCTTTTTTCTGGAAAATAATCATCAAAATGCTTTTGTTCGCTTGTAAACAATATAATGAGCTGTCACTGGAATAATTTTAACAGGTGTCGGACGAGTGGCTTGGAAATGACAACAGTCTGAAGAAGGTTGCAGTTTTTTTTTATCTCACCGTGTATGTGTTGACTTTGTAATAAATTAACTTAATTTTTATGTGGGTTATCTTTATTTTTTATAACAGGCTTTTTTGTTTTGATTTTTTTTCGTTGCTATACAATATAAATTTAATGATTTTTTTATAATATATACTTATGTATAATAATAACGATATTTCTTCCTTTTTTTCATGTAATTTCTACAAACTTTTCTTTTGTTGACTAAAAACTATGTATAATTTTGTCATCTTTAATTTTATGTTAAAATCTATTTCTTTTTATTGCGTTTACGTTTTTTGTCCGAGCCATGCAGGCCTTTTTTGCGAGTAATACATACGCGACAGAACCAGTCTTCGTTGTCTTTGGGCGCCACAATTATACCCACACATACCCTGCAAGAAAAAATAGAAAGAAAAAAGAAAATTGGCATTAAATGTTTAAAGTATTAAATCAAGTTTTGCTTAGCGTATTGGTGTTCGATGAAGGATAGGCAAATTAGTTTCCCAATATTCACATCCGGAAAGTCTAATGAAACGAAAGGAGAGGGTCGATGAATATGTATTTCACTCGCCCAGCCAAGGATTAAAATAAAACGGTAATTGCGGTAATAAAATAAAACGGAAATTTAAATTTCCTCGATGTGCACAACCCCCAACAAAGCTTAACCACACAGAGATTAGTAGATCTATTGTTTCACGTGAAAGAAATGTAATTTTGAATTGGGTACGGAAAACAGGAACTAAATAAAATATATCCGCACACGCCAAGAATAAAAACATTCAGTTCAAAGTGAACAGTTTCCTTTCTTTCCCTCAAGCACCCTTGCCAGTCCTTTCTTTGTTTTTGTTCTCTAAAATTAGTTTAATTTTTATTTGTAATACATACCAATGATACCAGGCATCACAGCCATCGCAGCCAATCATGGGCGAACCATCGTCAACTTTTCCACATGCCGGACATATCCATACACGATTGCCCTCAGCATCCTGGAAACGTGTTGTTAGGTCATTTGAAATGCTATTTGTTATATTGGGCTCATCTCTACTTACAATGTATGAAGAGGGACGGCTTGTTTCGGTGATTAACGTTAGTGGACTTTGTCGATCGCCAGCCGAAGACGTAGATGCATGTGCTGCCGCCGCCGATTTTGAGGAATCGATGGTTTGATTGCTGCTCGCACCAGCCATATCGTGTTTGGCCGTTTGTAAAAGTTGATGTGGCAACAGTACCGAACTAGCCGATATTGTTCCGCCCGAAAGCCAAGGACTGGGCGGTGGTACAATCATACTGACATTGGAAGATGTATTGGATTTATTTAAATCACCAAAACTATCCAAGGCGCTGGTGTTGCCGGCGCTGTTGCTTGAAACTGTTGGATCTACAAAAAAAAAGTTTTTGATTATTTTCGTCAGTTTTGAAGTAGATCGTTATTTGTACTTACCCGGATTTACTTTGTGTTTGGGTGGCCTTGTTACCAGCGGAGATATTCTAGCCAATTCGGGTGAGGGTTCTCGTGCTGGTTCCCGAGGAGGTGACTTGGGCGCCACTGGGGCAGAGGCTGTTGCTGATGCTGTCGCTGTAGAACTATTGGGATTCTTATGCATATCATCTAGTGGTGTAGGTGATTGAGTATTTCCCAGCTTAAGCGTCAATTTGGGTATAGCAGAAGAAACTGGAGTTGTTGCACTAGCGACCGTGGGTGCCGGTGACTCCACATCATTGATTGCTGTTGGGTTAACTGACGATGACGACGAAGTTGATGTTTTGGGTTTTCTTTCATTATCCCCCAATACTGTTGTGGGTGTTTGGGAAGCTGCCATTGCCGGTGGTGGATCGTCCAAGGCTGTAGAATTGCGAATTTTTTCCTTTTTCTTTTCCTTTTTTAGTTTCTTTAGCAAATCCTTCTCTTTGATGGGGTTCCCACCACCAGTTACTGAACTACCACCCACACCCATTACGCTCTCCAGTCGCTCTTTGCTCGGTGATGTTTGTAGATATTTTTCAGCTTTTTCCTTACTTTTCGATTTATCCTTCTTGTCTTTTTTCTTTTTGATTTTACCCTCTTTCAGTTCTTTTTTAATCTTTTTGTGTTCCTTGCGCTTCTTATGAATGTCAAATAAATTTGCACTGGAGGAGGGGGGAGACTGAGATGTCGGGTTACTGGTGGCCGACGATGGAATGGCTGCAGTTATGGTTACATTTTCGTACAGTGAAGAACTGCTGGTACTTGGTTGTTGAGTGGGAGCAGAATCTGTAGTCGTTGCATTGAAATCACCCGGCTTATTGTGCGTGGTGTTAAATGTGGGATTGGCATTGGCTGTTAAACTGGTGAAGGGTATATTTTTCGATGAATAGGCCATGCCAGTGGAGGATAGGGGTATTAAATCGGCACCACCGGCCAGTTTGCTAACACCCTCAGTCTTAGGCTCGGGATTTATTAGGCTATTGGTAATGCTTAGAGAGGTTTTCTTGACTTGCTTTTTCAATTTTTTCAATTCCTTGGTGCTTAGGTCGGAATCGGGATGATGGAGAACTGCACCAGCTCCAATGCGGCTAAATGAGGGCAGTTTTGAGCTGGCTGTATTTGGTACAAACATTTCGTCCATACTAAAGTGGGTTGGGGCTGAGGTGGGCGTGGATGATACTGGCATTGGCTGGTGTTGAAGATTGGGCTTTGGAACAGAAACCGGAAGTTGCGGTGCTGGTACAGTTGGTGGTGGCTGACTTGTTTCATCCGAATCATCAGACACTTCAATGGGTTCGTTATTCAATGTAATGGGCGGCTGTTTCTTTGTTCCACCCAGTCCTGGAGGTGTGTGTTTTTTATTCATGGAAAAGTCCAAACATGCATCCTGCATTGGAGGCACGACGCTGTTGCTGAGTCTTGACTTGTTGCCCTTATTCATTGTAACCATATCAATGGGACTCTCGTTCTTTTTCATTAACTGCTCGAAGCTAGACAAAGACATTCCGCCTCCCGGCGTATTGGGAATGGATTTGGCACTACCAACGCCACTGGTCATACTATCAGGTGTATGCGGATCGGTGGCCTTTTTCAATAAATGGTCATGACCAGCAGCCGCTGAACTTATGGAGGAGGAATTTCGAGGTTTTGGCGTCTTGGGCAACTCATTGTCATGGCCGCCATGACCATGGGCCTGTTCGGAGGTGGAAGTTTTTGAACTCTCCGGAGAGTCTTTGATCAGAAAAGCCGGCACCAGAGGTGCCACATTGCAATAACTTCTTTCTGAAGACTTCTTTTTAGCCATAGAAAGATCTTCACTTCCCTGGCTGCCGGTGTCACCAGCGGCCGATGAAGTAGAAGCCGTTGACGTAGAAGACTGCTTTAAATTCGGAAATGGAAACATACCCGGTATAAGAGGATTTTTGGGATTGTTTGGAAATGTTCCCAGACCGGGGGTAGGAAAAATCCCACTGGGTATAAGACCAGGGCGGGCTGTGAATGGAAACGGCAACATGGACAACATGTTCGTGGGCAAATTGGGAAATGCTGGACGATTTGGTAACATAAATGGCTGTCCCATTCCAGCCGCTGCTGCTGCCGCCATTGCCTCCATACCCTGCATTAAACGTTTGGAGGCGGCCGCTGCAGCTCCGGGGGATTTCAAGGGTGATGTGTTAGTGTTAGGTGCAGCCGAGGCGTTGGGAAACAATGAAGGTGATGGCAATTTCTTGCCGGTGATTAGACTGGTCTCCACGGACAGATCATTGGTCGGCTGGCCCGTTGGCATGGGTGCCGGTTTAAGTACCGTATCCATTCTCATTAGCTTTTTATTTATGTTTTGTATTTCCTCGCTGGTCGGTACAGCACCTCCAGATCCAGATGTGCTGGCGGAAGAGGGCATCGCTGTTGCCATTAAATCTTGTTTTAGCATTTTATTTTTCTTCCTCTGCTCCTTGCGTTCCTTGGCTGCGGCCATAATCATCATTTGTTGTTGTAGTTGTTTATTTTGAGCCCATTCCATGGGATTCATAGCAGTGTTGGCAAACAGCTGGGCAGCCATGCTGTCATATGGCAAATTGCCAGCCCCCACCGCCAGGGCATTGGCCAAGTCCGGCGGTAACGGCATTTGTGGATTAAAAAGTTTCGGATCCATTTTCATTTTCTTACTTTTCTTCAGCAGACTAGCCGGCAATTGGCCGGGAATCTTTGGGCTATTTTTGCTACCCGGTTTGCGGCCTCTTTTCTTGGGCTTATTTGCCAAATCCTCGCCAGGTACTGGAGCGGCACCGGTTGTACCGGTTGGAAGTTGTGGCGGTGGTTGGGTTGTTGTAGTTCCTAAGGGTTTCTCGCCAAATACCCTTTGCATGGGTGTTGTCAAATCTGTGGCACCTGCTGGGGCCTGCAGAGATTTGGGCTGCACATTTAGTGGAACAGGATCGTCATCTAGGTTGATAATATCTGTTGCTTCATTGGGTAGAGGAGGGAAGAGATTACGGCCAACATTTGACGATGATGGTCCAGGAGCAGGGGTTATAGCTGTGCCAGCTGGTAAATTTATAATTGGCGAATCTGTCATACCACTGGGTAAACGTAGCGGGGTTGGTGATGAAGATTTTGGGGTCTTTTGTTTTGATATTTTCTTAAAAATATTCAATTTGCTGCGATCTGGTTCATTGGAAAGTTTCAATTCCTTGCCATCGAGGGTCAATTGAGGCGGTGCAAGCGAATCTCCGACATGTTCTAAATCAACTGTAGCTGTACCCTCAACCGGAATAAGGGAAGATTTTGAAGTTTTAGGAACACTGCCATCGGGTAACTTTGTTGGAGGTGGTACTGGACTTAAATGTTGTAATTGTGCGCCACCACTCGTTACTCCCGCCGTAGTTGGGGTCATCAAGAATGGCTGTTTCGTTGGTGAAAGATTTGTCGGCTCATTCTTTGGCTCAGCAGGAATTTTATGTTTTTGTTCGCCTTCCATTAGATTTAATGCTGCAGTCCCCATTTCTTTTCCTGCCGCCGCTGCCGTTGGTTGTGGTGCGAACAGTGGCACCAATGGTGGCGGTTGCTGTGACATTGAACTCTTCTTCAGTTTCTGAGCTTCTTGCATCATTTGTTGTTTCATTTGTTTCTGTCGTTGCTTAACATGTTTCTTTAGCAATTTCTCCAATTGCATTCTTTCCGGACCTGGCGGTAACATTGGCAAAATGTGTGGGTTTAAAATTTTGGTTTTTTTGTCGGTGATCATTATGTTGTTGAGTAGTTCCACAGGTATTTTGCCTTGCTTTGCCATTTTTTGGAGCATTTTAATGTACTTGCGTTGGGTTTTTTCAGCTGGATCTAATTTGCTGTTCTTTTCGGTGCCATGCTTATCCATTTGGGCCTGAGGGTGCGTTTGCATGAGTCCCGGTTTTTGTTTCTTGGCCTTTTTCAGCAGCATATTTGCATAGTTATTGGGATTTAGATGATGCAGAGCAGGATTGTGGGCCATGGCCATGGCCATTTGTTGTTTCTTTTTACTCATCTTGGCTGCCTTGGTCGGCGATAGATTTGGTGGCATTGTCATGGGATTTATTACACGGTCTTTTTTACCTCCCATCACCATCAAATCATTTGGATCGGTCTTACGTGGATGATTGGCATTGAATTCTAAAGATTTCTTTGATTCTTTACTGGCTGAGGGCAAAATTTTTTCCTTTTCTCTATCTTCTGATTTTACTGGATCTGTAAGCGGTATGGGGGTTGAATTGGCCGAGCGTGAGGCTGGCCTTGATGCAACAGGTGCTGGTGTTGGAACTCGTGGTGGTGGCGGTGGTGTGGGCGGAGGGGGTTCATCTAAACCCATTAACTTATCTAAAAAAATAAACAAAACATTTCCAACTAGTTCATCTACTCCATATTTCCATCCACTTACCTATTATATCGGGTACAATAGCTTCTGGCATTTTGCCCTCTACAGCCGGTGATATATAGCCACCAGTTGTCATAACCACACTGCTCACCTCCCGGGTACTGGGTCTATCGCTGTCCTCAAAATTGGAGTTGCTTTTAAACAATGATTGTAGTGTAGATTTATTAACATTTTGTGCTGGATTCGCCAGTCCTGGACTAACATTATTCTCTAAAATCAAACTTGCGTTTTTGAAAAACAAATCAATTACATCCACTCAACATTACATACCATTTGCATTATTTTGATCTCCAACATTTAAATTGTCTGGGTTGGGTTTTATATCCACACCACTTGGTCCACCATTCGAATTGGAGGAGGTGGATGGCTGTGGTGCCGTATCACTGGGTTGTGATATTTCGGCAGGCAACATAGGCGGCAGGTGGTCATGTACATGTACCGGCCTTGTCAATACCTCCTTACTACCAGGTTTTAAAAAGTTCAAACACGAATTTTTACGTGCCGGAAATTTTGGCATTTCCATTGCGAATGGTACCGGCTCCACATTATTAATATAGTCCAGTAGTTCACTTACATTCACATTGATGCTGTTCAATGTCAATGTCACATCGTCTAAGTTGGCTTCTGTGCGATTGTCTAGAATTAAAAAAAAAACAACAACAATATCATTACAAACTCGTTTTTGTTATGGAATGCAGAGGACTCACAGTGTTCCACTTGTCGTCTAAGATCACGGGTGAATTCCTTAAGGAACTTGTCCAGTACATCTTGCAGTAATTCAAGCGGAGCTGTTTGTGTAGCATTGTATCCAATGGTTTGGCAAATTTGGGCCACGGCAACACGTAAGACTTCTTTCATGTAACCATCCATTGTTTTTGTGTCTGTTTTTACAAATCTTGATATTTTTATATTCTCGATATTCTTGGCCGTCAATTCCTCACGTTTACTTCAATGCATATTGTTTAAAGAAATGTTTAGTTTATTGCTTTTTACAGCGTTTTAATATGATTTTCCAAGAAATTGTGTGTATTCATTAAGTTTGCTGTCAAAACACTCTATTGTGATTTGCTATTCGAAGAAATTCAATTCACAATAGTGTATAGCGAAGCCGCATGAGATTACATGGCCGCCGACGGCTTAACGCCGCGTCACATATGCTCTGTTCCAGAGGCTGCAAAAATCTAATAGTTTTGCCATTTCGATATTATAAAGGCTGTGTCCAATTTTCCATATGTACAAGTTATACACATCGTGTGATACATGGACGACATTGCAGAAATACATGAGTGAAGCACATATGAACTTTTTCGATCATAGCGATCCCTATTTCCATCGGAAAAATATAATTAAATCAAAAGTGTTGTTTGTTTGTTGTGTGAAAATATATATAAATTTAATTTGTGGTATAGAAAATACAATTTAATCACAATGTAATTTTAATTTCATCGCAATGTAATGTAATGTAAAGTGTGCGATAGCAGGAATTATGAGTCATATGTAAAATGGAATTTGTAACATACACACGGAAATACACATGTACAATAAAAGTGACAGCACGTACAGGGTGATATAAAAAAAACAGCAGCAAAGACAAACGCCATAATTTTTACATATTTTTTTAAATTTTAATGAATGAATGCCTAAAATGTCGGAAATAGCATCCAATTTTAGAATAAGTTTAAGTTTGTTCGAATTGGTCACCTTTGGCACGAATTATGGCCAATGAAACCGTCACAAGCTGCCCGAATGTTGCTCTGCGCTATTTTGGCCCATTCCCGGCGAAGCGCTTGCTTGAGATGATCGACACTTTTGTATTTTTTAGTACCAACCTTGCTTTTCAATTTGGCCATTGTGGCCATTGTGCGCTGGAAATAAAGCGCATTCTTGGGTGGCGCGTGCTCTGTCCTGTTGGAATATTCAAGGTCTGCTGCCAAAATGTTTGCGTGCCCAAGGCTTTAATACACCCTCCATAGCATTTTCACGATAACATTCGGCATTAATTCGATTAATACGAGCGGAGAGCGACCATCGGCTTTAAGGCGGCCCACACCATCATCATGGCCGGCGCTTGAGTTCTGGTGGCCAACCGAAGGTGCACATTTTCAGCTGACCTCTTACACGACAATTTTGTTTGTTTACAAACTGCTGGACAATGAATATTTTCTCATCGGAGAAAAACAAATTCAGCAGTTCACCTCTTTCGGCCAAGCGAAGCAACTCTTTAGCTCTTTTGAGTCTATTTTCATTCTGTTGCGGTGTAAGTTCTTGCAGTTCTTTTTGGTATTTCAATGGCTCTACCCCAAGCTCATTTTTCAATATTTGCCGAATGGAATATTGCGATATGTTCATCTCACGAGCCGTTTATCGGCGGGTTTCGATCAAGTCGCTTCTTTACTTTTGGAACCATTTCTGCTGATGTTGCTGTTTTCTTCCGTCACTCTCTTGACGTCGGGCTACGCTACCAGTATCACGGTAACGAGCGATGGTATGAGACACAAAAGATTTATTCACATTTAAATGCTGGAGTGCTCTAACGATAGCCACTTGTGGTTTTCAAGCCAAATATAAAGAAATCACACTATCACGCTTGACTTACTTAACTTTTTTCTGGAAAATTCTCACCAAAATGCTTTTGTACGCTTGTAAACAATATAATGAGCTGTCACTGGAATAATTTTAACAGCTGTCGGACGAGTGGTTTAGAAAAGAATGCAGTCTTAAGTTGGTCGCAGTTTTTTCATCTCACCCTGTATAATGAGCTGTCACTAAAATAATTTTAAAAGCCTTCGGACAAATGGCTTAGAAATTTGGTTGCAAGTTGGTTGCAGTTTTTTCATCTTACCCTGTACATCCAGGTACGAATTCCGAACGAAAGTGGTTTTAATTCCGTATTTAGCTTCTCCAAAAAATGTATAACGAACATTTTTTTCGGTTTAAAATCACTTCGGATTCTGCAAGTCAAATTGTATTTTTATGAGGACTTGTAACAAATCGGATGAACAATATATATATGGGAGCTATAGCTATATCTGAACCGATTTATACCAAATTTGACACACTTGTTTCTATACTCAATTTCGTCGTTAGCGCCTAATTCCATTCCATTTGGGCAAATATGACACGTTTGGTGCACAATGAAATCAAAATCGGATGAAGATATATATGGGAGCTATATCCAAATCTGAACAAATCTCGATAAAATTTGGGAAAGGTATTTTTGTGCTGTACTTGATATATTTCCCTCAAAAAATCGTTGTCAAATCTTCCTTGGGACAAAGGAATGACTTGTGCAAAATTACATTAATTACATTAAAGTGGAAGTTAGAAAGTATTGAAATAAAAAACACTCCTTAATACACTTACTTAACTTCTTTATTCAACAGCTTACATATTATTAAAAATAGTATTTACATTTAACGGATTAGAGAGTACATTTGGAAATAGTCCCGCATCCTCCCGATGCTTACGCGTATGTGCCGATAGACCTGCTGCCTGAGCATACGCCTGGCCACAAACTTTACACACATATTTCTTAATGCCCAAATGCAAGTGCTTATGATGATACAGTGCCTTCGGCCGATTAAAACTTTTGCCACAGACATCACATATGTGATTACGCTCGGTTTCGTGGGTCGCCATGTGTTCCTTCAACAAGGGTTTTGATCCAAATCTACGGTCGCACAATTCGCAACCGAATGGTTTCTCACCCGTGTGACTTCGTTTGTGTACTATGAGCGACTCTCGCTGGCGACACTTATAGCCACATTCCTCGCAGATGAATATATCCCTCTTGTGGGCACGTCCATGTTCCTTTAGGAGAATTTTGTTGGAGAACGCTTTGCCGCAATTATCCACGGAACACACAAATTCCTTGGTTTCTATGTGCAAATATGTGTGGCGCTTTAAATTACGTTTGGTTGAGAAGGTTTTGTTGCATGTCGGACAATTGTAGCCGGTATGTTGGCCAATGTGATTCTGCAGAGAACTGTTCTCGAAAAAGGACTTATCACAGTAGTCGCACTTGTACGGTCTTTCCCTCATATGAACCATTTTCATGTGCAAGTGCAAACGATGTTTGGTCACAAATATCTTTTCACAAGACTCACAGGGAAATTCTTTTGGTACATTGGTATTTCTTATTATACTTTTGGGTTCATCCTCTTCCTCCGGATCCGAGTGAAGAGAATATCTCTCTTCTTCCTCGTCTGGCATATAATCATCGTCGTCCGCTTCATTATTATTATAAGCATCATCGATAATGAACTCTTGCTCCACCTTAAATTCCTTCGTTAAAGCATCTACTTGGTCAGCAGTGTTGGAAGAAACGCTGGAATTGCATTTTAAAATATACTCAACATCTTCCGTTTCTTCATTTTTCCATGATGCTGTTCCCTCGTTCTTCCTGATGTCTGATAACTCATTGGCATGGGAATTTTTCAGATGTTTTACAAAATCAAAGTAATCGAATATTTTTATTTTGCACAATTTACAGTTGAATATGAACTCGTCAAAGTTTTGATAGAATATTTCACCGCATAACTGTCCTGGTTTATTGTAATTTACGGGTAAAAAACAATTTTTTAGCATTTTGAAGCTAATTGTTTTGATTTAGAGGTGACAAACCATCGATGTAAAATATCGAAAATTTCTCGATAGTTTGTCAGCTCGAAAAAACTGGAGAGCTAGAAATGAGAAACAAAGCGTAAATTTGGGTATAAACAAAAAAATCAAAACAAAAACCCCGATTAACCGTTTGGATAAGGGGATAGTCAATGAAACAGCTGTAATGTTCACTGAATGAGCAAAGGAACGAGATTGTTTATTTTCTCAAACAGTAATGCACATATTGGCGATTTTCCACATAAATTAAGATGTATTGTGTTCGTAAACCGAAAAAAAATTGTGGATATAAGGATATTATTGGGGAAACAAACAATCGCTCCACATTTCGTTTTAAATTGGCACAAACACTGGGAAGGAAAATTAGGAAGACTTGATAAGGTGTTTAGAATTAACTGCGTGACAGGACTCTCATGTTGTTTTGAATCGTGATCTTTGATATAGTTCGAACGGTTTTTTAAATCGCTAAAAATTTAGTTTATTATTTTATGTAACACTATTGCTTAACTATTTACACTAAATTAATTGTGGGTCTTTAATTACTAACTAAAACGCATTAAATTGATACGTTGGTGGAACATAGGCTACCCTCAAAGACGACGACGTTGGTGGTACCACAGTTGGTGCGGCCGGCACTATATTACTTCTATCAGGTACCATTGACATCATGCCTTCCTCCCTATGCTTACGCATATGACCAGCTAAACCGGATGCCTGCTTATAGGCACTACCACAAATTTTACATTTGAATTTTTTAACATCCGAATGCAGAAAACTGTGATGATAGAGTGCCTTTTGTCGGGCAAATGAGGCATTGCAAACTTTGCAAATATGCGGTCTTTCCGTCGAATGGGAGGCCATATGTTCACCCAGTGCCGAACTGGACACGAAACGCTTCTGACATACCTCACAGGCATAGGGTTTCTCGCCAGTATGCGATCGCTGATGTACCCGCAACGTTTCGTTTTCCCGGCATGTATAGCCACAGGCATCACAGATGAGATTTTTCGGTTTAGTGTGGATTTTTTGATGGGCTCGCAAACGACGCATTGTGTGAAAAGCTTTTCCACAGTTTTCAAAATCGCACACAAAACTTCGATCGGTTCTATGGACATCTATGTGGCGCCGCAGATAGTATTTTTCCGCAAAACTTTTCCCACAACCCTCAACATGGCAAGTGAAATTTTTCTCCGCACTGTGCGTCTTTTCATGCCTTTTGAGCTGATGCCGTTGTTTGTAGCGCAACCCACACATCGAGCATTTAAAACCGCCATGGATTTCGATGATGTGTTGGTCCAAATGCTTTCTTTTGTTAAACACTTCGTTACATTCTGAACATTTATGCTCCTTCGCTTCCGGAACTTCTTTCTTAATACCACTTTCATCATGTACTCGTTTTGTGTGTGCCCTCAAAAGTCTAGCATTGCGAAAGGATTTGCAACAAAGTTCACATTCCACACATGCCTCCGTTGTGGCCGCTTCGCCGTCCAACTAAAAGAAATTAGTTTTTATAAATACATTCGCTTTGAAAAGGGATGATCTTACTTACTGGTGGTTTAAAATCTTCATCCGAACTATGATCTTCGTCCTCTTCGTCGTCTTCAATATCACTTTTAATTTTTTTCATTTCTCTCGCCTTGGTTTTGTTTGGTTTTTTTAATACCGATATAAATTCCTCCTCACAACTATCCTCTTCGGAATCCGCATCATCTCCATCGATGTTGTGATCATTACCTGAAAGGAAATCTTCTTCTCCACCAATTAATGCCTGGCTATCCCATATTTCTTCCTCATGCAATTGGTCATAGGGTGGTATATTTATTTCACCTTCCGATTTTATCTCCACTCCTGGGTATTTGGTGTCATCTTTACTGCTAAAGGATTCCGTTTTGAGTAAGTCGTTTTCAAAGTGGACATTCTGGATGTGCAACAGGAAGTCATCGAAAACAAAATGTTTCAGACCACACACACATAAAATGGTGAATTCGGTGGAGTTATGAAAGTAAATTTCGCCGCATTTCGCTTTAGCTCGATTGCCTATGATGGGTGGAAGGACTTTTAACATTTTATTCCCTTAATATGTCTCCAAGCCGAGAAGGATGTCTTGCTATTTCCGCGACGCCACTCAAGCCAAGAAGTTCAAACAAGAAAATGGAGTAAACCAATAAGAAACAAGGAGAAACAGAAGGCCGAAGAAAAAATAATAAATATCGAAATCAAAACAAATCCCAGGAAAAGGGTTCTAAAAGATAGGAAAAGAAATTGGTCTAAAGGGTTCTAAAGATCGAAATGAGTTTCGCAAACAAATGTTTTGTTCACTGAGAGAGAGAGAGAAAACAAGGCTTTAGATGGATGGCCACATATCATATTAGTGTGCAAAGTTATTAGATTTGTATCGGAAACAGCAGCATCTATTCGGTTTAAAGGGCTTTAAAAAGCTCTATACACACAACTACGCATGGTAGAAGAATATAGGTAGACGCATCGACGCAGCTGCTGGGACAATGAACTGTCAAACCAATTTTGGAATTTTAAAATGCTGAATGAAAAATTATTTAAATTTGTAAAAATTGTTGAAAAATGCATATTAAAATAACCTCAAAATGACGTCGTATAAGAAAACATATAAAAATCTACTTACATTTTAAAAAAAAATTAAAAATTTTTGACATATCAATGCTCCCAAGCGTTGATGCATCTAATACCTGTATTTTTCTACCATGCAACTACGAAAAAGCTACAATTGAATATTAGATATTGGGATGGTAATATAATAGCCTTGTTTCAGAACCTGCAAGAATCTATTATTTTACTTAAAGGTAAGTTAAAAAAACAAGTAAGAATGACGTTTACAATTAAAAAGAATTATAATACTTCTTCTAGAAGAATTGCCATCAAGATTTCAAAAATTTCTCACAATGTTTCTTTATTAAAAAGATTAATATGTGCGCTAACATAGCAAAAAAAGCGATCCCGAAAATTACGAATTATTCGAGGCACAAAAGCATGAAATTCGTGGTGAGTTTCTTATAGAATATATTATTATTGTAGTTTTAAAATAAAAACATTTTCTCCGATTTTGTGAGTAGCATTTTTACTTTGGCAAAAAATTGAATAAGGTTTTGTGAATGTCCTTTCTTTAAAACACTTACAACTAACAATCATGAACTATACTATTAACTGCCGATATGGTTTCTTCTCGAGCAGCTATAGGCGGGGTTACCTCTAAAACACAGGATAAATTGTCAGGGAAAAATGAGGGATAAGAAGAATTCTGTATGAGTTCGACAATGACACGTTTTGCCTCTTCTTCCTTGTGATTTACTTCTTCCGGATCGAAACTCGGATGGCAACCGGTTTCATGATCCAGCAAATGATTGAAATGTGTCGGATTTTCATCTTCATCAATATGATCAGTATGACGTGATGATTCCTTTATGGCGGATAAATCTTCATCGTTATATACTTCATCTGGTATTTCGGATGGTTCTTCAATTATCTGCCCTGTGTTGTTATAGGTATCTGTTATAATATTTATATTATCTTCGGCGTTCTTCTGAGCACGAGGTTTCCTTCTCCTTTTTGTTGTCCCATTTGCGGAGGGGTTATCTTTTTTCATTTTCGGTGGAGGCCTTGGCAATTTGTGCATAATTTTAAAATGATGACTAAGCCCCGAACTGAAATTGAAAACTTTACCGCACACCGAACAGCTTAGCAGTCTTTTTGGGCGGGGAGTATGAATTTTCATGTGCTGTGTTATGCGCAGGGTAACCTTACCACAGACAACACATGTCTGGCGTATCTGCTCCTTGTGATTGCGCATGTGTTCCATTAAAAAGAACTCCGTGGAGTATTTACGACCACAAATACGACATTTATGTACTTTATGGGAATTATGAGATATCACATGTTCCTCAAACGTTACGGGATCCGAGAAATTTTTACCACATTGCTGACAGTTAAAGGGACGATCCAAGTGAACCTTTATCATGTGACGTTCGAGAAGACTAAGGCTGTTCAATTTGCGATTGCAAATTTTACAAACAAAGCCATCTGGATAGTGGACAGATTCAATGTGCTGCTTTAGCTGAGTCAGCTTGTTAAATAATTGGTTACAATCCGGACAGGCTAGGGCCAACTTTACGGAACTGTCCGATTCTAAATAATGAATACGTTTGTGTATTGTCAAGCTAAAATGACTGCGAAATATTTTTCCACATGCTGGACAAATGGGTCTCGTATCATGAGAATCTTTATTTTTAGATGTACTCGGCTGATGGTCTTCTTTGGGAGCGCCCTTTCTCAAAGTCGTTATATTTATACTTTTCGAAAGTCCGTCCGCTGGTGATGGCAAAGCGTTGGGTATTTTAGCACCTTCCGGTATAAGCGTAATGAGGGTTTCCCCAACTAGTTTCCTGTTTCCATTGTTTTTGTCATCGCCAAAACTGTCTTGGATATCTTGTTCCTCGACCGAACAATTCAATGACTCCGTTGAATGACTTTGATTTAGATAACCATTGGAAGACAGTATCTGTTGTGATTTTGTTTGTTCACTTTTTATGCGTTCATATATTTCGGAAATACGATTTTTTACAGCAATAACTTTTACCGTAGTGACTTTTTTCCGTTTAGGTTTCGGGCGTAATAGTTCCTTGGCGAATTTGTTCTGGAAATGCAATTTTAGGAATAAATTTGAACACTTTTTGAAAAACTACTGACCTTATGTGGGTATCTAACTGGTGGTTCTTTTTCTATGACAATTCCTTCCGTACGGATCTTTTCAATGTTAGTCTCTTTTAGAAAACATTCCTCAAATGTCTTGCCCGTTGAAACAATTTTCGACTTCTCGCTCTCGGGCACACTTGAGGCATAACACGGAATTTGACGATCCCAAGAGGATAACTCATCGGATGTTGCTTCAGTAACTTCCATAGTATGGTCATTGGAATCACTTTGCTCCAAGTCTTCCGATGCTGATTTAGTGGCATTATTATCCAACGATTCAACAGTAGAGATGACACTACTTGCATCGTTCTCTAATTTATATAAGAAATTATCATCTTTTGACACAAGGGGCTGCTCTTCCCGTTCTTCGTAGATTTCGCCAGCGATTTCATCAAAGTCCGAGTATTCTATAAGATCTTCTTCGACGTCTTCAGGGATCGTATCATCAATATGTTCGCTTAAGTGCTGACAAAAATATTCAATATTTTCATAGTTTATCTTACAAAACAAACAAATAAATTGCAATATGCGCGTTTTGCTATTGTAAGTAATTGTTCCACAATCTATGTTGTCCGGGTTTGTGCTTTCCTGTTCGTTACTTTGATAGTCGAAGATTTCGCAAAAGTTTCCTTTATTTTCCATTTTTGAATAGTGTTTAATAAATACTTTTTCACATATCTTATATTTATTCCTCCAGTATGTTCAATTCCAAAACCCTTAGCCTTCTTGTTGGTGGATTGAGTCCGTCCATCTTCTTTTTCTATTCTAGGCGGGCAGAGAGCAAATGAGCCCTGCAACATCTAAATAAAAAACGTTCCCAACAAGACGACTATTTCGACAGTAGTGGTTGTTAAACCACTGTGATTTTACTCTTCTTGAGTTTTAAATCACAATCATGACAGCAAACCTAGTTTTCAGATGGGTTTACTGGCCGACCTTATTGTGATTTGACAAGGCCATAGTTTTGCACTATTGTGATTTGATCCTCTTTGAATTTTAAATCACAATTAAGTTTTAAAGTGAAGTAATCTTGACTGAGTCTTCTTCTTTCCTTTGATAATGTTGATATTCAATGTGAGTGATTAACATATAATCTTTGAAGTTGAGCAACCTTTCTTTTTGAGCCATGGACACAATTATGTTTTTGATAGCAATTTTCATTTCATATAAGCTTACTAGCCGACCTTATGTAGGCAATGAATAGACCTTAGTAAAACAGATCAAAATATGTTTGTGCTCTTTTCATTTGCCTTCAAGTTTTGATAGGCTCTCGTGTATAGGAATATTTTTTAACTAAAAAATTGAAAAACTAGTGCCATATTGTCGTTTCTTGGAAACATATACAGGGTGAGATGGAAAAACTGCAACCAACTTCAGACTGTTGTCATATCTAAGCCACTCGTCCGACAGCTGTTAAGATTATTAAAGTGACAGCTTATTATATTGTTTACAAGCGTACAAAAACATTTTGGTGAGAATTTTCCAGAAAAAAAGTTATTCGTGATGGAATCCAAGCGTGATATATTTATATTTGGCTGGAAAACCACAATTGACTATCGCTATAGCACTCCAGCATTTAAATGTGAATAAGTCTTTTGGGTCTCGTACCATCGCCCGTTACCGTGATACCGGTAGCTTAGCCCGACGTCATGGAAGTGGACGGAAGAACACAACAACACCAGCAGAAATGCAGCAGTTCGAAAAGTAAAGAAGCGACTTGATCGAAACCCGTATCGCAGTGGCCGAAAAATGGCTCGTGAGCTGAACTTATCGTAATATTCTATTCAGCAAATGTTGAAAAATGAGCTCGGGGTAAAGCCATTGAAATTCCAAAAAGTGCTAGAACTTACACCGCAACAGAAAGAAAATAGACTCAGCTGGAAATGTGCACCTTCGGTTGGCCAACAGACCTAAAGTGCCGGCCATGGTGAAGGTGTGGGCCGCCATAACAGGCGATGGTCGCTCTCCGCTCGTATTAATCTACCGTGGCATCAGAATAGATGCCGAAAACATTCTGGAGGGTGCATTAAAGCCTTGGGTGCACAAACATTTTGACCGCAGACCTTGGACATTCCAACAGAACTCAACACTATCGCACGCGCCACCCAAGAATGGTTACAAAATGAGGTTCCTCGCTTCTTTTCCAGCGTACAATGGCCACCAAAATGTCCGGATACCAGTCCGTTGGACTATTGTCTCTATAGTATTTTGGAAAGCAAGGTTGGCACTAAAAAATACCAAAGTGTCGATCACCTCAAGCAAGTGCAGGCAAAATAACACAGCAGAGCAACATTCGGGCAGCGTGTTGCGGTTTCATTGGCCGTTTGAAGGTCATATCCGTGCCAAAGGTGAGCAATTCGAACAATTCTAAACTTATTCTAAAATATAATGCTATTTTCGACATTTTTTGCTTTCATTTAATGATATTTAAAAAAAATGTAAAAATTATGGTATTTGACTTTGTTGCACTTTTTTATCTCACCCTGTAATTCCTATAAGCTTTGCCGCCGATAACAGTAACAGACCGACATCAGAGTTTGCAGTAAGTATATTGCCGACGTAAAAATCTGATAACGGCGTTAGTTTTTATGGCGGCACAAGAGTGATGCTGGATTGTATATTGTTTTTACTGAACTGAATTCACACGGTAAAAATACTCATTCATTTCGCATTTAGTGTGTAACGGCGTCAAAATGACGACCTAAAGCCGGCCAATTTCTTCCTCGAGTTGAAGGAACTTACTCCCACGGTTCATTTAATGAATGTGTCCAGGGGTTCGATTTCCTCATGTCTCATTCGTAAACAACATAGGTCCCTCGGGGATTTTGCTTTATCTTTCTTTTTTATCGGGCATTCCTTTTTGTTTTCTTATTTCTTTCGTTGGGGACGTCTTTCATTTTTGTTTTCCACGCGCAATAGTTTGCAATTTCATTTGCACGCAAATGAAAGAGGTTTTCCAAAACACATAAAGTCCGCAAAAAAGTTTGCCTAAAACATGTTGAAAGCAATTGGCCAATTACCAACGTATGAAAATGTCAAATGTGGTGAAATATTCTGTGTCTCCTCGCCGCCAGCCGTATTCAATGTTACTTGCATTCTGTGTGACCAAAAAATAAGCTTGGACAAGTATGCATTACACTTTGAGTCGCAGCACTTAACACTGGCCGAGGAGAGCTATAGCCTGCAAGATTTGGTAACCAATTCCCGGTCATGTGATGTGGTGGAAATTAAATTTGAAGAGGATCCACCTGATGACCCGATTAAAGAAGAATTATCCAAAGGAAATTTGGTTGAAGTGCCGGCACTTCAGAGTATTTGTGACCGTGAAGCTAGTGACAATGAAGAGTATCTAGATGAAGATAGATCATTGCTGGAAATTCTGCATGAAAGCAAAAAATCCCACGAACAAAAGGTTACAAAGAAACGGAGATGTGATAAATTACCAAAGCAGGAGGTTAATTCAAGTCTTGAGACATCAAGCCAACTGGTGGAGCTATCAATATCGTTGGCAGTAGATAATGCTAATAATGAGCTGGATATTTCGAAAAATTATAGTGATGATGATGGCAATGGAGATGATGATAACGATGATGATTGGCTGGAGAAACGGGACAAAAAGGCGAATACCAGGGTAAATATAGATTAAAAAGCTGTTTTCAAATTTATATAATGATATTTTGAAAATTTGTTTAGATAAAAATTGTAAAGGGTCCATATTTTCACTAGGGTTGTTGCTTATACAACTGCCGTATGGTATTTAATGAATGAGTAAAGGTAGCTCACATTGTAGGGCTCAATTTGTAGATGAGGAAAATCAATTGAGCGGAAAATTTTCAAAAAATTCGATAGATTGTTCCCAGACTTTGACGAAAAAACATGATTTTCTTAAAAATCTATTTTCATATTGTATTGAATTGAGGATTTAATAATAGTCTGTAGATCGAAATCCCGGACTGTTTTCAACGAAAAAACTTCAATGAAACGTTTTTGGTCAGAGTGTTTCCTCCCTTTTAATTAATTTGCTAATTTATTTACATTGTGCTACTAAGTTTTTCCACATTTGCTGAGTAAGATCTTGACAAATATGTTTTTCATTTTGTTCAAATTTATCTATCTTTTTCATTTTCAATATAATTTCAGTCGGAGGAAAGCTCTAACGACTCAGATATTGAACTTCCACATCCCTGTCTGATATGTCAGCGATCATATCGTAGCAAACAGAGTTTAGAAAAACACAACCGTCTGGTACATAATCCCAATGGAACAGCTGCTAAGAGAAAACGAAAAAGAAGTGGCAAAAAACCGGCGGATGAATATAAATGCAATGAATGTGATAAAGTTTTTCGTTCAGAACGTGAAATGGGTGCCCATAGATTTCAACACACTGGCATTTTTTGTGATATATGCGGCAAGACATTTACCCAAGTGGGAAATATGAGACGACATCGAATGCGTCATGATGGCATCAAAGCCCATAAATGCCGCGAATGTTCTAAAGATTTCTATACCAAAAAAGAACTACTATCGCATATGATTTGTCACACTGGTCTCATGCCGTGGATTTGTGAGATATGTGGAAAACGTTGTCGTGATCGTGGTGTCTTAACGGCCCACATGCGTCGACATACTGGCGAACGGCCAGCAAAATGTAATGTTTGCATGAAGAGTTTTTTCTCATTTCACGATTTGAATGTCCATGCCGTGGCTCATACCAACGAAAGGCCATTTAAATGTGACATATGCTCGGCTACATTTCAACGAAAGAAAGCTTTACGTATCCATAAAAGAATACACACAGAAGCGCGTAAACACATTTGCCAGATATGTGGGAAAGCATTTGCGCAAGCGGGTAGTTTAAAAACGCACATGATTAGACATGATACTGCCATGGAGAAAACTGAGAACGTCATTGCAAATAAAGAAATACAAGAATCTGCTGTAATTGTTGTTAAAAATGATGGTGCAAATGATGTGGCCACCATGTCCGCTGGTCTCTTAATTCAAGATACATAAAAGTTTTGTACAAATGTTAAATTTTGTAATAAATATTTAATTTTAGTTTTGTAATTTAAAATTAATATTTAATCTGGTTTATTTATATATATTCTAGAAGTTTGTATCCATTTGTTTTAAGAATTTATTATAAAAAGTTTCCTTGGAAAATAGTTACTTGTTTAGTATCAGATTTAAAGTTTAGGTTGGAAAGACTCCAAGAAACTGTTAGCTCATTCATATATCTTCTTCTTCGCTCACTCAGTATTTCCCTAATGCAATCTTCGGCGTTTGTGGAATTTGGGAAAATGGAAACTGATTTTTTTGTTTTCATTTGAATCAATTGTTTTCATGTTTTCATGAGTTGAAATATACATTTTGCCTTGCCGGGTATTTGCCTTGTCTCTGCTCTTTTTAATTTTCCGATTTCTAGTTGTGATGAAAATCAACACTTTCATTAATGAAGGACAGGACTACTTGGGATGACAATTCTCACAAGATATTCTATAGGAAGACTAAATTCCATGAGATATTCCGTCCATATCCATGCTATTATGTACACGATACTATATAGATCTGTTCAAAATCCAAATTAAAATTAATCCAATCTGTTTTTTTTCCAGACGAAAGCAAAGACCACCGAGCAGCGTTCTTGTGAAATCTGTCACCGCCAATATACATCGTTGAAAAACTACAACAAACACATGTACTATTCGCACAACATTAAATTATATTCCCGAAAAGTCAATTACAAATATCATTGTGATGGATGTGAGAAAGCCTTTAGGGCGCCGCGTGATTTAAGAGCACACACATTGAAATGTAATCATAATTTAAAATCAGACTACAATTATGGTGGAGAAGCGAAGCGAGAGGAGATAGAGGAGGATAATTTTAATACAACAGAGGAGTTTCAAAATTCAATCAACAACGAAGCAGTTGTGCAGGAAGGTGAAGAAAATCCATTGGAAATGTTAAACAAAAATCCTGAAAATAATAAACAGGAGGGGGAGGAGGAGGAGCAGTCAAAACCAAGAGCTAAGACGGTGAATATAATGAGAATGTTAAAAAGATAATTAGAAACAAAATTTTGTTTTAAACTCTCATCAATTTTTAGAAACTTTTTTTAAAGACCTCCGGGTGTTAATAACTTATTTTAGATCTTCAACAAATTTTCCCAAGAAAACTCCACAGGGTGAGATAAAAAACAAAGTCAAACGCCTTAATTTTTACATTTTTTTAAGTTATTGAATGAAAGCAAAAATGTCGGAAATAGCATCACATTTTAGCATTAAATTTTGATTTGTTCGAATTGGCCACCTTTGCCACGAATTATGGCCTTCAGACGGCCAATGAAACCTTCACACGCTGCCCGAATGTTGCTCTGCGGTATATTAGTCCATTTAGCCCGGCGAAACGCTTGCTTGAGGTGATCGACACTTTGGTATTTTTTAGTGTCAACCTTGCCTTCCAAAATACTCCAGACACTATAGTCCAACGGATTGGTATCCGGAGATTTTGGTGGCCACTGTGCGCTGGTAATACTACAGACACAATAGTCCAAAGGATTGGTATCTGGAGACTTTAGTGGCCATTGTGCGCTGGAAATGAAGCGAGGAACCTCATTTTGTAACCATTCTTGGGTGGCGCGTGCTGAGTGTTGCGATGGTGTGAGTCCTGTTGGAATATGTCCAAGGTCTGCGGCCAAAATATTTGCGTGCCCAGGGCTCCCTCCGGAATATTTTCCCGATAATATTCGGCATTTATTTTGATGCCACGGTCAATTAATACGAAGGGAGAGCGACCATCGGCTGTTATGGTGGCCCACACCATCACCATGGCCGGCGCTTGAGTTCTGGTGGCCAACCGAAGGTGCACATTTTCAGCTGACCTCCTGGGCAAGTAAAAACGATCATTTTGTTTGTTTACAAACTGCTGGACAACAAATGTTTTCTCATCGAAGAAACCCAAATTCGGCAGTTGACCACTTTCAGCCAAGCGAAGCAACTCTTTAGCTCTTTTGAGTTGTGGTGTAAGTTCTTGCACTTCCGAGCTCATTTTTCAATGTTTGCCGAATGGAATATTGGGATATGTTCAGCTCACGAGCCATTTTCCGGCTACTGCGAAGCGGGTTTCGATCAAGTCGCTTCTTTACTTTTCGAACAAATTTTCTCTGATGTTGTTGTTTTCTTCCGCCCACTTCCTTGACGTCGGGCTACGCTACCAGTATCACGCTAACGAGAGATGGTACGAGACACAAAAGCTTTATTCATATTTAAATGCTAGAGTACTCCAACGATAGCCACTTGTGGTTTTCCAGCCAAATATAAAGAAATCATGCCTGAATTCCATCACGAATAACTTTTTTTCCGGGAAAATTCTCACCAAAATACATTTGTACGCTTGTAAACAATATAATGAGCTGTCACTGTAATAATTTTAACAGCAGTCGCACGAGTGGCTTAGAAATAACAGCAGTCTGAAGTTGGTTGTAGTTTTTTTCATCTCACCCTCTCAACTACTACATTTTTCAATTTCTTCCCATCTTTTAGGGCAAACATACGCAACAACAACAGCAACAAAATGAATTATCCTGCCATATTTGCCACCGCAAATATACCACCATAAAACTACACAACAAACATATGTTTGCAGCGCATCAAATTAAAATCCTATCGCGAAAAGTCAACTACAAACATAAATGTGACGAATGTGATCAAGTGTTTCGAATCGAACGTGATCTAAGGGCACACAAGCTGAAACATCAAAAGGAATTGGAAAATGCATCATCGATCATAACAATGCTACCCAACAGTGAACACAAGGAGAGAAAAAGAGGCTTTAGGGCAGCTATGTCCACAACTGAAACAGTGCAAATGGAATTCATGGGAATGATGCCAATGCCAAAGGATGATGGTGTGGCAAACAAACAAGTTCATCACAACGACAATCAGTCTGCGGTGGAGGATAACGATGGAGCCGAAGAAGACACCGATTGGTTGGATGATAGTCTTGTGGAAAATGAACCGAATTTAGAAGTAAGATTTTAAATTGATTTTTATTATAGAATATATCCTTTTGAAACACATTTTCAATTCAATTTCCTTCCTTAGTAGCCCGATGTTTTTTCAAAACCAAACAATAAATTGAATATATATTTCACAGAACCTTCAAACACTCTTGCTTTGTTTTTAAAGTCATAGGTTCGCTTACTTTATTTCCCATAGTTTTTTTTTTGGTCACATTCCATCTTGTCTCTTCTCTTGCAGATAATTGATAGCAAGGAAGTACTAAGCTGTCGCATCTGCCGGCGCACCTTCAAAGCTCTAAAATTTCTCAACAAACACATGTCGTTGAGGCATAAAATCAAAGTCCTATCCCGCAAAGTGAACTACAAATACAAATGCGATGAATGCGAACAAATGTTTCGAACCCAGCGTGATCTCAAGGGCCACAAATTGCGAGAACATTTGGGCATATCCTGCGATATCTGTGGCAAAATGTTTGCACAGGCTGGCAATATGCGGCGACATCGTGTGCGCCACAGTGGCATTAAGGCATTCAAATGCAAAGAATGTCCCAAGGAATTTTATACCAGCAAAGAATTGAAATCCCATACCATTTGCCACACCGGAATATTACCTTATATCTGTGAGATATGTGGTCGCAGGTGTCGTGATGGTGGTGATCTGTCGGCCCACATGCGTCGCCATACAGGTGAAAGACCGGCGAAATGTGATGTTTGTGGTAAACGATTTTTCTCAGTGCACGATTTGAATACCCACTCTGTTATGCACACAACAGAGCGGCCATTTTCCTGTGAAATATGTGGCTCAAGATTTCAGCTAAAGAAAACCTTGAGGGTCCATAAACTCATACATTTGCCACCACAGTTTTCATGTAATATTTGTGACAAGACATTTGTCCAGTCGGGTCATCTAAGGATACACATGCGCCGACATGGTAATATTCAGGAAAAGACCAACAACAGCGAAGAATCGAAGAATGAATCGAACACGGAGGAATCGTATGTTCCAACGGTGTTTGAAGGTTCACCGGACAATGTCGTCAATGTTATGCCAAATGCCCAAGGAGTTTAGGTAATTCTAAGGAGGCGCATTGAATGTAAATAAAATGTAAATTGAATTTTTGATTTGAATAAACGAAGGCGAATTTTTATTTCGTAGCGTAAAGTAAGTGAATCTATGAAATCGGGCTACTAATAAAGGGAAGTTATTGAATTAATTGTAAAATTTTTTATGAAATAGTAATACACCTAAGTCTGTTTTTACACGGTCTTTTTGTACACGGTTTTGATATAACACGGTTTGAAAATTGAATATTTTTAATTTATTTACACGATTTTATTCCATTTAGCACGATTTGAAATGTTATGTACTTAAATTTTTAAATTTAAATTTAATTTTAACGCATTAAGATAAAAGGTAAGCCAAAAAATATTTTGTATTTATTCAGTTATTTATGTTTTTTAATTTTGTTAAATATTTTATGTATCCCTAAAAGGAAATGTCAGATAAAAAACTAAAAGAGAAGGCAATTTCTTTGGAAACCAAGATTAAAATTTTAGATTGCCTTCGAAATGGAGAAGGCTCAACTGCTCTTGGTAAAACGTTCGCTTTAAATGAAGCCACAATAAGAACTATAAAAAAATGAAATTGCAATTAAGCAATCGGTGATTTCATGAATTCTTGTTCTTATAAATTCTTGTTTTTCACTAATTTTAATAGGTTTTAGAGATTAGGAATAAATCACCCATTTCTGTATAAGACCAATGTCTTTTTTACACGTTTTTTTTTTACACGGCTTCTTCTGGAACCAATCTACCGTGTAAAAACAGACTTAGGTGTAATTATATTATAGTAGAATATTATTTCTGTGTACATTTTGAAACAAGAAAAAGAAATCAGACCATAAATATGATTTCATTGTTAGGGTGGAAATACATAAAGCGCATATTTGGCCAAGTAAAAAATTAAAAGTACTAAACCTAACCTCAATGTTAAAAACAAAGCATTTTTCAAAATTTCTTTGAACTAAAAATGAATTTGAAGCAAAAAGCCTTAAAGGTGGGAATAGATAAAGCGCTTATCTGGCTGGCTTAAGTCATCGTCTGGCTTCTTCGGAAACAAAGGAGCCTAGGGCCAAAATCGAACTGAGTCAACCTAAAACTCCTTTGTTCATCCACGAAGAAGCCAGCCAAATATGCGTTTTTTGTATTTCCACCCTTCAAATTCATTTTTTTTTCAAAGAAATTTGCTTTTGTTTTTAACATTGAGGTTAGGTTTTGTACTTTACATTTTTTTAATTATTCCATTCTCTAACTTATTTTTTTTATATAAAAGTGAAGTTAAAGTTGATAACATTGGTATCTATGGGTAGGTCTTACCGAGTACTTTGATTTCGTGGCTAACTTACCGACAAATTTTGTAAATTACCAAAAGTACAGGGTGAGATCAAAAAACTGTAACCAACTTCAGACTGCTGTCATTTCTAAGCCATTCGTCCGACAGCTGTTAAAGTTATTCCGGTGACAGCTCATTATATTGTTTACAAGCGCATAAAAGCAGCATTTTGGTGAGAATTTTCCAGAAAAAAAGTTATTCGTGATGGAATTCAAGCGTGTGATGGTGTGATTTCTTTATATTTGGCTGGAAAACCAAAAGTGGCTATCGTTAGAGCACTCCAGCATTTAAATGTGAATAAATTTTTGTGTCTCGTACCATCGCTCGTTACCGTGATACCCGATGTCAAGGAAGTGGACGGAAGAAAACAGCAACATCAGCAGAAATGCAGCGGTTCGAAAAGTAAAGAAGCGACTTGATCAAAGCCCGCGTCGCTGTGGCCGAAAAATGGCTCGTGAGCTGGACATATCGCAATATTCCATTCGACAAATATTGAAAAATAAGCACGGGGTAAAGCCATTGAAATTTTAAAAAGTGCAAGAACTTACACCACAACAGAAAGAAAATGGGCTCAAAAGAGCTAAAGAGTTGCTTTGCTTGGCCGAAAGTGGTGAACTGCCGAATTTGGTTTTCTCCGATGAGAAAAACATTCGTTGTTCAGCAGTTTGTAGTCAAACAAAATGATCGTTTTTACTTGCCAAAAAGGTCAGCTGGTAATGTACACCTTCGGTTGGCCATCAGAACTTAAACGCCGGCCATGGCGATGGTGTGGGCCCCGCCATAACAGCCGATGGTCGCTCTCCGCTCGTATTAATCGACCGTGGCATCAGAATAAATGCCGAATATTATCGCGAAAATATTCTGGAGGGTTTATTAAAGCCTTGGGCACACAAACATTTTGGCCGCAGACCTTGGACATTCCAACAGGACTCAGCACCATTGCACTCAGCACGCGCCACACAAGAATGGTTACAAAATGAGGTTCCTCGCTTCATTTCCAGCGCACAATGACCACCAAAATCTCCGGATACCAATCCGTTGGACTATTTTGCCTGGAGTATTTTGGAAAGCAAGGTTGGCACTAAAATATACCAAAGTGTCGATCACCTCAAGCAAGCGCTTAGCCGGGAATGGGCCAAAATACCGCAGAACAACATTCGGGCAGCGTGTGACGGTTTTACTGGACGTTTGAAGGCCATAATTCGTGCCAAAGGTGACCAATTCGAACAAATCTAAATTTATTCTAAAATTTGATGCTATTTCCGACATTTTTAGACTTTGTTGCAGTATTTTTTATCTCACCCTGTATTAATATGATTTCAATATAAAGGCTTTTTGCTTCATATTTATTTTTTTCCCACTAAATTTTTAAAAAATGCTTTGTTTTTTTTTGTAATTGAGGTTAGGTTATGTATTTATTATCCCTAGGGATTTGAAGGACTATTGAAAGATTTTAATGCAATGTTTAGATGTGAACATGATTTTTTTGATTAGTATGTAATCCTTTTTTGTGTTAAAAATAATTCTTCATAACCTAACTTTTTCATTACAATTTTCCAATTATTATTTTTTTTATTGAATTACATTTGATGTAGGGATTTGAAAGACTATTGAAAGATTTTAATGCAATTTTTAGATGGGAATATGATTTTTTGATTAGTATGTGATCATTGTTTTGTGTTAAAAAATAATTCTTCATAACCTAACTTTTTCTTCACAAATTTTCCAATTTTTATTTTTTTTATTGAATTTCTTTGCAGTCGAACACCAAGAAGGTCAATTTACCATGCCCCTTATGTGCAGAAACGTTTTCGTCCACTGAATTACTGTGTAGTCATGTCACCGCAATGCACAACATCAAAATGTACAAGAGAAAGTTGAGTTATAAACATCAGTGTGTGGAATGCAAGGAAAAATTCCGTAATGAACGTGATCTCAAGGCCCACAATTTGAAAAAACATACCGGCATTGTATGTGATATCTGCGGTCAAAAATTTTCTCAGATGGGCAATATGCGACGTCATCGGATACGTCACACCGGTATTAAGGAGCATAAATGTGAGGAATGTCCAAAGGAGTTTTTCACCGCCAAAGAGTTGAAAGCTCACATGATATCGCATACACGCATCTATCCACACGTGTGTGAGATATGCGGAAAACGATGTAGGGATGGTGGAGTACGTTCGGCTCACATGCGACGTCACACGGGCGAGAGACCAGCCAAATGTCCAGTGTGTGGCAAATGCTTCTTTTCCATACATGATTTGAATATTCACTCCGTTACACATTCCGACGAACGACCATTCTCATGTGATATATGTGATGCAAGATTTCGTCTACGCAAAGCGTTGCGTATACACAAGCGCACCCATTTGCCAGCGGAAGAGAGGAAACATGTTTGCAGTATATGCGGCAAGACATTTACGCAAGCGGGAAATTTGAAAAAGCATATGCTTATACATGGTGCTGGTACCAGTTGAAATTCTGTCGGCAGAAGTGTATCTCTTCATGGATATTAAATGTGAACGTAATGTAAGCAAGTACGAGTAACATTGTTTTTTTCTCAAGGGAATTATTTTAAATAGATTGTGGGGAGTTTTAATCTCCCCTACCTTATGGTGGCAAAAGTGGGAATTGCCCAGACTATTTTAGAAACAAGAATTCCACTAGCCACAAGCATTTATAAAGAAAATCGTTTTGTTATGCTTTAAAAAAAAATAAAGATAAGCAACTTATAATTTATAAGCTAAACTACATCATTTAAATCTATGTCAACATTATCAAATGGTGATTTTAATATCCACAGATCCAGTCTCTTGATTAACTATCATAAGTTTCTCATTGGGAAATTCCTCTCCTGATCCTCCGGTTTGTTTTTTGGCATGTATACGCCGATGAACACGTAATGCTTTCTTTGTACCAAACCTTGAAGTACATATTTCACACGGATATGGTCGTTCATTCGAATGACCCACGGCATGTATACTCAAATCATATGCCGAAAAGAAACATTTACCACATACGCTACATTTAGCTGGCCTCTCGCCGGTATGGCGACGCATATGGGCTGTCAAAACACCACGATCTCTGCAACGCTTGCCACACAATTCACAAACAAACGGCATGCCAACATGACTTATCATATGAGATTTTAGTTCCTTGTCCGTAAAGAACTCCCTGGGACATTTGTCGCATTTGTGTTGCTTAATGCCCGTGTGGCGTATTTTGTGCTGCAGCATAGTTCCAATTTGACGAAAGGGTTTTTGACATATATCACAAAATATTCCCGTATGTTTATATTTATGATTTCTTAACATAGCCTCTGTTCGAAAAACCTCTTCACATTCTTCACATTTGTATTGCAGTTTGGTGGCTGCTTTACGTTTTGCTTTATTCGGATTGTGGGCACTATGCTTGTGCTTTTGCAAAGAACGTTTTATGGCATAAGAACGGGGACATAGCTGGCATTTAAAGGGGAGATCTTTCAGAGGCTCACCTTTCGTATCACCATCCTAAAGAGAAGAAGAAATACGTTATTAAAGTAAATTTTTAAAATTATAATTACCTACATTATTGTCATGAACATCCGTCTCATCTGGCCATTCATAGTCATCGTCGTCGTCTTCCTGGGAATTATCATTGTTTGTAAAAACTTTTGTTTCTCCCTGTCCATCTTCATGTTTGGAATCCAAATCTTTTTGATTTCTAACAGCTTTGCTTCTATTAATAATATACTGTAAAGGTTTATCATCATTATCATCTTCGTTACTTAAATTGCCGCAAGTCTCATTTTTTCCATCGCCTGATAAAGGATCCACAGGATTTACGGGCTCAGCAAAGAATTCTTCGTGTAAAATAATTTTTTCATCTTCATTCAAAATTCCGGCCTCTTTTTTAATTATAATCGGGCCTTGACCTATATTATTCACCTCTTTCTTGGGTAAGTGCAAGCTCTGAAAATGCTCCGAGAATTCCTCGAAAGATATGCTGTCATCACAAATGACGCAGGAAATACTTAACCCAAATTCGGGAATGGTTCGATAATAAACTTCTCCACATTTATTATTACATGATTTAACCATTATTTATTGTTATTTTTGTTTTTTAATTAATTTAATTTTTTCCTTGGGTGAGAAATAAGCAAGGGAGAAAAGACGACGGCGTCAATGAATAAAATTTGCGGCATGGGTTTTTGCAATTTATTGAGCTCTTTATGCACTTGATGGTGTATATTGAATAGGATTTTATTAAACATTAATTTGTTAACATTAAATTAACATACATTTTTAATAATAATTTATTTGTTTATAGTCATTTATTTATTTTTTGATGTGCGAGAAATGTCATTAAGCAAATAGATTCAAACGGCATTGCTTTAAAATAAAGATGCTAACGGCGTTGCTTTAAAATATTAGACAGCTTGGGAATTCGTATTATTTCAAACCATGGTACAATAAGGAGGTGGAACAGCTTCGTGAAACTACAGAAATACAGCCCTGAAGCTATATCCGCTTCCTGTCAGAATTATTTAAAATTATAGGCAAAATGTTGTTTTCAATTATTTGATATTTTTTGTTCATTTTTAAAATGAGTCAAAAAGCGCGAAAGATGAATGACCTGTCTTTTCATTATTTTAATTGAAAATTATCAAAAAAAATTATAAGAATCTTTATTCTTACATTTTACTGAAAGATTTATTTGGAATATCCATTTGGAACTTCTCAATCTCAAATTTTGCAAAAACTCATACTCTCCCTTTTTGTTTTGCAGAAAAGGATGTTACATCCCAAATCTATTGCTAAATTTCAAACTTACGATAATGCTAAATGTGGCGAATTTATTAGTATCTCCTCGAGAGCCAACATTTAACACTGTTCGAAAAAAGTAATTAGCTGGGTGAACTTGTGAGCCGGTGTCAACATCAATTAATAATTTAAATGTTAAAATTGAGGAATATCCTCCCGATGACCCCATTCAGGAGTAGAGTTTTGAAGAGTGTATAGATGAGATTCAAATAGAACATAATGATTTAAGTATGTGCACTCATCATGATGATTATTATGATTTGAATAATAACTCTTTTTTGATAGTTCTTCATAAAAAGATAGGTAGAAGAATCAAAAAAATTGGAGAAAAATTTGAAAAAGACAAAGAACAAGAAAATGTCCCCTATGAAAATAATCCAATGTCATCTTTTGAAAAGGCCGAAGGTGAAGATGATTTGGATGAAAATAAATCGTTGTTAGAAATTTTTGTAAAACTGCAAGGAAGCAAAAGTCCGCGAAAAATCAAAATTTTAGCTCGAAGCCAAAACTGTCTGCAGACAATGTCAGCAGAACCTCCAAATATAATTGAAAAACATGATATCCACATGAAACGACCAAAAAACTTTAAACTAACAATCATTTTTGAAACTAGAAACGAAGACGACATTGCGAATGACCAATGGACAGTGTAAGTGGAAATGTATACCTGCTTTTAATATTAATTATTTCAATAATTTGTTTATAACACTGATTAGTATCAGCAGTACCTCCTCTATCCTCTTAGATGGAGAATAGCACTGGTGCTGGAGTCTATTGGGATTATCCTTCCTTTAAGAACTTGTATAAAGCTAACAGCACCATCGCACTTTCAGGCAGATATTATGTCAATCAGGAAAGCAGCTGGGGTAGTTAATCATCTTGACAAGACTGGTGACTTTGGTATTTGTCTACTTATTAAGCGGCGACGCAATAAAAACTCTATTAAAGCGATGTGGATTTCAAAAATTATTATCAAGAGCTAGAAGACCTTGATTTTTTAAATATTTTTAAAGAACAAATCTAGGAAATTGGAAATTTTGTATAGACATTTATATTTTACGAAGGATGAATGGGATCGATAAGGGAAAGAAAGGAAACACGTGATGTAATATGAAAAGGTGATACAGCCGTGGAAAAAATTATCTTAGCGGAAAAACTACAGTTACATGAAATTTCATCTGAAATAAATGTAGATTTTATAAAATAAAAGAAGTTCATTAAATATACATTTTTGGAGCAAATATTTTGTAAAAAAAATAAATGTTTTTATTTTTTATTTAATTTATTTTGTATTTACACTTATATATGCTTAAGAACGATCTTTTAAATGGCCAAATGGTGCCTCACTGTTAGTCTTAAAATAGAAAATGCCATTGACACGCTTCACCTGCATGGGATCACCGATTTGGGCACTGCTATCGACAACATTACAACCGTCCTTGTCCAAAATATTATCATAGCTTTCACATTTATAGACGGGAGCAAACGAATATCCCCTAATGGCCTCGGCATAATAACTCACACAACGACCATGGGAACAGCTGCCATCCAAATCAGTGCCACACCCAGGTTGTAGACGACCCCAATTGGGATAGAATGAAGCTGTGCCAATGGGTTTAAGGAAACCTTTCACATTGCCATTCGTCTGTATGGTTTGTACATATTTGGCATCAGTTGAAGCCAAACGCGTGGCAGGTTTATCGTAGCTATACAGTGGAAATGCAGGATCTAAACCAACAATGGCTTCCAATTTACCACGTTTGACATTTTTGCCAGTATAGCCGGCCACATGGGCACCCAAACTATGACCAATCACCACTAAATTACCAAAGCTCATGGCAAATTTCTCATTTAAAAAATCAATAAATTCGGCTACATCCTCACCCACCAACGGAACCTTGGCCCGGGCAGAAATATAATTCAATTTTGCATATTCATTCCAATCAACGGATATGATATTATAATTATCCTTGGTTAAGTAGGCTTCACGTATGGGCTTATTGGGGCTGGAGGTATACGAACCACCCCAGCCGTGAATAATAATTCTGAAGAGGAGAGGGAAAATTAAACTATTTTCAATTTAATCTTTTTAATTTTTAGCTCACCTTGTGGGCCTGGTTTTCTCAAAATTGGATTTTTTCACCGAATCTTCATTATTTATGAACAGTTGCTGACCCGTGCTGGGATTATTTTGAGTGTAAAGATAAAACTTGACGTTACCAGTTGCGCGATTTTCAATCAAATCGACACTGCTGCTGCGCAGGGGGGAACAACTTACAGCAACTAAATAGACAAGGTGCATTAAATTTTTTTTCTTCTAATATTTCCAATTTTCATATTTACCCAAGCTAGCAAGCAGACAAAATACTCCCAACGTCAATGTCCTCATCTTTAGAAATTTTCTCAAAGACTAATCGCAAAGTGTAGATTGGAATGTGTTTTAAATAAAATATATTTAAAATACTTGGCGATTAGATAGTTATGAAGAACAAATGGACATATGTATCGATCAAAACTTACCTCTTGTCCATTTGATAGACAATTCAGATAAGATTAAATTAACATAAATCAAAAAGAAAAATGTATTTTTCATTTCATTGGCATTTTGAAGAGGTTACTAATCTTGAAAAAGAAGAAGATGTGGTAAAATGATGGAAATGAATGCCATAATTTTTAGGGAGGAATTAAAAATTCCAAAGATAGATTCAGATTATGAAAATTTTCATCATTCCGATAGTGATGAGTAGGGTGAAAATAAATCACTGCGGCATATTTTCAAAGATACAAAGAAGAATCTTAACAAAAGGCTTCAGCGAGGACAGAGTGAAATAAAACCTAGTGAAACTCTAAAGGAGTTTAAAATGAAAATCATGAAAGAATAAAGAACTCGGAAACTAGCAACGACGACGACATCGCCAAGTGCCAATGGACGGAGGAGATGCAAGTGTAAGTAGAAATGTATGTTTGCTTTTAATTCAGTTTGTTTCAACAATTGTTTTATAAAAACAGTAGAAGACTATAAGATGGAGAAAGACACTGGTGTGGGAGTCTACTGCGAATATCCAACCATTAAGAACTCGTATATGCTTAATAACAACAGCCTATTCAAGGCAGAAATTCTGACAATCAGGAAGGCAGTTGAGGTAGTTAAAAATTACCTTTCCGCAGCTGAGTGCTATCCAACTGGGCAAAAAAGCACACAACAATGCCATTTCTTAATAGAGCACTCACTTTGAGAACAACATTCAATGACTTGGAAAACGTTGATCATAGACCGAACTAAAGATGTTTGACTGTCAAACAAAATTCGTGAGCTGTTTAAACCAGTTTTTGTCAAAAAGATGATAGCTTAAAAATTACACTTTTCATTGTTTTTAAATAAATATTGTCGTAAACGCTTAAGTATTTAATTCAACGCTTATTCTGTTATCATTTCATTTATTTAGTTTTTGCATTTTTATTTATTCCCAAAAACGATATTTTACAGTTGTCCAAATGGCGCCGCACTATTCGTCTTAAAATAGAAAATGCCATTAACACGCTTAACCTGCATTGGATCTCCGATTTGGGCACTGCTATCGACAACATTACAACCGGTCTTATCCAAAATATTATCATAGCTTTGACATTTATAGACGGGAGCAAAAGAATAACCCTTAATGGCCTCGGCATAATAGCTGACACAACGACCGTGGGAGCAGACACCATCCAAATCAGTGCCGCAGCCAGGTTGCACACGACCCCAGTTGGGATAGAATGAAGCTGTGCCAATGGGTTTAAGGAAACCCTTTACGTTGCCGTTCGTCTGTATGGTCTGCACATATTTGGCATCAGTTGAAGCCAAACGTGTGGTCGGGCTATCGTAGCTGTACAGGGGATAGGCAGGATCTAAGCCAACAATGGCTTCCAATTTACCACGTTTCACGTTTTTGCCAGCATAGCCGGCCACATGGGCACCCAAACTATGGCCAATCACCACCAAATTACCAAAGCTCATGGCAAATTTTGCATTTAGAAAATCAATAAATTCGGCCACATCCTCGCCCACCAACGGAACCTTGGCCCGGGCGGAAACATAATTTAATTTTGCATATTCATTCCAATCAACGGATATGATATTATAATTATCCTTGGATAGATAGGCTTCACGTATGGGCTTATTGGGAGTGGAGGTATAGGAACCACCCCAGCCGTGAATAATAATTCTGGAGAGGAGAGGGAAAAATAAATCAAGTAATTTACAATTTCTAACTTGAACTCACCTTGTGGCTCGGGACTTATCGAAATTGGATTTTTTCACCGAATCTTCATTATTTATGAAAAGTTGCTGGCCCGTACTGGGATTACTTTTGGTGTAAAGATAAAACTTGACATTGCCAGTGGCACGATTTTCAATTAAATCCTCACTGCTGCTGCGCAGGGGGGAACAACTCACAGCAACTTAAGGGAAAAGGAAACAAGGTACTTTAGCTTTCCTTTTTGTTGATTTGGATTTCAAAATGTTTTTCTATTTACCCAGGCCAGCGAGCAGGCAAAATATTCCCAACGTCAATGTTCTCATCTTTGGAAACTTTTACGAAAGACTAATCGCAAAATGTAGGCTGGAAAGTGTTTTAAATATATAATGCACATTTGAAAAAAAAAACTTGACGATTAGATAGTTTGGTAGAAGAAATGGACACATGTATCGATCAAAACTTAGCTCTTGTTTTTTTTTTTAAAAAGAAAGACAATTCAGATTAGATTAACTTAATTTAATCAAAAAAATAATATGTATTTTTCTTTAATTGTCATTTTGAAGAGGGTCCCACCCCTAAATGGATGGATTATTCTTGGCGAATTTGCGATAAATTTAGAAAAAAGCATGTCATCTATCTTTTCATCAAGTATTCCTTGTCTAAAAATTTCCATGGCACTTCAAAAGTGTATTTTTAAGAAAAAAAAAAAAAACACATTTTTTATGTTCCGCCCAAGGCATGGATATTTTAAAAATATGTTTACAAGAAGTCGAACATGGATTTTATTACATTTTATTAAATAAGAAAGAAAAATTACAAAAAATATATACAGGGTGAGATGAAAAAACTGCAACCAACTTCAGACTGCTGTCATTTCTAGGCTACTCGTACGACGGCTGTTAAAATTATTCCAGTGACAGCTCATTATATTGTTTACAAGCCTCCAAAAGCATTTTGGTGAGATAGTGTGATTTCTTTATATTTGACTGGAAAACCACAAGTGGCTATCGTTAGAGCACCCCAGCATTTAAATTTGAATAAATCTTTTGTGTCTCGTACCATCGCTCTTTACGGTGATACTGGTAGCGTAGCCCGACGAAGTCAAGGAAGTTGACGGATGGAAACAGCAACATTAGCACAAATGGTTCGAAAAGTAAAGAAGCGACTTGATCGAAACCCGCGTCGCAGTGGCCGAAAAATGGCTCTTGAGCTGAACATATCGCAATATTCCATTCGGCAAATATTGAAAAATGAGCTCGTGGTGGTGAAGCCATTGAAATTCCAAAAAGTGCAAGAACTTACACCGCAACTGAAAGAAAATATGCCAAATAAGAAAAGAAATGCCAAATATTATAGCGAAAATATTCTGAGGGTGTATTAAAGCTTTGGACACGCAGACTCAGCACCATCGCACTCAGCACGCGCCACCCCATGGTACAATAAGGAGCTTCGTAAAACTACAGAAAAACAGCCCTAAGGCTATGCCCGCTTCCTGTCAAAATTATAGGCAACAAGTTGTTTTCATTGATTTGATATTTTTGGCCATTTCTAAAATGAGACAATTAGCGCGAAGGATGAATAAAATGCCTGGATCTTCTCTCAAAAATATGATCCTAAGTGTTCAATCTTTCAATTCAATGGCAAATCTCGTTAATATTATTAATGCGTGCCCCGCTATTTAATTTTCTTCCAATTATTGGTTTTGAAAATATTTTGTTTTTATTTTTCAAAACAACAAATACATACACAAAATTGGCAGAAGTCGGGCACACATGGAAAAAATTTGTAGTCAGCTGGGAGCTCTACCTTACCTTTTTATCGTACCATGTTCCAATCATTGATTTTGAAAATATTTTGTTTTTATTTTTCAAAACAACAAATACAAACACAAAATTGGCAGAAGTCGGGCACACTCACTCAGGGAGCTCTAACTTACCTTTTTATTGTACCATGTCGCCACCCAAGAATGGTAACATGGTTAAATGACGTTAAATGAGGCTCCTCGCTTCATTTCCTGCGCACAATGACCACCAAAGTCTCCGGATACCAAGGCAAGGTTGGCACTAAAAAATACCAAAGTGTCGATCGCCTCAAGCAAGCGCTTCGCCAGGAATGGGCCAAAATACTGCAGAGCAACATTCGGGCAGCGTGTGACGGTTTCATTGGCCGTTTGAAGGCCATAATTCGTGCCAAAGGTGACCAATTCGAAGAAATCTAAACTTGATGCTAAAATTTGATGCTATTTCCGACATTTTTTGCTTTCATTCAATAAAATTAAAAAAAAAAAATGTTTTAAAATGATGGCGTTTGACTTTGTTGCAGTTTTTTTATTTCACCCTGTACATGGATTTTTAAAGAATATTATCTTAAGGACCACAAGTGGAATAATTGTGGATTTATAAAAATTATGTCTCAAGAACCAAAGTATTTTCTTTCAGAGACAACAAGAAGAATAAGCGTGGACTTTTAAAGAATATTTTCTTCTCCTGGTCACTCCAAGGTCAAATTGGTTAGGGTCTACTGTGGGAAAATAGTCAAGGCTATTTTTGAAAAGAGCATCGAAAATACTTCTAGACTACTTATTTTGACAAAGCAACCCCATCGGAATAACTCACAGTGGCCAGATTTAAATTTTGCATTTTTAAAAATTTAGAATAAGGTAAGAATTGGATTGGGCCCACTATGGGAAAATGACCATGACTACAACTTTGTGGTGGCCATATTTGAAAAGAGCAGCGAAAATACTTCCAGACTACTTATTTTGACATATCAACCCCATCAGGATAACTCACAGTGGCCTGATTTTAATTTTGCATATTTACTCCAAGGTAAAAATTGGATTGGGCCCACTATGGAAATATGACCAAGACTACAACTTTGTGATGCTCATTTTTGGAAAGAGCATCGAAAATGCTTCTAGACTACTTATTTTGACAAAGCAATCCCAAAGGAATATCTCATAATGGCCAGATTTAAATTTCGCAAGGTCATTCCATTATAAATTTTCCTAGGTTCTTGCTCATGCCCCAAAATGGATTTATAAAGGTATTTTTTTTAACCCCAAAAGAGGAGATTTAAAAACAAATATATTTTTTACAATGGTCATCTGAGGGGGAACATTTTAAAAAAATATTTTTTCGATGTCCATCAGAAAAAAATGTATTAAAAAAAGTATTGATATTTTCATTGCATTTATTGTAACATAAATATTTTATTTTTTGTATATGCATGTTTTGTTTAAACATATTTTTGTCATTTGGCAATTGTTTTTTTTTTCTTTACCACAATAAGTACATACATTTATAAGTATTTGTTGTAGGTTTCTAGTAAAAATAATAAAAAATAGAATAAATGGTAATTTTTACAAATTATGATATGGACGTTTATAAAAAATCACAATTGTTTGGTAATAAAATAATAACAAATATTTCAATATTCAATAAATTAAATAAACAAAATTGATGTAATAGAGGGAATGCATAAAAAATAGATATCAAATGTAAACTTGATTTTTATTTTTTAAATTAATAAAATTAGTAATTTTCCAAAAATTAAAAATAAATTTGGAAAATTTTTTCTAATGTCTTAATTTTTTTTTTGTTGTTAAAAGATAGATGAAATAATAATTTACAATGGTTTTTTTTTCAATATCATATAGCTTATCAAGTCTAAAGTCTAGAGGATAAATGTGGGATAGTAGCATGTTCAGACATGGTCTAGGAAAAATTTAAGAAAACAAATACAGTTTTGAGGCCAGACATAGAAAAATTTCTCTCAGATCTTTCGAATGGGAATAGCTTTTTAGTCGCACCTTTTAAAGTAGATCAAAAAAGTAGATTCCTGTCATGAAAGTCTTCCATGCGTTGGACTTCAAACTTCAAGCAGGCTCTCAGATCTTTCCAATGGGAATAGCTCTTTCGTCGCACCTTTTAAAGTAGATCAAAAAAGTGGATTCCTTTCATGAAAGTCTTCCATGTATTGGACTTCAAAACCGCTTAACTTATCAGCATACAATGGAAATGGAATAAAAATATTTTTTCCTTGCTGGACCATGCCAAAGTTTTAAGTACAGTAGTATTACACTAAGTGAGATAATATATTTTATTTTTTTGTGAATTGATATATTTTTTTTTCATAGATTATCTTCTGTTTGCGATTTTATTCTTCAAAAATTCCTGTATTTTATTTCGTTTTATTTGCATTTTGCTTTTTTTATTTATCCATATTTTCAAGTCCTTTATAGGTAGTTTGAGTTATTTATTGCTTGATTCTTGAATGAATTCATTTGAGCTTATTGGGAAGACTTCAAATTGCAATAACAAATGCAGTTGGAGAAAAATTGTACGTGTACATGTAGTATGTGATGCTTGGATGTTATTATTTATCTGAAATGCAAAATAATGAAATAAATTTAAAATTCTTGAAAATGAAATTCAAACGAATAGTTGTCGAGAATATGTCTTTATCGGATTTAAATCCACTTAGGATTAAATTGCTAATAGTTCTTGAGAAAAAATATTTAAAAAATCATCGAAATGCCGTGTATCGGGAGGTACCGTTATATGGGAGCTTTCCCAAAACATGGACTTATACATACAATGTTTTTAACCGGAACTAGACAATTTTTTAGACAAATCCGTGGAAAAATGTGGCAAAAATCATCGAAATGCCGAATATCGTCAGGTACCGTTATATGGGGGCTATACCAAAACGTGGGCCAATACACACAATGTTTCGCCACCGGAGCTAGAACCCATCATGGCCAACAAATTTTAATTTTTAAACAAATCCGTGGAAAAATGTGGCAAAAATCATCGAAATGCCGAATATCGTCAGGTACCGTTATATGGGGGCTATACCAAAACGTGGGCCAATATACATAATGTTTCGCCACCGGAGCTAGAACCCATCATGACCAACAAATTCCAATTTTTAAACAAATCCATGGAAAAATGTTGCAAAAATCATGAAAATACCGAATATCGAGAGGTACCCTTGTATGGTGGCTATACCAAACGTCGACCTATACATGCAATGTTTCGCCACACGATCTGGAGCCCCAATTTCCGGACAAATCCGTGAAAAACTGTGGCAAAAATCATCAAACATCCTAGACACGATACAAATTGTTCTGCGAAATGTTGACGCTCTACGTCAAATAATGTGGGCTGTATCGTGATTTCAACAGACAGACGGACATCGCTAAATCGACTTAGAATTTTATGCTGATTATGGGGTCTACGATGAATATTTAGGGTAAAGTTAATATACCCTCCTTTCCAAGGTTTTCTTTCAGAGACAACAAGAAGAATATGCGTGGATTTTTACAGAATATTTTCTTCACCTGGTCACTCCAAAGTCAAATTGGTTAGGGTCCACTGTGGGAAAATAGTCAAGGCTACAACTTGGTGGTGTCCATATTTCAAAAGAGCATCGAAAATGTTTCTAGACTACTTTTTTAAAAAGGCAACCTCATCGGGATATCTCACAGTGGCCTGATTTAAATTTCGCATGGTCACTCCAAGGTAAGAATTAGATTGGGCCCACTATGGGAAAATGACCAAGACTACAACTTTGCGGTGTCCATATTTGAGGAGAGCATCGAAAATGCTTCTAGACTACTTATTTTGACAAAGCAACCCCATCGGTATAACTCACAGTGGCCAGATTAGAAGATAAGAATTGGATTGAACCCACTATGAAAGAATGACCAAGGCTACGGCTTTGGGGTGTCCATATTTGAAAAAAAACAGCGAAAAATGCTTCTAGACCACTTATTTTGACAAAGCAAATCGGGAAATTCTTTGTGTTGCTCATTTTTGGAAAGAGCATCGAAAAGGCAAATCGGAAAATTCTTTGTGGTGCTCATTTTTGGAAAGAGCATCGAAAATGCTTCTATACCACTTTTTTTGACAAAGCTACCCCATCAGGATATCTCATTGTGGCCAGATTTAAATTTCGCATGGTAACTCCAAGGTAAAAATTGGATTGGACCCACTATGGGAAAATGACCAAGACTACAGCAATTGTTTTGCTCAATATTTTTTCATTTTTTTTTCGAATATTCCAAAGCACATCCTCAAGAGTCTTAAATTGTTTAAAAGTAATTATTTTCATTATGTTTACATTTCAGTTTCTATTGCAAGATTAGAATGTGATTTATTATTATTATTATTTTTTTAGAATTATTAAATGCAAATAATCGTTATATTTCGGAGGTAATCAATAATTCAGAAAAAATAATTGTTTACATTCAAATAATATGAAAGATGAACCTCAATTATATGGGTACAAATGTATGGTATCCTATTCTCATTTTTTTTTTTTTTTGAATATATTCAATAAGAAAAGAATTTCTAAAAGGCTTTGGTGTAGAAATTGAAATGAATATGGTGTTGTTTAAATCTACGAAAACTATTAAAGGGAAATAGAACTTAATCCAATCTGATTTGCAAAAACTTGCCATACCAAATATTATCGATGTGAGATGCCATATAATCATATCGATTTATGTATTAAAGTGTATGTATACGCTACATCTAAAACGTTTCTTAATCAGAAGTTTTTTTTTGGAAATAAAGAGTCATGCGATGTCGGAGGCATGTTTTTGAATTTGGGGATATCAGCTATTTATTTATAATTCATATATTGTTATGCGAGAAGTCTTTCAGACCAAAATTGTGTGGTCTATCTGATGGCTTTACTAATTTAAATGCAATTTTTCTGAGCCATTTCTAAGAACGGAATAAACATCCAGCGTTACTTCTACACACTCATTGACGTGTCATACTCAATCTCTTCAATATAGAATGCCTAGTGCGGTAAAAATATGCATCTAGATGATGGGTTTATATTCGAGTTATAACTAAATCTGTAACGATTTGAATGTAATTTACCAGTGGTATTTCGAGGCAGTAAATAACATACCCCAAATATAATCAATATGGCATGGCATAAGAGCGACATAAATTTGAATTTGGATAATGAATATACATTTTTGAGATTCTAATATAAATCTGTAGCAAGATTTAAATGAAACCTGAAGGAGATATTCCTAGGCCAAATATAAACCTATTATGTCATCCATAACTTTAGTGTGGAATACACTGGAAAACGGAAAAAGATGATGTGGGACAGGCATATCTTTATCTCTAACATTTTAGTCCGCAATTCCTTGAAGCCAGAATTCAGAGGTCTGTGTAAAATGTCTTCTTGACTAGATGGACACTGCAGTGGAAATGGAACACATAATTGCATTGGGACATACAGGGTGAGATAAAAAAACAGCAACCAACTCCAGACTGCTGTCATTTCCAAGCCACTCGCCCGACAGCTGTTAAAATTATTCCCGTGACAGCTCATTATATTGCTTACAAGCATACAAAAGCATTTTGATGAAATTTTCCCGGAAAAAAGTTATTCGTGATGGAAGGAATTCAAGCGTGATAGTGTGATTTCTTTACATTTGGCTGGAAAACCACAAGTGGCTATCAATTAGAGCACTCCAGCATTTCAATGTGAATAAATCTTTTGTGTTTCGTACCATCGCGATATTGGTAGCGTAACCCGACGTAACCGTCCAAGGAAGTGGACGTCAAGGAAGAAAACAGCAACATCAGCAGAAATGGTTCGAAAAGTAAAGAAGCGACTTGATCGAAACCCGCGTCGTAGTGGCCGAAAAATGGCTCGTGAGCTGAACATATCGCAACATTCCATTCGCCTAACATTGAAAAATGAGCTCGGGGTAAAGCCGTTGAAATTCCAAAAAGTGTAAGAACTTACACCGCAACAGAAAGAAAATAGACTCAAAAGAGCGAAGAGTTGCTTCGCTTGGCCGAAAGTGGTGAACTGCGGATTTGGTTTTCTCCGTCTCCGATGAAAAAACATTCGTTGTCCAGCAGTTTGTAAACAAACAAAATGATCGTGTTTACTTGCCAAAGAGGTCAGCTGAAAATGTGCACTTTCGGGCGGCCACCAGAACTCAAGCGCCGGCCATGCTGATGGTGTGGGCCGCCATAACAGCCGATGGTCGCTCTCCGCCCTTATTAAACGAATAAATACCGAATATTATCGCAAAAATATTCTGGAGGGCGTCTTAAAGTCTTGGGCGCGCAAACATTTTGACCGCAGACCTTGGACATTCCAACAGGACTCATCACCATTGCACTCAGCACGCGCCACCCAAGAATTGATACAAAATGAAGTCGCTCGCTTTATTTCCAGCGCACAAAATCTCCGGACACCCATCCCTTGGACTATTGTGTCTGGAGTATGTTGGAAAGCAAGGTTGGCACTAAAAAATACCAAAATATCGATCACCTCCAGCAAGGGCTTCGCCGGGAATAGGCCAAAATACCGTACAGTAACATTCAGGCAGCATGTGACGATGTCATTGGCCGTTTGAAGGCCATGATTCGTGCCAATGGTGACCAATTCAATTTGCTATTTCCGACATTTTTGCTTTCATTCAATAAGATTTAAAAAAGAATGTAAAAAATTATGGAGTTTGACTTTGTTGCAGTTTATTCATCTCACCCTGTATATGTATTTACCAATTTTCTTAGGCTTGTCCTAAATAGAGAGGCGTTCCAAAATTCCAACAGGACCAATTTCAAATTTCAAAAGGGTACTTAACAGTTATACGTCGATTTGCAAAATACATGGCTGGCGGATCAAAAGAAATCTAGGAAGAAAATGATTCTGAGAAATTACGAATATATATCGAATCCTTTGAAAGCAATGCCCCAATACATATTATCCTGACTAAAGTTTGGCGTAAGATACAAAAATATATATCCAACACCAAATCTTTATATCTTTCTTCCATGTACCCAAGTATTTGAGGTTCAAGTTTTTTTTCCGATTTTGGTTTCTTCTTCTAGTTGGGATTCTTTTTTTTTTTGTATTATAATGTATAATACCATGAGGACGTGACGATATCTGCAGTTTTTTTTTTCTTTTCTTTTACACATAACATGCACTTAGTTATTCCTTAATTTACTTTTCTTTTTTCTTTTCCTCTGGGAACAGAGTCTTCTTCCACTGCAAATCTTCCCAAATTGTCTTTACCTTACACCATATTGATTTGTATTTTAATCAATAGACGATCATCTTCACAGAATCCCCGCTTAATAATATCCGTTATATTGGCATATTCCACAAAGCCAAATCCCCGTGTACTGATCCGCTCCTTTGGCTGATGAAATGCCAAAATTTCCGGTTTAGTCATGATCGTATCATGTTGTGATAGTTTCATATCCCGTGGATGGACCATACACAAACGAATGCGTCCTATAAATGGCCATTCCAGATGATGATCGTTTTCCGACTGCATCAGATGGACATGTAGGCTAAGGAGATGTGGATTTTTTGGTTGGATATTGAGACGTGCACAAAACTTATAACCATACGGTGAGGTATAACATTCACGCGAATAGACCAAGTTATTGGTATTCGCCCTGAGATGATCAATTAAGTTGTGGAAATTTACTATTTCCCAGAGTATGGTGCCCATGGAGTAGCGAGGATCAACTTGAGTGCGTTGTAGTGAAAGCTGCTTGTTTAGATTTTCGATTTTAACATCCTGTTCACAGGCCCTCTGTTCCAAGACCACAATGCGCTGATACATAGCCTGTATTAGTTGTTCTTCAGCACCGTTGGCATATTGCGGTGGTGGAGGAGGTACACCACTTGATCCACCCGCATGACCATTTGTTTGTCCATTTGATTTCTGTGGTTTTTGGGGATTCCATGTAGAGATGGCTGTATTTTGCAGGCTTCTTAGCATCAGCTGCAAATGGTGGGGCATATCTTCCTTAAGATGCACCTCCAAAGCATTGGTCTCTGGCCTTCCCACAAATTCACATTTAATACTGGCAAATGGACATTTTTCCTCAGCCGGCTCATCATCGCCACGGTAGGGGCAGTTAAATTTGTGACGTTCCATTTCCAAAGGTGACGACACATAATCACAGCCCATACCCAAGTGAGGGCATTTCAATTGGATCTGTTCAATTTCTCTTTTCGTGTAATTATCTGGAAATATGTCTTTATCTGTTATCTTTTTATTATCCATGGGACACCATTGACTTTTGTTCCTCAGCCAAGAGTGCAGACATGATTTACAAAAACGATGACCACACGATGTCAAAACTGGCTCATTCAACCAATTCATGCAAATTGCACATTCATATCTGGAATCGGGTTCGGGCTCTTCGGTGGTCGAACTGGCACGAGAATTAAGCGAATGCTGCTGTTGTTGTGGTGTCGGCTGCGGTTGTGAACGTGTCCTTGAGGCTACTGGTGGTGGTGGCCTAGGAATACGTTCCATTTCATCATCATCATCTTCGTCTCGCGATAATTGTTTAATTGCTTGCACTGGAGGTTGCCGTTTATCGTCATGTATATTCATATTTTTTGGTATTATATTTTTGACTTCTTTGTGGAAGTTTGTGTAATAAAAGCCGAGTAAAAAAATGTGTAAAAAATTCTAAAAAATAACTATTTTCTTGGTTTTTTTCAATGTATTTTAATCATTTTATTTTTTCACACTTTCGACAATAGAGGTAAGTAATCTAGTCTTCTTCTTCCTATGACGAGTTTTCAAAGGGAATGGTTAGCATGATATGTGGTGTGTACCATGGAAGGTAGACGCATTGACACAGCTGATGGGACAAAGAATGCAATAATATCCACTGGATTTACGTGACGTATACGCTATGGAATTGACATTTGAAATCGAGTGGATTTAGTAGTTTAATCTTGCTCTTGTCCCATTGTTGTATCATATCATTAGGGAACTAATTGTACACTATAAAAAGTCTCATTTTGATATGGGTTTATCCAACAGTTTAAAAGTTTGATCAGTCATTTTGCGAAACAGCTGCTTTCTTGCTAGATATTCCTGAATGTTGTTTGATAACATTTCGCAAAATTTGCACGTGAGGGAGAAAATTCTCACAATACAGGTTAATGAGTATTTTTTACTGGAAATTTTATCGTATGGTAAAATTACGAAGTTATAGTCGTTTAAATCATAATCATACCCATGGTACAATGATATCTAGGTAGGGCTATGATACCATATGATTTTAATTTTTTTATTTTCTTGGCTTAATAAGTCATCTTTATTTGTTTATGTATGTGTTTTCTTTTCAATAACAAAAAAAAATGTTCAGAAAATATTCAAATTCGGGTGTTTTCAAAATGTTTATTTCAACGTATGCATCGACAAAATCTATAGTTTTTGTAGCGAAATAATCCTTTAGAGATACATAGTACATGATTTTGAAAAAAAGTGTTGTCCTTTCATTCAGTTATCGCGGTTTTAAATTATTTATTCAAAATAAATGCAACAAGTTGTTTGTTTTTTTATAGTTTTGATACTAATTCTAACATTACAAGCCAAGCGGGTAGACTTCTATACTTGCAATTTTTTCAAAGTTGGCCTACCTTCTCTTCATTGTACCATGGCTATACCCATGGTACAATAAGAACGTAGAACAGCTTCGTAAAACTACAGAAATACAGCCCTGAAGCTATGCCCGCTTCCTGTCAGAATGATTCATATGTCACGTACTACCGTCAGTTGATTTCACATAATTCCTGTTTTCTATCAAACATCGTCATTGCTGGCATGTTGGCTTTTTGCACGGCTAGTGCTCGCCGGATGGGGGTGGTTCTTGACGACATTGACTAGGTTGGCAATACGTTAAACAAAAAAAATATCATGCCAGACTGATCAAAATTAAAAAAAAAAAAAAAAAAAAAGGGTATTCCGAGCCCGAGAGAAATAGTAAACTATTAATGACTTTTACCACAGCATAAATAAGAAAAAGCAACCAGTTATATGGGAAAAAAAATCATGAAAGTACTCGGCAGGTGTTAAACCGAGCTCTTCCCTCCCACTGGAACACTTGTTCCACCTTGGCAATCAAAACATGTTCATATTGCCCCCATACCTACCTCTTCTTTAGCACGTCACCCTCCTAACCTTCAATTAAATTTCCTTATGGAGAAGACATTTTAATTCATATCCATCGTTATAATTTTATTTTTAATTCAAGGTTCTTAATTTTTAATACAAAAAAATTGTGGATAATTTTAACTTTGAAATTCACATTGTTAAAAAGGTTATTACTAGTGCAAAGAGTTTTTACTAGTGTAAAATATTCGAAAATCGTAAGTATTATAATTTTGAACGTTGTACATAATAACGAAACTTAGGTAAGTACCACTTTTGGGTATTTATTTAATAAATTTAATATAAGATGGCTGCTCTTCTTTCTTTTCCAGGGATGCTGAACAGAGGTCCTATTATGGCGGTGATTGCTGGCAATGGAGCTTATTATCCGTCAGTTAATCTCGTAAGTATGAGTGTTGTATTTTAGTTTTATAGTTCAAACCCTGAATAAAAAGTTTTCTTCTATTTTAAGTGGAGTAAAAGCAAAGGGACAACATTAAGCTTTTGTGTATGGGAGCAACTAACTCCTGGTGGTTAATAACCTGTCCTACCTGCCTAGAGAGAGCTCTATCTATTCGGAGAGGATATGAGAATAAAAATTCGAATAATAAAGAAAACAAAAGGAAATGTCTACCCTTAAGGCTACGTATTTTCTATACCCTTTTATTCTAGGTTTATGGGCAGTCCGTCCGTCGCAAGTAATTATCAATAAGTTTGGAGGTAAGTAATGAGTTAAAGTCAATAGCTCGTTTTACACCATATCAGTTTTATATTCTTTTATTTTTAGGTACCTCAGCACCGCGGAATGCCTGGTGCTCAACAGCGTATCCAACGATGGGCAGAGGAGTCGGGATCGGTGGTCCAAATATCGTTATCGATGCTGGCAAAGGTGTTTGGTGCTGGATTACTTCCTTTTGTTCAAAAGTTATTGAGGTTTTTTTTCTCTTTTCGTGCAATAAAGGCAATAAATATTTTTAAAATTTTGTTTTGTGATATGCGGGTATTATTACACCGGTTGTATTTAACGTGGGTAAAAACTTTACTATTTTCTTTTTGCTCGATCCACTTCCTGCTGCCAAGAACTCCAGAAATAAAAAGAAAGAACTTTGAATATTTTACATGGCTTATTGGCTCCCTATTTCCAATATGTTTTCCACATTTAAAATTTCCCTTTTTGAAATGACAGGATAAACAAACCATATGTCACTTGGTGTGACAGACAAAATTATACGAGTTTCGGTATGTGGCGTATAGATGGCGTGAGTACGCACATGACAAACCCAACCATCCTTTGTACATCACTGTAAAAGGATGGGAGGGAAAAAGTGCGAAAAATAAGTTCGATGATTTGTAGAAAGCTTCATTTGAATGGAGCGCTTTTATTTTCGATAGGACGTCGATCTTGTCAGCTCTTCTTTGTCAATGAAATATGCCTGCGTCATTATTTCTACTGAACTGGCTACGTTATCATAGACAGACCATACATATGTAGTGAATTTCTTGAAGTGCGGGCGATACAATTGAATACCGGGGTTTCAAAAAAAATATATACAATTAAGAATAAAAGAAAAACCAAGAATTTGCTGTTTAAAAAAACTTTTTGTGATTACCAATAGTGTCTTACTAATATTAATGTGCTACAAAAAAATAAATCCTAAAATAAACAAAATCTGAAATTTCCTAATAAGATAAAATTGTAACGGGTAAAAGAAGAAACGACGAATGAAAAAGTGTTATAAACGTAATATCGAGTTGGCGTCATATAACTGTGCTGTGCTTTCATACGACTGTACCACAACGAGTTGCGTACTATGTGATAGGTTTGTTGCTGGGTTGAAATAACCGTTTCATTCTAGAAATCGTCGATCATCTTCAGTGCAAACAAAGCGATGTGTAATTGAAAAAAAAAACAGAAAATAATCTAAAACTAAAAGAATAGAGAATAAAGTTAAGAAAATCGTTTAATTACTAAAATAAATGTGTGCTGCCTAAGAATATAAATTTTAAGGAAAAATATAGAAATTCAATTTTATATTAATAATAAAGATATAAATTATGTGTGTTGAAAAGTGTATAAATGGAATTAATATAATTTTCATCAATACTAAATCTGTGTATGCAATAAAAGTCCAATAATTTATATTTTCATATGCGTATTAATTGGCTATGCAAGTGAAAAACAAAAAGAAGTGAGCATTGTTAAAAAAAAAAACCTATCAGAAAAGTTTTTTTCATTAATTAAAAGCCTACGTTATTCCTGTTGTTGTAATAGTGGGAATATTTGTGCATACGACCATACTTTTCTTGTGATATGATTTCTTAAAAGCAAAAGTGTAAGAGTAGTAAAATCAAAGAGTGTGAAATACAGCTATGAGAGAGAATAAAGAGTACATGTGTAGAGTCACAAAAAGGTTAACGAAAAAAAAAACATAACGAAAGTGAGGAAAGAAATGAATCAAAACAAATGCGAAGCAAAATCAAAACAAAGGCTAATTTGAATCAAAACATAAAAGAAATATAAAAGCAAAACAAAATAATGTTAATGATTGTGGATTTAACGGCGAATCAACGTTGCGATTATACTTTAAAGTGGAAAAGCAAATAAATTCTGATTTTGTGCCCAACTATGAGGAGTAAAAACCACCATGCAGAAATCTCTACTTTGCCGCTGTAATCTTATGATATATCTATTTTTGGATTTGTGCCGGTAAGTGAACAATCGTTTTATTTCTTTATAATAACAAAAATATAGTTTAGGAGAAAATGAATCTATGAGCTCGTAAGGAAAATATTTTTCCGTGAATAATTATTAAACATTAAATTTTTGCTGGTGTTATTCAGATCGTGAGAGGACTTCTTCTGTTATTATGGGATGCGGTAGAAAAACCATTTCTTATTGTTTCAAATCTTTCACGTGGAATACTCCTAAGGATTTCCCTCTCAAATCCTCTATTTCATAAAGACAATTTCCAATTGGTCGAACAATTCTGCACTTTACAAATTTAGGTCCTAGTTTAGCATTAAAGTTCCTTTTGAAGTCACTTTGCTGAAAGCTACGACGATATATCTCCTGCCCCGGTATAAATTTCACATTCCTAGATCGCACGTTGTACTTTTTTTCATTTATTAGGTATGCTCGGTGGAGATTCTCTCTTATTTTCTCTCTGATTATTTCTAATTTTATTGTTTGTGGAAGGACATTGGCCTCCGGATCCTGCAGAACCTTAAGCTTTCGCGCTAGAGCAAATACGCTACCATGATTCACCATGTTCATTCCAAAAAGGGCGAAATATGGAGTGACACCTATTGCGGAGTGAACCGATGATCTCAAAGAACACTCTATCTCTGACAAATATTTATCCCATTCTGTCTGACTATCCTTTAAGTATGAACGTATGGCTGATAAAATGCTTTGGTTGACTCGTTCAGAAGAGTTAGCTTGTGGCGAATGAGTTGCTGTGCGCACGTGAGAGATACCAAAGTTTGTCATAAGGTCCTCAAATTCCTTTGCTACAAATTGTTGTCCATTATCTGAAATTAGTACTTCGGGTGTACCGAACTTATGAAATACCTCTGATATGAGGAATTTAACCACATTTTTAGTACTGGCTTTATTCATAGCCTTAAGAAGAACGTACTTGCTAAGATG